TCATTCATTATTTATGTATGATAACTGAGTAATTGAGGTGGTCCAATTTAAGTGGTGGTTCAATTTTAGCGACTATCCCCTATAATATAAATCAGGGAGGTTTAAATGACCTTCTATTATTAATGTACCTTTGTGTATATAAAGTGTGAAAAATCAAAAACTACCCATAATAAATATAATAAAAGTCATGTTGAATGTGTCTAAAAGAAATTAATGTATTAATTTTAGATTCTGAGTGGAGTGAAGAAGTATATAGTTTTATAAAGATGTTTTTTTTTCTTTTTTTTTTATCTGTGTGCAACTTTTCTACCATAAGACTTGTTTGGATTTCTACATGTAGCACCTTTTCTGAAAGTAAATCAGCGTGAAAAGATACTATAAGAAGGTCATTTTTCGATTTTCTCAGGAGTTTTTCCAGTAAATGTAAAAAACCGGGATATAACATGGGAAAATCGGGAAAAACTTAGAAAACTGGAAAACCGATACAACTTTAAACATATATTATTAAAGAATATATATAAAGTCTATTTAATTATTTGATTACAATATAACATATATATTGTTGACAAAGCACTACTATCAACTGAACTCTGCTAAGAATCATTTTTTCGTAATCAATAGTTTATCCCTGCCTACAGGTATATGTTAAATTACCTATACCAATGGTTGCACCCGTCTCCATTATCCTAGGATATCTTTTTTATTATTTGTATACATTTAATATGCATTTATGCACATATTGTAACTTGTATGCTGCAGTTAAATCTGTTTTAATATTATCTACTATTATGCAAGTTAGTTGTGAAAAAAACATTCAGAAAATTAAAGATAAAAATAAAACCATTTAGGATCTTCATTAAACCAAGAACATTTTGAACATTAAACTTTTGTCTGTAATAAGATATCTAGATGGTATTGAATTCAAATACTGTAAATAGTAAACTTAAATAAAAATATTGAAGTACTTTTGTACTTTTAATTACTTTTGTGTAATAAATATTTAAACTTTAATAATTATGTAGTTTTAATAATAAAAGGGTTAATACTTGTAAAATAGCCTACAAGTTGATTTTTTTTTTTGATATTAAAAACAAAAACGACTATTAGGTCAAGAGAAAAATTTCGAAATTTATAGAAAGCACACAGAAAGTTTGAGAACCGCTGCTCCAAGAATATGGCCAATTATTGTCTTAATTAGATATTTTTGTATCTAAAACTAAGCTGAAAAACTTCAATATCCAATATGCAGATGACTATATACATCACTTGTCACAAAAAGGTAAAGTTGATGAGATTAATTATGCTAGAGGTATCTATCAATTTCAAATACACCAAAGATAAAGATGAAAATATAGAAGATTTTAAACAATTAACTAATGTAATTCAAGTGTATAGCGGTTTTATCTTTGAAATGTGAACGTTCAATTAGCTCAATAAATAAAATTTCCTAAAAGAAATTCTTTAGAATACATAAATATTTCATATTTAGTATTCATCAATTATGTTAGTTCACCAATTGACAAGATAAACATAGTGACTTATAAAGGTAAGTAAAGAAAGAAAATTGTTCCAAAAGAATAAAAATTACCCAATAAAATACATATATTTTTTAAATAAAGTAAATAATTATATAAATACAAAATTTATACATAAAAATAAAAAAATTAATTAATACATATGTGACCTGGAGTATTTATGTATTAAAGTAGTAATGTCTGGTTTTCAATCTTTATAATTAATAATTAAGAATATTAAAAAGAAGTAAAATAAAAACAAAATTATTAAATGTTTAATACTCGTTAATAAATATATAAATAATATAGGTACACAACGTGTGTATTTTAATACCAGTTTGAATTATAAATTCATTATCAGGTGTATCACAGTCAAAATGTAAAACGCGACTGAATATAAAAAATTAAATGAAGGAATACATAGAAAAAATACAAATTGCAAATTGGTCATTTAACATAAAATATAGAAATAGTTTATTTTAATAGGAGACATTATATTTAAAATTAATTATTATTTAACAAGGTTAAGAAGTATAAATTGTTTGGTTATTATTTATTTATTTATTTATTGTCTAAAATGTATTGAAATAAGATATTATTTTTAAAATAGGTTTGAACATTTAAAATATTATTAAAATTATTTTTCTTCATTTCATTGTGTATGTATAATTCTTTTAAAACTGAATTAATGTAAATGTTATTTTGGGATTTAATATTTCTAAGTCTGTAGTCAGATTTATTGTTTATTATGGAAACTGTAAGATATAAGAAATTAAATTTATTATTAATTTGTATTTCGAGTTTAAATTGAATGTTTTTATTTATTTTGTTTAAGTAGATAATTCAATTTTCTGCTTGTCTATTTGAACCTCTAAATAAAATGAACATATCAATAATATGCTTTTATATATGGACAGTATATTTTGTTGTTAATAATATGATTAGTTTCATAATTTTGCATGTAAATTTCAGATGAAAGATAACTTAAAGGACCACCCATAACTAACCCATCTATTTGCGAATATAATTTATTACTATATTGGAAATAGTTTTGATTAATAATTACATTTATTGATTGAATAATTTCTTATATTTAGTTTGTATTAAATTTATTACGATGTATAAGTTTATTTTTTAAAAATTTAATTTTTCGTGTTTAGGACGTACATATATTTTTGACGTCAAGAAAAATCATTTTGTAACCTGGCTCAATATTAATTTTATTAATTTTATCAATAAAATTATAAGGGTTTTTTTTTTATAGAAGTATCATTAATCATGTTTAATTTTTCTTTTATGAGAGAGTCTAAATATTTAGCAAGGTAATAAACTGGAGCAGTTTTCAAGATAATTAATGGATGAATCGGATTATCTTGTTTATGTAATTTTATGAATGAATGTAAACATCTATTTTATAATCAGTTTTAAAATAATATTTTCTTTTGGACTTTGGGTATGATTTTTTTCGAATTTATTATCAGTTTATTAATTAATAAATGATAATAATAATTGTTAATATGACAATAATAAGCAAACAACTCTTGATTAATAATGTATTATAATGTTCAGACTGCAGAGTAAAGAGACAATTACAACACAACTACTCAAGTTTCATGTATATTTTTGATTTCGATAAAATTATCGTTAATTACCATTAATGTAGAATATAGATTATAAACTATGGTTATCGTATTACTTTGTTTTTTTTTTGTCATTTGGGCATAAATCTAAAAATAAATACGATATCTATTGGAAATTATAACTGATAAGCTGTAATAATAGATGTTTTATAAATAAACATCAATAAATTATTTTTTAGTTGTAATTAAATGGTCTCAATAATTTGAATAAGCTTCAAGTAAAATCGTTTAAAAACTGAGTGCGCTATAGAATAATCTGGAAAAGGTAAGCCCCACCCAAGCCCCCCTAATTTGCGCTTATAGTTACAATGTTATAGATTCTACAACTATTATAGATTTACTATCGTGGTTCCATACATACCTAAACTAAATGTACATTTTAAAAAAAAAAAAATAAATATTTTTGATTCATTTTTAAATTATTATTACTGTAATGCTTTTAAGTTTAATGTAAAATCAGAGAATTTAAATATTATTTTAAAACTATGTGCACGATTTAAATATTATTTTAAAACTATGTGCACGATTTAAATATAGATTTGTTCAGGTACCTACTTAATTAGGGGCATAGTTGGATATTTTTTTTTTTTGGGGGGGGGGCTGGATATTTTCTTTAAGGTGAATTCCCCAATTCATTTAGCATTCAAGAAAAATATTTCTCAATATTATCAGACAAAAATGGATACTCGCATATTGATGATAAAAAAAATAAATAATTTTGTTTGTTGTAAAAATGTCATGAAAACATTTTAACGATGCAATTGGAAAAGGGTGAAAATAAAATTTTTGAATACCATTGAAATTTTACAAAATACATTTTCAATCAGATTTTATGGTTTTTATTCAAATGGCATCAAAAGTAAATTATTTTAGAACCCGTTTGTAGTTATTAATGATGACGCTGAAAGCTGTTTACAAATGGAAATTATTGAGTTATAAAGTAACGAAAATCTTAAAATTGTTTTTATGATGGCCATAACTTATTCAGTTTTATTTGAGTCTCTGTTAAACAAAATTTAGCAAAATAAAATATTTGACTAAAAAAATTTTTATTTTTTTTTATTATCGTGAGATGATGTTATTATTATAACTTTATAGACACTTCGTTAAATTAATATATTAGCAAATAGTGATGAATTCAAATAAATTAAATTTGATATGACTCTAAACTTTTGTTTAAATAAAACTTATTTTATTTATTAGACGTGTTCTAATAATTGTGGCCCATGAAAAAATTAATTTTCAATTTTTAGTTCTCGAAACCAAAAATATTGTGAATGATTTATATGGATGTTTGTTTTTTTCAAATTTTATTATTGGGTCCCACTCATTATTTAAATTAATACAATACATATTTATATTTTTACCGAGAAGAATTCATTGGCAAAATTATATTAATTTTTCTTGCGCTACCATACTTAGGATTTTATTTAAAAACTAAAAATATTTTGGTTAAAATCTAAAACTGTATATTACTTACTAAAACGGAAGGTGAATTATGGGCAATAGTTCACACCAATAGTTTTAGTCCGTCAAATTTTATCTAGTAATATTCAGTGAGTTACCAGTTAAAAACAACGGTTAATTAAATATCAACAACCATGGTACCATAGCTATATTATATTCTATTCGTTGAAGATAAGAAATGTTTACTCTGTTCGTTTCTATGTTAATTAAATTGTTGTTATTACTATTATTATAGTTTTAACTTTTAAATGTCAATTGATTTTGGACTATTACTCCAAGTAAACCGTATTCTTGTTTTTTTTTTTTTTGTAATTATTACTTGTATAAGAAAGTCGGTTGATTGATCCTTTTAACTTTTATATTTTGTCAAAATTACAATATGAATGGTAAGTCAAAACATAATATATTTCTAATAATTTTTTTAAAATTTTTATAGTCATTTAAATACTTATTACATTAAGTTATTGTGTACTTATAACAGAAGTTAAACAAGTCGACGTGGCAAATTTATACAGACGTAGATTCACCCGACAAGTTTCAATGCATACATTAAATAGTTTTAACGAATTACGCCTGAACGTCAAACTTTGTGACGCTTCGCTAATACTTGACAACGGTGATGAATACCCAGTTCACCGATCGGTATTGAGTGGTTCGAGTGATTATTTTAGGTTGGTTTACATGACATATATTATAATTTAAGATATCCAAAAAACTAAAAATGATTATAGATTTATATTTTTTAAACTTTTTTCAAAATGTATTGAATTATATAATATAAGATACAAATATTTTTCAAATCAGCTAAGTAAAATGTAAATGTATAGTATTCGTAATCTTATAACATTAAGGAGACCTGGGCCAGCTAAAAAACAAAAATATATCGTATAGTGGTCCGATTTAGGTGATTATTTTTTTTTTTTTGGAAAGAATAAGAAGACGTTATACAGACCACATTGATTTATGTCATTGAAATAGGTCAATTTGACCTACTAAACTTCTTTTATTAACTTACCTATTTATACCATTATTTGAAATTAAATGGAAAATCGGAAAAATGGTAAGAAAAGTAGGAAAACATTATGTTGACAATGAATTATCTTTAGTACCGAGAACTTATTTTCGTCTGTAAAACGGCCGTACTTCTTCCCTCTCAATGAGCATCTAAATTAGTGGAACAGTCTTATCTTTAAGGTGGTCATTCAAGTATTATAAAATATTTTTTAAATTTTATAAAATTGAAGAAAATTTAAAAACCGGGACAGTGTTAAAACGAAGGTATAGGAAATAGTTTTAAAATGGGGGGACTATACAAGACGTAATTATGGGTTTTCTCCAAAGATCAGCCATTTCTCCTCCATGAAATGCCTGCAGGGGATGGTTCAAACCACCGTTTATTTGTGTTATTATTATTTTTACTTTTCAGTCATTGCGCGAAACTTAACCAGAACAAATAATTTTGTTTTTAAATACTTATATACTATATAAAGTATGTTTTATTAAAATTGGTTTGTGAACAGAAATGCAATTTGAAAAAATATCTTGATGGTAACGATAATTTACAGATAATTGATATTTTAATAAATTTATAATGAATGATTGGTACAGATTATTATATGCATGTTATACAATTTTTTATACCTAGTGAAGGGGTTATTGAGTAAAGATCTTAATAACATAATTTTTAAAATAATTGAGTTAACATACTTAGCTAAAACACTTTTATCTACAAACAAAAACTAAAAAATTTAAATTTGTGTAATCATATAATATAATAACTTATTAGTTGCCAATTTTAGATTCTGAGTTGAGCGAAGATGCTTATGGTTTTACAAAGATATTTATGATTACTTTTTTTTTCTGTGAACATCTTACCTAAAAGAAATCTTGTTCCAATTTTTAAGTGTAGCACTTCTTTTAAATGAAAATGTGACTGTCGAGGGACTTTAAAAGAGGTCATTTTCTCAGGAGTTTTCTCATCAAATGTGAAAAACGGGAAAATGTATGAAATATATTAAAATAAAGTAAATAAGTATATAAACAAATAAATTAATGAATGCGTCGCCTGGAGTATTATGATACGTGTATTATACGACCAGTTTTGAATTAAAAATTCATGATCAGGTATATCACAGTCCAAATGTAAACGATATTAGTAAAATAGGTGTTACGATTTTTTTTTTTCTGTCGATAACTTTTCTACTATCAATTTAAATATTTGTTTTTTGTATCCATAAAGTTATGTTTATATTTTATTCGGGAAAAGGAACGAAATGCTTCCCAATTGTATTCCCCCTCCCTTAAGTTTTTCAGATGAACAACACCTCTTTACTCTTTATTCAATATTAATTATTTCGGTCAGTGTTTTTTAAATTCATTTAGTAAATAGATATTTCTGTATCGTGTTTTTATTTTTTTTTAGAATACTGTTTACCACTACGTTGCATGACGGGGAAAATACGCAAATATTCCTGAAAACCGTAGAAAGTTCTACAATGGAATCGATTCTACAATATATTTACTCGAGACAAATAGATTTACACTATAATAACGTCTTGGAAGTCATGCGGACAGCTGATTATTTTTGTATCGACGGTCTGGTACAACTTTGTCACGGGTATCTCATCGAATGTATAGGAACTGATAATTGTGTTACTATTTTACAATTTGCAGAGTACGTATTTACATATTATTGGAATATCACTACAACAGTACTAAACAGTACATTTATGTAATTATATTAAAAAAGATTGCAATTAAATAATGGGTGACCATAGCCAAATAGGGTTTTTGGTATTTTTGGAACAAAAATTAATTTTTTTTTTTCGATTTAAATTTCTTGGAGACACGGATGAAATTATTAGTTATCATAGTTAATTGGGTTATCACAAGCAAGAAAATGGATTTTTAATCTGATTAAATGCAGTGATAGTGATGGAGTTGGAAACGAAGAGTCCTGGGTAAACACGTTTTTATTTTAGATTGCTTAGGTAATGAGTTAGTAAAAAGATAAAAAGATATAGTAATAATATTTTACATTGTAGTAAAATACAATTTTGGAAAACAGTTTTCTATTAAAATGCAATAGTATACTTTGTAATCAGTTTTTTTAAATATACCTAACTTATTATTACAATTTCATTTATTTGATTACTGTTTCTATACATTTTGTACGTCACCGTTTGTTGGCGCCGATTGACAGCATAATATTATAATCGCGCGTTCACATTTTCCGTGCTAATACCCGCTCACATCACCGTTTCATAATTAGGTTAGCGTATCTAAAATAGTGGCTAAAAATTAAAGAGAAGCTCCGATACATATTTAGATTAAGTAAATAATTGTTTTCGTGAATTTTTATTTTATTCAATTTTATGCAATATTATATAGTTATTTTTTGTTCTGTTCCCCGTATACTCTCGTACCGTACGTTAGTCGTGCTCGCATTCGAGCATTTTTGTTTGTTCTTAAACTTTTGCTAAGTACTGTTTTACGCGTGAACAGTCTCACTACCTTATAATAGTATTGTTTCGCATCACAGGCGTGAATCCCTAAATTTTTTATTTGATAATAATACATTGCAGGTGTGAATCACCGTGTTTTTTTTTATATATAATATATTATTGTAATAAATCGCAGGTTCGAATCACCATATTATTTTTGTACATAACATTATCGTTCATTGTGTGTGTGCGCTAACTCTGTCCAGCACGAATCGCCACATAAATATTATCAGCCGAAATCTTGTACCTAACTGTATGTGTGTTGAATTATTGTATTGGTGAAATAGGTGCCAGCTGGCCAGTCTATGCTCCACGAATTTGTGTGTTTTTTTTTGTATAATTTATTATTTAGTGTATTGTTATTTCTCCATATTGCTGTGATTTATATATTAACTTTTGTACTATTTGTAAATTAACTCGTAAATATTATACAGCAACACATAGTTATCGTTCAAAATATGTTTACCATTTATTTCAGTTCAGTTACCCAGTCATTAGTTTTTAAGATACACACACACACATACACACACACACACAAACACACTGCCATCACGTAGCTCGTCAGATTTGTGCGGCGACCCTAACCACTCTAAGTTACAACCACACGTATACACACTAACATACAGATTGGCCGACCGAGAAAGTACGCACTGCAACAAGTTAAGGTGCCTGGGAAAACATATTATTATTTAGTTCACTTAGATCGTTCATTTTGGAACCTCGACGTGATATTTAATTTTTACCAGTTCGGTAGTGTCTTATTTAGTTTTTATTTTGTATTGTCCTTGTTTATATATTTGTCAGTATGAATTTTAGGGTGCATTTTTATACTAAAAATAATCAATTTTAGTTACCATTAAAGCAACCAGTTACCCTTAGTCGAATTTGTTTCAATTCGGTATATTTGACGGCGCGCCATAATATTGTTATCATACGAGGTAAACTATACATTACGTTGTTTGTCGTTCGTCGCAGCTACGTCGTATAGGCACCTTATTTGGCAGCGCCCATCGACTTTTTGATTTTGTTTGTTTTTGTGAGCGGTTTTATTTTTATATTTTTGAGTCTATTTGCATCCTATTATAATTTGTAAAAAAGAAATGTCAAATATGCCGCTTGATGAAAGTAATCTAAAGGTACTGAGTGATTTAAAAATATGAAGACGTGTAGTAAAAGGTTCACTCCCCCGTGTTAAAACATTTATTTCGAAATTTCAAACAGAGGACCGATCCGTATTGGAATTAGAATTTCGTCAAGAGCAATTTCCGCAAATTAGCAGAAATTATGATCATGTACAAGGTCAAAAAGAATTGCTGTCGACGGATTACGATAAAGAGGAAGAGGATCGAGATAATTTCGAATTAGAGTTTTTTGCCGTTCGCTCCCAGATTCAGCATATTAAAAATGTAAGGAAAACAGGATGGCGGTTCACGCGGAGGCTCGTACGGTTTACTAGCCAGCAAAGATCCTGTTACCCTTCCGCGAGTTACTTTACCTACATTTGACGATAATATTGAAGAATGGTAATTTTTTTTTGACGTTTACAATGCTATGGTACCGGATTAGTTACGTAGCTCAGAAGTTTCTTTACCTTCGTGTATGCTCAAAGGGAGACGCACTAGATTTAGTTAAATCTATTCCCATCACTGATAACTACTACGCAGCAGTGATTTAACTGTTAAAAAAGAGATATGACAACAGACCTCTTGTTATTCAGGCACACGTCAGATTGACTCTGGACGATCAAAAAATGCAAAGGCTATCTGCTAAGGATTTGCAAAGCCTGAATTCGGGAGTGTCTAGTCGTCTTGCATAATTAAAGGCATTGGGTCAGCCAACTGACCAATAGGACACGTGGTTGATCACGATTGACGTCAGCCAGTTAAACGCCACCACAGAGCATGAATAGTAACTTCGCAAAAAGAGTACTGAGCTGCCAACATACCGCAGTCTAGAGAAATTTTTGTCCAGTAGATGTATCGCATTTGAAAGCTCAGAAGCTTGACATTCGAGTTCAAATGAGACGATTCTCACTAAGCGTACGGAGCGAAGAAACTGGCTCATGATACGAGACGTAAAAAGGGAACTGTCGCATCAGGTATAACAGATGATTCGAAATGACCCTGTTACAAAGGTGCACACAAAGTTTTCGCCTGCTACGCATTCAAAGACCTAACTGTCAACGAACGAGTAGATGCGGTTAGAACTAATCATCTTTGTTTTAATTGTTTATCACCTTTCCACATGTCTATTCATGTCTATTGTAACTCGACTAACTCATGCAGTCATTGTGGTAATAAGCATAATACTCTACTTCATTTCGAGGCTAACAAGAGCAATCAGGGCACAGTGAATACTAGTACAACCAATCAAATCGCATTAAACAGTGAAACGAGTGATACCGTGGTTGCAACTCCAGCTATTTTTGGTTCTGGGCACGCTTTTTTAACTACAGAAAGTGTGAATGTTAAGGACGCTAGAGAGATGTGTGATAAGTGTAAAGCCATACTGGATAGTATGGTGGATCAATGGTTAATTTTATTTTAAAAGGTCTTTAAAATGTATTTCAACTCTCGGAAAAGAAGGTGATGTTGCCGGTCACTGGAATTGGAGAAAAGAAAACCCAGGCTATGTCTAAAGTGACAGTCCAAGTTATGATTTACCGTCAATAATTAGTAATTTACCATGGTGTGCCCCCCAACCGGAGGTTAGGAAATAGCAGAAAACATGATACCATTACTCACTGACCCATTATTTGACCAAGCTGGGCCAGTAGACATTTTGATTGGAGGAGTAGAATTTTTTGAGCTATTGAAGATTGGGAGAATTTCATTTGGTGTCAGTAATATTTCTCTTCAGGATAGTAAACTGAGCTGGGTTATCACTGGTGAGATGGACGTACCTTGTTAAATAAGTTTCGGAGTAGTGCTAGAAGAGGACTGGAGGATCGGTTAGAAAGATGAATAAGAAGGAGGGGGGAGTATGGAAGATTTTCAAAACCAAACCAAAATTGCCTTGAGGAGGAACATGCAGTAAAGCATTTTTGGTAGGACGAAGCTAGGCGTTTTGTTCTGCAGATCATAGATCTTATGATCGGTGCAGACACTATTGAAGAGTACTGTCAACAATGTTAGAAACAGCTATATTTCCTACATAGAAATGGTGTAGTAACGTGTAGGTGATTTTAGAAGATATTGGGACAGGAAACAGATTTCTAAGTATAGCACCTTTTCTGAAGGAAAAGTTCACTGGGGAGGCACTTTAAAGACGCCATTTTTCGATTTTCTTAGGAGGTTTCTAATCAAATTTGAAAAACCGAAAAAAACGAGAAAATATGAGAAATATAGGTATTAGTTAAAATATATTACGGCCTTCTTTTTTTCTGTGAACAACTTTTCAACCAGCAATTTCGCTTTGAATTCTAATGACATCAATTTTTATAAAACGAAATTTTAGTGGGGAGGTACTTTAGAAAGTTCATTTTTTGGTTTTCTCAGGCATTTTTCCAGCAAATGTGAAAAACCGGGATAAACGTATACAAATTGAAAAGAACGGTACAAAAATAAACAAATGTTATTAAAGAATAGGGTTTATATAAATTCATATATAAAGCCTATTTATTTTACTATTAAACGACATATATATATAGTTGATAAAGCATCCCTATTAACTGAACTCTGCGCAGAATTGTTTTTTTCGTAAGCAATGGTTTATTTTATCGTTGCTTATAGGTATACATTAAGTTATCTATATAAAAATTGCTGCATCCGTTCCCATTATCCTATGACGTCTTTTTGATATCAAAAAGGTTTTTCATAATAATCCGGAAAAATCAAAAAAGACGAAATATATGATTTTTTTCAAATTACAGTATAAAATTCCTGTATTTAAAATTTTTTTCGGCTTATGTTTTCTACAATAAATATTTATCCAATGGATAAATGGATAACGTTTATGTTGAATTTTTAATCTAATTGGTGATCAATAACGGTGTTTTATTTTCTTTGTAATTTTTTAATAATTGAACAAAACTGAAAAAAACGTAAAAATGATGGGAAATATCACAAAAATAATGCTTTTATTATTTTTAATTTGGTTTATTCTGAGTGGATCGAAGAATCTTATCATTTTACAATGGTGTTAATTTTTTTTTATCCGTGAACAATTTTTCTTCGAGCAATTTTGCTCCGATTTACAATAATAGCACTTTTTCCGAAAAAAATTCGACTGAGGAGGTACTTAAGGGAAGTCATTTTTTTGATTTTCCATAAAGTTTTCTCAATATATTGGAAAAACTAAAAAAAATTGGAAATCGTATATATTACGGCCTTTTAAAACATGTATAACTGAACTTCGCTCCGAATTGTTTTTCCTTATCAATGGCTTATCGTTATTTACAGGCATAAATTAAATAACTTTATATATCCCACTTTCCCCACTATCTACGTACAACAGTGGGCGTACTCGTCTCCATTTACAAAAGTATCAGTTAAAATTATGATATTATGCTTGATTCATCAAAACTAAAAAAGTTATGGACATGCGATCGATTATTCAGTATGACTGCAACGTGAAAATTAGTCTTCTGTCAAGTAAAAATTATTTCTACTCTTTCAGTATTGTGCTGACTGACATGCGAACACGTGTTCATTAACTATCATTCATTTTATTATCAATCATTTACTATATGTATATGTTTTTTAATAAACCGTCACTAGCATATAACGTATTGTGTCTTAGAATCCATTTTTGACCCACCATCCTATAGTTTTCTTATTTAAAAATTACTTTAATATATTTGACATAATAACGTAACACTAATACCTACATATTAAAGATGTGAAATCATAGGATGATTATTCATTACTCATTAGGAATGTTTAGGTTTTTCATCGTGAGAACGATTTGTTCAGTAAAAGGTTCATTAATAAAAATGAATAAATCATGATGATCATTTTAACTGACATATGGGAACCCGCCTTTAAATATATTTTCAATTTTGTATGCAATTCGATATTTTTTATTGTTGGCCATGCCATGTTTATATATTTGTTTGTATAATATTTATCATATATCAGATAACAAAAAAAATAAAACCAATTGTATTTATATAATATTAGCGACTTTTATTTTGGACCATTGAGCGACGCAGCATACAAATACATTGTCAAGAAGTTTGAGGCCGTGGCGGAAGAAGGTAATGAGCTCATGAAACTCACACGGGCAGAATTTAAACGTTTAATTGAAGACAACCAACTAAACGTAAATCGCGAAGAATATGTTTGGGACGTTTTAGTGAAATGGGTTGACGAGGATCCTAAAAATCGGAAAAACGAATTAGTATATCTGTTACCCTTTGTCCGATTTGGACTTATGGCTTTCCGTTACTTTGTAGAGAAGGTAATATTATAATAATATACAATATTATAAAATTAATAATAAATATTGTGGGTGTCCTGTGATGCAACTAGAGGTGTGGTTTGAAGTTTATTATCCCCCCCTTCCAAAAATTAAAAATTTATTTTTACGAATCTTATGAAATAATTTGTATGATTTGTATAATTTATGTTTCCCAACCTTTTTGACTCAATGCCCCTTTTGAATTTTCAAAACTCACATGGCCCTCCAATAGATTAAAAAAAAATTATAGTTTAGTTTTTATAATCAGCCATTTAATTAAAGTGAAAAATAAATATTTTCTTCAAATTTTGTGCTTGGGCATTTTATTATAATTTCGAATAAGTATAACTAACGTACACGCATAGTAAATTAAAATTGTATGTAATATAATGCAAGTATTCAATTGTCGGAAATATCCGAATGAAAATGGGACCAAATGAAGCTTATCGGCATTCTTGTTTATTACTATTTTGCTGTTATTTTAGTGTGTATAAAATATTAAATTATTTTCTATTGTACGCAAGTAAACATTTTATTGCAATTATTTATGAATTTGATTATACTATTTTAATAATAGCGAATTATTTGTAATAATGAAAGTCACAGTAGAATTGCCCTCCTTAGGTAACCCCTTAAGTGAAATGTGAAAACTCTCAAAATTAAAAGAGCCCACAAGGGATGGCCCTACCCATCCTTTGTGGGTATTGTTGTATTGGCATTAGCTTTGATCAAATATTCAAATAACAGTGTTTCTTAAAAACTAGAAATAGGTACTAGATTTTTGTTATTGGTCTATTTATACAGAATATCTCAACAAATGTGAAATTTTTGCCCAGTAGTACTTTAATTGATATTGAAAAGTATTCACCCATGTACCTTTATTTTTACTGTTTTTTCTAGTTTACAAGACATTTCTAACCTGTTTTCTAAGTTTTTTAACTCAGTCTATTTCTTTTCTTCATCCAAAAGTAAAGCTTATCTTTCCCACCGGTGTTATGATCTGCCCAATAATTGCTTTTTCAGTATTGCTGATATAGAGTCTGGTTTTAATAAGTTTAAAAAAACCGTGAATTCTACAGGACCTGATATACAAGATCCTTTCTTTTTAACTTTAAATCTTTTCTTTGATACTCTGGCAAATCTTTAGACGTTCATTAGATGAAGGGGTATATCCGTCTATCTGGAAGTTAAGCTCCATCACCTCCATTTTTAAATCTGGAGATAAATTATGTGTTAGGAATTACAGGCCAATTTCTATCCTAGGCCATATTCCAAAGCTTTTTTAAAAGCTCGTACTCAAAAAGAACTGTGAAGAAAATGGTCCTCAAAGCTTTTAAAAGTAAGTGCTAGGTTAACGTTATATTTACGGACTTTGAAAAAGCTTTCGATAGAGTTGATCACAGCATTCTACTCCATATACTCAGTAAGACTGGGTTTGGTGATCTACTATTGACTTGGTTAGAATCATATATATATATATATGGTAGATATCAATCGATGAAAATTAATGAATGTAAATCTGATTTCTCTTTTATTCCTTCAGGTGTTACTTAGGGGGCAACCTGTTACCTTTACTCTTTGCATTGATTATCAATGATATCAAGCAAATAATTCCTAATTGCAATATTCTAACTTTTGTAGACGACCTAAAAATTTTCTGGCGAATCTGTCTCTTACTGCAGAACGAACTTAACACTCTAGCTATTTGTTTTGAAGCTATTGGTCTTAATTTGAACGTGAACAAGTGCCAGTCTATGTCCTTCTCTAGATCTCGTATTTTAATTAGTCACAACTACTCGATTAACAATATTAATCTTGCATCGATCAATTGTAAAAAATATCTGGGGGTTCTTATATACACTGACCTTAATTTCCACTATCATATCCAATCAATTAGTTATCAGGTGTATAAGACTCTAGGGTTCATAAAATGAATATCGTCTGAATTTAAGCTTACCTCTTCACTGAAGGCTCTTTAATGTTCCTTAGTATGGCCCTTGCTTGAGTATGGTTCTATATTGTAGGATCCCATTACAGCCTCCGACTCTGCAGTCATCGAGCGAGTTCAAAAACGTTTTCTATCCTATACCGGCCTTGTGCTGAATATTTCCATTCTTTTGTATTATTTGCATGACTATTCTTCAGTTCTCCACGTGCTTGGTCTATCTACGCTAGTCAATTAATTTAAAGATCCTCCGTAACCTCATCGGTGGTTCTGTGGACACACTGTTGCTTCTTTCTCTCATCAACTTTCGAGTTTCTCCACGTCCGACCAGCTCTTCCACCACTTTTGTAATCCCTTTGTACACCATCAATTATTGTTCAATAATCCTATACATCACATGATGCGCCTTGCTAACGACCACCCTTTGTTCTTACACCAATATCTGGTTAATAAATACCACTAATACCTTATTACCTGATTCTGTCTTTCACTTTCGCTGAATTGTCTGCGTGTTATTAAGTCCTACTGTACTTTGAGTCATGCCCGTATTAAATAAATAAATATAAATTTCTGGGATACCTTGGATACAAAGGAAAACCCGAAAATTATACTACTTTTATATTACTAAATTCCATTTGTAATGATTTATATTTAAATACATTATACAAACTTAATTGCCTTATGCATTCTATACTTTTTCAACAATAATTATCTGTAACAATGGCATACCCGTGAGCCGTCATACATTTTTGAAATTCAATTGTTTTTTATTAATTGGGAAAAGGGGAAAGTTTATTGTATTTTTGGTTTCATTATTTTTGATTTTTTTTTTTTAGTAATTGAATTAAAAATAGCCATCGAAAAGGAATTAAAATTTCACAGAAAACTTATATTTTTTGGGATGTGGTAAAATTTTCAAAATATTCTGGTGATTTTGATTTATTTATAGGCATTTGATATTTTTGATTTTTAAACGTTTTTATTTGATTTAATATGAATAAAATTATCTAAGAATCAATAACAAAAATGCATGCAAATTTAATACAGGGCTTATTACACGTTTAATTTAATCTTAGTGGTTAGCGTAATAAAGTAGTTTTTGTATTAGCATTATAAGGTCACCATAATTTTATTGAAAATCTTAAAAACTGCGGAATTGTTGCATACAGATATAAATTATTCCATCTTCTTTCTGAAAAAAATATATTAAATTCAACACTGTTTTTTTTTTTGCAACATAACACTGTAGGTCAAGGACCACCGTTACATAAAAAATCGTGTGGACTGTAAGCCGTTCATAGTCGAGACACTAAAATTTTTTTACAATCTGCAAGTGACCGCGATCGCAAGGGACTCGTTGATACCGACCCTGGCCCGGCCAAGGTATCCGTTCGAAGTGTTATTCGCCATTGGGGGCTGGAGCGGCGGTAGTCCAACCGCGATAATCGAAACGTACGACTGGAAATCTGACCGGTGGACAAGAATATTAAACGAGGACACATATGGACCGAGAGCGTACCACGGCACGATCGTCGTAGACCACTGCATTTATATTTTAGGTGGTTTCGATGGATTGGAGTATTTCAACTCGTGCAGGAAATTTGACACTCTGACAAAAACGTGGCTGGGGGTGGCACCAATGAATTGTAAGAGGTACTTATATTATGGACAGCTATTCATAACGAAAATATAGAGTGGGTCTCATTTTAAAGAAAAAATATACAAAATACTATATCACATCAGGTGTTATATAAGCGTTGCTTTGTTGGATGGAGTTATTTATGCTATGGGTGGATTCGATGGACACCATCGCCTCAGCTCAGCAGAGAAATACAGTGTTGATCGAAACCAATGGACAATGATACCATCAATGATGTCCGAGAGAAGTGACGCGTGTGCTGCTGTCTTAAATGGTATGCAGGGTCGGACTGGGAATCGGTCCTCTACTCAGTTCATTGTTTATTTATGTATTCTCTATAATTACAAAGAAACAAAAATTAGTAGAGTTTCTCATAAACAAAACAACCCTTAAGTTTAAAATAATCACATGAGGTCACCAATCTCAGAAGTATATTAAAAATAGACCAGCCAAATTTTAAATTAATAGTGAAGTGAGGAATCTATTGGTTTTACTAAAATGTTAATTTTTTTCTTCTTGTCTGTGGACACATTTTTTTCTAGTAAACTTGATTTGAATTTTACGTGTAGCACCTTTTCTGAAAGCTCAAATTGTAATTTTTTGATTTTCAATGTTATTTTTAAAATAAAAGCACCACATAAGTAGGAAAACTTACACTTTCACGATTTTATTATTTTATAAAAACGCGGATTACGTTTTCTACCAGAAAAAAAAGATTTATTTGAAAAATCACAAGATACCTTTTTTGTTTATTTTCTTACGGCATCATTGCCAAAACTTTTGAGCTTTTAAAGAATTTTAATTTTTGTGAGTTTTTTGCTGTAATTCAGTTATAAATATACGTAGAGACTTGAAACTTAGTTATAATACCTATATTGGACTTACCTAGATGTGGTAAAGTTTCCAAAATTATCGGAATTTTTTTTTTTTTTTTTTGCGTTCTTTCGCATTTGGTGAGAAAACTCTTGAGAAAATAGAAAAATGACTTACAGTACCCACACCGATTTCCTTTCAGAAAAGTGGCTACACCTAAAAATCTGAATAAGTCTTCTGGTAGAAAAGTTGTTCATAGTTATTTATAATACTATTAGCTTCTTCACTCCACTAAAGATTTACAATAATGAATTAATTAACGTTCCTATTTCTTCCAAAATAATGGATTTTATTCCTTCATTTCTTCCTCTAAAAAGGAATTAGTTTTAGGAATTTGTCCTTAACAGCACTGTAGTTTAGTACTTTGCATACAAATATACATAAAATATGTAATCAATATTTTTAGAGTTATAACAGTAACTGTACAATATGATTAATATAAATAATATATGGGTTTTTAGTGACTGATGCACTACAATAATATTGCCGTATTATTTTGTAGAATATCAATGTATTATAAATTATTAACAATCGGCCCATGAATCAATTATTTTGAACGGCCCACCGAGTTTTGATCGGTACTTCGCCGGCCTAGTGTGACCCTGACGATAAGAGTGAAACCTCAAATTTTCTATAGTTTTTATAGATGGTCGGGGTCGAGGTTTAAATTGCAAATAGATTATAGGCGTTTTTTTTTTATGTTATTGATTATTTGACCGAATTGATCGCTAGTTATGTAACTCCGCAGATAAGATATACATAACCGGTGGTTTCAATGGGCAAGAGTGCTTGAATACAGTCGAGATTTACGATGCGATTACGAATGTTTGGACGTTAATACCACCTATGCGAACGAAAAGAAGCGGCGTGTCGTGTATAGCATTCCGTGATTGTTTGCACGTGATGGGTGGCTTTAACGGACTTAGCCGGATGAAAAGCGTTGAGTGTTTTAATCCGACCACGAAACAATGGTCGTCATTGGCGGACATGCATAATCCGAGAAGTAACTTTGCCATCGTAATTCTAGATAACATGATATTCGTGGCCGGAGGTTTTGACGGCATAACCACTATATCCAAGGTGGAATGCTACAACGATTTCCTGAACGAATGGTTAGCGTTTTGTATTTTTGTTCTATCGAACGAACACGATACTTTTTATAAAGGCAAATTTTCGTTATTCCACATTGATCGATCACCACATTATTAATATATAGATCTACAAATACGTTTATTGCACTTAATATTATCACGATACTAGTTTTACTGTCATGTTCGTATCGTGTTTGCCTGCAGTGTCTACGTTCACTCGACTGGTCATATAATATATAATTATTGTCTAATATGCTTTATGAGCCTGTACCGTCCTGCAAAGGTTCGAGGTCAAAAGCATGCAGGTATTGAGGTCAGCCCTCACGGCATGCGTCATCAAAGATCTGCCCAACGTCGCGTACTATATGCCTTTAGATAGTGATAGATTGTCGGAGGAAGGCCGAGCGCAGGAATATGAGAGGAACGGCAACCAGGATGTTGAGAGCGTCCCGCAAAACTCTACAGGTGAAAATAATACCACGATTGCTGTTACAATTCAATACAATAACGCCGGTAATGCCACGTATACGTTAGATGAAGACGGCTTCATATTTGATGGTGACGACAGAGACGATAATAATGATGGCCAAGATGAAGAAGATAACAACGGCGTGAACGAAGAATTAGTATTATTTGTCTATCGTCATGAACAATGATAGGTGGTTTAATTTTCTGGTGACCTATAAAGCCTATATAACCTATAATGCCAAACCGATTGTGTATGAAATAATGATTACAATTAACATTGTTATTTTATTCTCTTTGCAGGGAAGACCATAAGTGGTCTTCATTTGCAGTCGGTGATGTGGGAGACATGGACTGCACCTAAATCCCACATAAGATGTATTACTAAGTATGACAAGTGTTTATTTTCGAAAAATGTACTGTATTATTGTATCTGTTATATTATACTCAATTATTGCTCGTAACAACACTGTTTCCATCCGCATATAGTAGTCATTATTATTGTTCATAAATTTCGAATATTGCTTACCTTTCTTCTGTGTTCATAGGCTTATTGCATATTAATGCTCTTATTATTGTTATTCTATTATTTTTATCGTAATTATTATTTATTCTGTGGAAGGCATATTCTGTTTCAAATTCATAAAGTATTTTATTTAATTCACTTAATTTTATTTCTTCTTTTATTTCGTATATATTTAATATACTAATATTACGTTATTATTTTCGACTTTACATAAAGTGTTATCATAGTACACATCTTTGATAATTTTTTGTTTATGGATTATAATACTATTTGATGTTTATATATGAACATCCCAGAAACGTTGATGTATAATAATGTATCCATAAATTTGAAAGATGTTTCTGTAACATAACAATAACAGCTTAGTGATGTAATGGAAAATAAATTATATTTTTAATAATAATATAATAACAAATTAATTCAATTAATATTTTTAAATAGATAAATATTGTGGTTTTTTATATTTTAAATATATCTTGGGCCTACCGTTAAAATAACTGCGGTTCACTAACCCACCCACCAGAGCGCTAGTATTTAAAAACCTCAAACTTTTATGTCTGAGGTCATTTCAACTTATATTAGCTAAAAAGACTGTAGATATATTGTACAAATGCAGTAAAACAGAATAATTTAAAAGTTAAATCAATTTTTTTGATATTAAATATATCACAAAAATAATAATTAAAATAGTGATAATATGAATAACAAAAATAATAAGAATTAATAAAAGTTAGACCTAAACACTTTTATTTTAAGCAACGTATTGCAAGTAGTTTAATCAACAATATTTTCTATACCTGTCAACGTTTTCATTTCGATGAATTTAAAAGTGATAAGCCAGTTAGCCACTGCTCAAAATGTTTTTTTCTTTTACCACATAGTACAACATTTAATGAACCTTATGTTAAATTCTTAAGCATTTCTATTTGGTCTAATAATTTTATCCACAGAATAAAAATACTAAATAAAACTACTAAATAAAAATTACGTACAAAACTCGCAAAATTATAATGTCTTAAATTGCTCAACAATTTTACTACGTTAAGAAAAGACAATTATAAGTTATGTTCAAATTTAAAGTATCTACGAATATTTTTAACTGAATTACAATCAAAAATAAAATTGAAAATAATAAAAGCATTATTTTCGTAAATTTTCCCGTTTTTCTTACGTTTTATCCTAGATTTTCCTGATATTATAAAAACTGCTTGAAAAATCAAAAAATGATCTTCCTAAAGTTCCATATAGACAGTATGAAAATATATTATTTTCATCTCACTCTTGAAATAATATTTATTGAAATGTATAAATGAGAAATGTTTCATTCTTGTTTCAATCAAAATATTTTCAACTCCGTAATCATCTTGAACCAGTTGCATTAGTACTTAGAATTATGGATAATTTGTGTAACAAAAAAGAAAATTGCACAGCTTACAGGAGAGGAGAATCGCCCCCTTCCCCCCTCTGGGATGCGCCTGCCCACCAGTCACTAAAGATAACATTTTAAACATAATATTGTACTTTAAATTGCAATAAATACGTATATGTGTATTCACAATAAATTACTTTTGTAAATTATTGTTTGTGTCATATCCAACCGTACGTTGAATATTTTTTTTTATTTTGTCATTTTTACTTGTTATATATTCTTGTTAAAGTATAATAGAGTGGTATACTTGATAGGGGACAATGGGTAGTCTTTTTAGCTTTAATCATAGCTATAGCTTATAGGTAATAAAATAGTATAGTATTTATACCCGGGATATTTATTATTTATTAGTTTACTTAATTAATTAATTATATATTTTGGGCATTTTAAACAGTGTTACCAAAAAATAACCAGTGATAATAATATCGGGCAATTTGTGTCTGTAATCACAGTGTAAGATAATACATTATTTACCATAGCTGTAAATAATACAGTATACAGTTTTTTTGTATGTATAATTGTGTATATATGGTCAACTGATAACAATAAAGACGTAGATAGGAATGCCCGATACTGTGAAGTGTTTTCACATCCCTGTTGTGTGTCTCATCTTTCATAGTTGTCTTTTTTGTCAATTCTTTTTATAAAAAAAAAAAAAAAAATTGTTCTATTCCATTGAAAAATTAGGAGAATAAATGAATATTTTACAATTTATAAAACAAATACAAGTAATAAAACTAAAGATTCAGACTTTGTTTTTAGTTTAACGACAATTATTTTGCGAGTCAAAACAGTCAAATTTTTGGTAATAATCATCTACCAAGTAGAACAAAAAAAAATAATAATCGTCCACCAAACCGAAATAATAATCTTAGCAGAAATAATAATTTTAACAGAAATAATAATTATAATTGTTAACCAGTAAACTATGATAATAATCGCAATATTAATTTCACTCGTCCACCAATTAATTATAATAATAATAATAATCGTTCTTTAACTTGCATTTATTGTAATAAAATCGGACATAAAGCCGAAGAATGTTATAAAAAAATAAATGACAATCGTAGGAACCAAGCACAAAAAATTAACTACAATAACAGTTTCAATGGGCCAGGAAACGGGCCAGAATCGAACGCAACTTACAGATGCGTTCGATCAATTAATTATCCGCAGAAATAATAGACAATGTTTCCACATTGTGTCTTTAACAAATTATAATCACGTAAAATGCAAAACTGATGCAAGTAAAATAGGGGAAATTGAATTACTTGTAAATACGGAAAGTGAATTAAATGTAATTAAGTTAGAATGCATGAAAAAGGAAATTTGGTAGATGAAAAAAAAAATATGTTTAAAAGTGGTATAGTGAAAAAATTATAGAAACTATATACCTATGTATGATAGTTATACCACTAAAAATAAGTGGAATAGTATTTAATATGGAATTTAATTTAGTTGAGAATAGGTTCTCCGTACCAGCAGATAGGATATTAGGAAGTTCATTTATGGAAGAAATAAAAACATTAATAGACGTAGAATATGGTAAATTAGTGTTGCCAGATATAATAGGCACCATAATATTAATGGACTAGTATATGGTGTGAATAAAAATAAGGTTTGCATAGATAATTAAAATAATAATATAGATAATTTAAATATGGGAAGCAAAAATAATTTAAAGAAGAATATTCGGAAAGATTCTGATGAACACATTTGTTATGTAGTCGCTCGCACCTGTGTCCACGTACGATTTGTTTAATTCATTGATTTCTTCAATTTTGTTTTTGTACAGCAATAAATGCCTGTTCAGAATTTGAATGATTTCCTTCCTATTTTTTTTTTCAATATACTGTTGTTTCTTTCAGTATCCAGGTTTTTTACAATGATTGCAATTTCCTGGCTTTGTTTTCGCATTTTTATTATATTTTTGTAAATTATAATTCTTACCTTTCTTTGCAGTCAACGCACTATTTTCGGTAATATCTTCACAGGCTTCTTACTCTCTTACTTTTCGCGTTTCTATTACCATTAATCACGAAGTCAAATTTGCTAGTGTTCTATCTCCAATATTCATTGAGTCCCAAGCACTATAAAAATGTTTATGGCTGTCTGGTAATGTCATTCAAATTGTCGTAATTAAAATTGAATCAGAAATTGGCTCACCCAAATGTTTCAGTTGCCTACTTAGATTTTCTAATTTTAAAAATGCTCGTAACACTATTGTGTATCGTATCATTATGAAATACGTTTGGAATATAATGGGTTAGTTATGGGTGGCCCTTTAAGTGATTTTTTATCTGAAATTTACATGCAAAATTATGAAACTAATAATATTATTAACAACAAAATATACTGTCCATATATAAAAGATTATAGATATTATAGATATGTTCATTTTATTTAGAGGTTCAAACAGACAAGCAGAAAATTGAATTAACTACTTAAACAAAATAAATAAAAACATTCAATTTACGTAATAAACAATAAATTTGATTTTAATATTTGTAAGAAACCTACACAAACTGATTGTATAATACCACAAGATTCTAATAACCTTTATTCTCAAAAAATATAATTTTTTAATTCAATATTCTATAGGCTTGAACGTATTTCATAATTACAGTATGCGCATTATCATATTAATATATCTGATCTTATTATTATATATTTTTAGCTTCTGTAAATCTGTACTTCAACAAATATTGTATCGATTTTCCTATTTTTCCTACGTTTTTTCCGGTTTTCCAATGTTTTTTCTTGGTTAGGTTTTATTGTTTAGGATTATCAATTTTAGTTTACTAAACATATTATATATATTGTATTATATAGTATTGATAATAGTTTTCTTATGGTATGCAATTGGTTGAACTATTTTTTACACTTCTTTGAAATTAATTTGACTATATGTATGATTAATTTTTATTTTTCTTGTTCTCAATTGCAAATTTAATTGAATATAGCAAATTTACATATATTTTTTCAGTTTATCCAACCAAATTCAAATTATCTATGTATTATATCCTCGCCAAATGTCCAATTCACATGCGTAATACCAGTGAAGATTACTTTTACGTTTGACAAATTATTAACTAAAATACAATATCATTTATAATAATAACATTAACAATAACAATAACATTTATGATATAATTATTATTATGTTATAATATAATTATTGTTGTGTTATAACTTATAATATTTTAATTGGTTTGACACTATTGGCCGTAAAGGTTCATGTTTTCCGTAACCATATAGTTAACACATCTCTTTTTTGTAATCCTTCACGTGTAACATAGGCATTCCTTGGGACGAATTATTCATATATCAGCATCAAAATCACTTACAGTCATACATATATTATGTAGACAACAAGCTGCTTTAACAATTATTCCACTAAATTACCTATCATAAATATCAAGTTTTCTAAAACCATAAAACATATGAAGTAATGAGAATTCATTTAATAATAATAAACTTAAAATAGTATTGTACATTAAAATGCATTACTTCAATTTAAAGAATCATCTAACCAGTTTTCCAAATGCTAGTTCCACAATAATTCTGGAATTACTCAATTTTTGGTTGAAATGTATTTGAGTGGATGTCAATTGTTAAATGACCAATATTCTTATTTGGTTTAAATAAAAGCTTCAGTTAGAATTATCAATAACCATTGACATATTGTGTTTAATTTTCAGTGGTAATTTATTTATTAATGACGTTTTTTATGGCAACATCTCTACAAAATCGTATGTAGTTGTGCTTATAAAAGTTTTGGGTTTTGAGTAGAGCCTATAGTTTTACAAAGATGTTTTTTGTTATTTTTTTTCAGTGAACAACTTTTCTACCAGAAAATTTGATCCAACTTTTAATGATGGCAATGTTTTATAAGGAAATTACATTAGGGAAGTACTTAAAGAGGTTATTTTTCGATTTTCTTAGGAGTTTTCTCATCAAATTAGAAACACGGGGATAAAACATGGGGAAACGTAAAAACGTAAGAACATTGGAAAAATCGGTACAAAATTAAACAAATATTATTTAAGAAAATATATAAAGTATATTTAATTATTTTACTACAATATGGCATATATATTGTCGACAAAGCGCCACTATCAACTGAACTCCGCTATGAATCATTTTTTCGTAATCAATGGTTTATCGTTGCTTACAGGTATACGTTAAATTACCTATAACAGAAGTTGCACCCGTCTCTATTATCCTGGGATGTCATTCTTGACGTACATTTCTCCAGCAACCCCACATACGATTTTTGCAAATGTTTTGTTTGCTACCATTAACTATGTAATTTGAATGTAAATTTGTAATTTTTGAAATTTAAGTGCCTCCAATTCAAGGTTCAATAACGATTTAAGCATTTCTCTAGCACTCCTCAAAACAAAACCAATGAGGGTAGTGAAAAAAACATGCTAACGCCTTCGGTCCTGTTTTGAGGGGTTGCTGGAAAAATGTCTAAATACTTAGATCGTTATTTGAACTATCATTGTGTCACCGGACATTATTTACTTAGACCAACTGACATGAAACCAATAATGAACAGTAAGTTAAAATAATTAATTACTTACCATCGTCTAATGTTACAAATTCTAAATTAGAAATACTGAATTACAAAGTGTTTTTTGATTTTTCAGCAATTGATTGTTAAAGTTAATAAATAACAATTAATAGTGAGCATTGTATTAGATACTTATCTATACTTATATTATGGTCGTCGTTTTGTTTGTCTCCTATATTAACATTAATTGAGGTTTGGATAATTACAATGAGCGTTATAATAGCGAAAATTAGAAGATATTCATATGAAATCATGGTTATTCTATTTACAATTACTAACCTGATCGAAGTAAAGAATAATTCAAAATATAATATTATAATTTATTATATGCTTGGAATAAATATTATATATATTTACACAAACATTTTAAGTATAAGGTGTATCGGTGACCCATATCGGATATTATACCCGTTCAAAATGAATGATTAATGCATTTTTTGTAACTTAAACAAACACACGCTAGTGTTCAACTTTATGTTTTTGTTGACGTTTACTACAGGGTGATTTTTAATTCTATGCTCCATAGATTATCTATAAATATTTGAGTAAATTTGAATTTGGTTTTTTCAGTCGTCATAAATATTATAAACATATTAACTTTTAATTTTCGTACACAAATATTTTCTATTGAAATTTGGCTTTTAAAGTACAGTTGCTACTCAAAAATTAAAAGTTAATGTGTTTATAATATTTATGACGACTGAAAAAACCAAATTCAAATTTACTCAAATATTTATAGATAATCTATGGAGCATAGAATTAAAAATCACCCTGTAGTAAACGTCAACAAAAACATAAAGTTGAACACTAGCGTGTGTTTGTTTAAGTTACAAAAAATGCATTAATCATTCATTTTGAACGGGTATAATATCCGATATGGGTCACCGATACACCTTATAATTAAAATGTTTGTGTAAATATTCCAAGCATATAATAAATTATAATATTATATTTTGAATTACTCTTTACTTCGATCAGACTAGTAGCTGTAAAAAGAATAACCATGATTTCATACGAACATCTTCTAATTTTCGGTATTATAACGCTCATTGTAATTATCCAGACCTCAACTAATGTTAATATAGGAAACAGACAAAATGACTATAATCTAAGGACAGGTATTTAACCTAATATCTACTTTTTATTATTATTTATTAACTTGACAACCAAATCAATTACTGAAAAATCAAAAAAACAACTTGTAATTCAGTATTTCTACTTTAGATTTTATTACATCAGACAATGGTAAGTAATTAATTGTTTTACAACTATTTATTCATTATTGGTTTCACGTCTGTGGGTCCAAGCAAATAATGTCCGGTGACAATAATGGTCCCGGACATTCATTTCTACGGTTTTTCCCGGTTTTTTACAATGATTATGCAAACCGCTTGAAAAATAGAAACAATTAACTCCGAAAAGTACTACTCCAGTCAGATCACTCTTTTCAGTAGTTAAATTGCTGTAGAAAAGTTGTACATAGAAAAAATAAAAAAATAACCTCTCAAAAGTACCATCTGGACAACATTCCTTTTCAGAAATAGTACTACGTGTACATTTTGGAACAAGATTTCTGATAAAATTTTTGTACACAGAATAAAAAAAAAAAAAATAGAATAAACATCTTTGAAAAAACAATTTATTCTTCGCTACAATGTAAAAAAGCTACACTCACAATCTAAAACATTATACTAGATAAGAAAAAATGTAAATTGAAATTTAAAATATGAATTTTCGATGTGAATCCTGATTAATGAATTTTTGTTAATCTAGATTTTTATCACAAAACTAGAAACATACAAATTATATTAATTTTAAAAATTTTGATTTTAAGATTGGTATGAACAATTCTTCAGTTTTGGTTTCGACTTTTAAAATGGTTTTTAAAATGGTTCGGTCCCGATTACGGTTATGGTGTTAAGAAATGTCATAACCAAAGATTAAACAGGTTTTTTTCAAAAACTTGTTTGAAGCCCTGTATTTTATCGATCACGTTAGTAGATGTTAATTGAAATAATCATGATTGCACACAAATATCTTTTGATTTTCGCTGTTATAACAATTGTCCAAATCTTATGTCGTGTAAATGTAAAAGAAAAAAAAATTACACTAATATGAGTATAGGAAGGTATCTAATACAATACTCACTATTTATTGGTATTTATTAACTTTGACAATGAAATAAATTACTGAAAAATCAAAAAAACATCTTGTAATTCAGTATTTCTAATTTAGATTTTGTAACATCAGAAGATGGTAAGTAATTAATTATTTTACAACTATCTATTTATTATTGGTTTCACGTCTGTGGGTCCAAGTAAATAATGTCCGGTGACATAATAATGGTCCCGGACATTTGGTCTGGTGCAAAAATTCTCAATAAATTAAAATAATAATAAATTATCTTTCGTAACGTTCAAACAATGAATGTAAAAAAGGATGGACATACTTTACACGATGGGTGGACCACTAACGTTGATGAAAACTTGAGAAAGTAGGATATATAGCGATATATATGTATATCTGTACGCATAGACATGTGTAGAACTTTAGTACGGATACGGCAACATTTTTCTTATAGGTTCTTAGTTTAGGTAACAGTTATTTTGTGATAAAACTACAGTTAAGGTAAACAATTCAACATTTTGTTAAAAAAAAACAACTTTGTAATTTACTTTTTTTACTTTAGAATTTGAAACAGTAGAAGAAGGTAAGTAATATTAGTTAATATTAATATTACCTACTACTTATACTTTTACTTTTACTAAGTTTATCGCTAGTATAGAGATCTAAAAAAAAAAATTGAAAAATTAGATTAGATTTGTTCCATATAAATTTTTATTCAACGATTTTCGTCAAAATTTTGTATTAAAATTCTCTTATAAAATTGAATAATACATTAAACTCAATTTTTTTTTTATCACAAAGGAAGACTCTTAATGAATCTCTTATTTAATTTTCAAGCATTTATTGAAAAAAAAAAAAAACTAGTTAAAATTATAGTCTAACAATTTTACCACAGAGTACCTACCGAATACAAATTTCGTATAAAACTTACAAAATTAAAATGTCTATGAATAGCTCAAAAATGGCTTAAACTTTTTTAAAAATTTTACCATGTCTAGAAAAGGCAAATATAAATTGCCTGTCCCAATTTTAAGTCCATAGAATTGATACGAATATTTTTAACTGATTTACAACAATTAACAAAATTGAAAAATAATAAAAACATTATTTTAAACTCCAAATTTTCTATTTTTCTTACGTTTTACCCTGGTTTTTCATAGACATTATGAAAACCGCTTGAAAATCAAAATATAACCTTTCAAAAGTATTATTTGGACAACATTCCCTATTAGAAATAGTACTATGCGTACATATTGGAGCAAGATTTCTGATAGAATTTTTGTACACAAGATAAAAAAAAAAAATCTTTGAAAAACCAATATATTCTTGGCTTCACTTTAAAAACGCTGCACTCACAATCTGAAAAATTATGTTGGATTACAAAAAAAATCACATTTCTATCTAACACAATACTCACTATTTATTGTTATTTATGAACTTTGAACTAAATTGCTAGAAGATCAAAAAACACCCTGTAATTCAATATTTCTACTTTAGAATTCCTAACACCAGACGATGGTAAGTAATTAATTATTGTATAACTCTTTTAAGTACATTCTAATGAAAGTTCCTTTTAAAAACGTTGCTATCATTATATTTAGAGAAAAATTGCTAGTAGAAAAGTCGTGCACAGAAAAATGAAGGCCGTAATATGTTTTAAATAATACAAACATTTCATATATTTTCCGGTTTTTTTTTTCGGTTTTTCGCATTTGATGAGAAAACTTGAGAAAATCGAAAATTAGCTTCCTTATAGTACTCAATAGCATGACTATGTATGCAACGATTAAGCATAGCTAACGTAAAACGATTCTGAGCGCATGTTTAATAGGCCGTAATATTTACATTGTTCATCAAAATTTGATAGTAAAATTCTTATAAAAAAAAATTACATTCAACTCATTTACTCATAAATATTCATTGATCAATTTATAATAATTCTGTTAAATTTTCTAGAATTTCGGTTTGGTCTAATAATTTTCCCCACGGGATAACTATCAATAAATATTACCTGCGTAAACTCGCCAAATTAAAATGTCTATAACTAACTTAAAATTAGCTTTACATTTTTGAAAATTTCACCACATCTAAAAAAGACAAATATAAAGTTTTCATCAATATTTAAAGGACCTAAGATTATTTTTCACTGAATTTCAAAATTGAAAATAAAAGTATTATTTTCGTAAATCTGTCCATCATTTCTACGTTTTTTCCCGGTTTTTTACAATGATTATGAAAACCGCTTGAAAAATTGAAACAATTAACTCCTAAAAGTACTACTCCAATCAGATCACTCTTAATTTTGTTAATTTGCTGTAGAAAAGTTGTACATAGAAAAAAAAAAATAACCTCTCAAAAGTACCATCTGGACAACATTCCTTTTCAGAAATGGTACTACGTGTACATTTTGGAAAAAGATTTCTGATAGAATTTTTGTACACAGAATAAAAAAAAAATAGAATTGTTGTTGTATCTAATACAATACTCACTATTTATTGGTATTTATTAACTTTGACAATGAAATAAATTACTGAAAAATCAAAAAAACACCTTGTAATTCAGTATTCTACTTTAGATTTTATAGCATCAGATGATGGTAAGTAATTAATTATTTTACAACTATCTATTTATTATTGGTTTCACGTCTGTGGGTCCAAGTAAATATTGTCCGGTGACATAATAATGGCCCGGACATTTGGTCTGGTGCAAAAGTACTCAATAAATTACGCTTCGTAAAGTTCAAACAATGAATGTAAAAAAGGAGGACGGATATATTTTACACGATGGGTGGGCCACTGATGTTGATGAGAACTTGAGAGAGTAGGATACAGGGAGTAATTTAATATATATCTGTACGCATAGACATGTGTAGAACTTTGGTACAGATACGACAACATTTTTCTTATAGGTAATCAGTTTAGGTAATAGTTATTTTGTGATAAAACTGAAGTTAAAGTAAACAATTTAACATTTTGTTAAAAAAAAAACAACTTTGTAATTCACTTTTTTTACTTTAGAATATGACACAGTAGAAGGTAAGTAATATTAGTTAATATTAATATTACCTACTATTTATACTATATACTATACTACTATTTATACTTATACTTTTACTAAATATAACTTACTATTTATTTTCATATCGTTATTTGGTTCGGATAAATAATGTCTGATCATATAATAATGGCCCAGAAGATAATTTGGTGTACAATTATTGCGTACACAAAATATCCATCTACAAAATAATCCTCGACACTGGATCCAGTAGAAAAGTATTCAGTTTCTAACAAACTATTCATCGTAAAAACATACAACTAATCTTTTTCATCTCCTTTGTCTTCATCCCAAATATTTAGGATAGGCCACCTTCGTTTTAAACTTTCATTTCACCTGACCCCCTCCTTGCATACACCGACTATCTTCTTTCATTTTCGGTCGCATTCAACTATCTACTTTTCAGTTTTCTTTTCCACCTCTTTCCTCCTATGTTTATTTTCAATAAAATTCTTACTACTTTAAATTTTTTTGTTCCCAGGCATCACCAAGGCCCCAAACCATTTCAGTCTATTATCTCATTTTCTGGACTGCAGTCTTACCAATCAAATAACAAAATATATTTTGTGTCTTATTATTCACAGATATTGTACAACAAATTTCATATTGAAAAATTCAATAAAAACATTTTTTTTATTGAAAGATAGGAAACTGAGTTTTAAGGAATTGAATGAGTAATATAGGTACGCAACGGTGATCTTTGCGATTATTATAAAAGTACATAAGGGAGTGGGAGGGGTTGTCTAATCTTATTATATTATGTTAAATTTTCATATTCATAAACAAATGAAAATAAAAATCATTCTATAGTGAAAATTGACCTAAGCATAGATTTAAACACAAGCGTTTGTTTAAATCGCAAAAATGTACTAATGATTATTTTCAAATGATTTTGCTAATTATACCTTTAATATGTATCATATTTCGTCACCGATTGTACCTATTACCTTTTATTTTTGTATAAACATTCTGAGTACATATTATTATATTCAGATCAGGTTAGTAGGTGTGAACTGAAATAATTATGATATCATACAAACACTATGTAATTTTCGCTATTATAAGGCTCGTTTTAATTGTCCAAGCCTTGTGTTATATAAAAGTAGGAAATAAAAAGACAAGTGATTTACTAGATATAGGTAGGTGTTAAATAAAACACGTCTTGGACGTCGTATTTGCATGTTTTGTCTCCGTCATACAACCGCGCGATAAAGCAAATTTTTTTACTAGGGACAACTTTGTGCTGTAAGTTTTGATATTAGAGTGAATTGATCTATTATCAAACTTTAAAATATACAAATTATCTTATCTGTGTCGTATTTTTTTTCTTTATTATAATTTTTAAGCGAGATATAAGCATTATTAAATCGTGATATTTCACACAATCATATCTCACTTGAAAATTAAAATAATAAAAAAAAACCCCCCGAAACGATACAGATAATATTTAAATCTTTGAGTTTAATAATATGTCAATTCACTCTAATTTTAAAATTAATAGCATAAAGTTGTTCTTGCTGAACGAAAAATTGTTATGACACACTGTTGTATAACGGAGACACCACATACGGGTACCACGTCCTCTTAAAAAGGTTACTATTACAAATTTTGTAAAAAATTTTTATTCAAATATCATTATCTATTATTAACTTAGACAATGAATTTAAGAACTAAAAAAAACATCTTATAATTCAATATTTATACTTTAGAATTTTTTGAAGCAGAAGATGGTAAGTACAATTATTTATTTTATATCTTGGCTGACTTTTTGGGGGGGGGGGGTAGAGGAGCTAGGCCCCAAAGTCCTCTTTATTTGCATATATAAGCTTACGAAGCATTTTTGGTTATTTATTTATTTATTAATACGGACAAAAGTCCAATTCACAATATATTTGTATAGATAACAATAAAATATAACTTATATAAATTATAAATTTATATAATTTAAAATAATAAAATATAACATAATAAAAAATGAAAAGATTAATATATCAAATAATAGTAATAATAATAATGATAATGATAATAATAATAATAATAATAATAATAATAAAAATACTTTCAATGTTTAATAAAATAATTAACTATTTCCCGAAGACATTAAAATATTTATGGGGTCATATGACGTAAACTTTTTAGATGAATGAGGAATATAAAATAAATGATTGTTACGAGTGTGGTGGCTATTAACTTTGAAATTTAATTGACTTAATATTAAAAAAAATAAATTAAAAATGTACTCGACAAGGCATATTAACCTTAACGGGTTTATACATTTTTACATTGTATTTTATAACAGTCAACGCTATAAATATATCGTTATATTAAAACACACACCCGAATCGTTTTACTACGTGGTACTGACCAATAATAGCTATACAGTAATAAGGTAAATATCGAATATTGTATTCGATCATTTTACATACCTATACACCACTTGTAATATATAATATTGTAATATAATTGCAGTATTGCATTGTCAGTGCAAGTAGGTATATAGTACAAATCCGTAGTTACTGGGCTTGACAAGACTGGTTCAGACCAAGAAATGTGTGCAAAATCCAGAATTTATGCACATAATAGAAATATAAAATTTAACGGTAGTTATTTGTTATAATTAGAGCGGAAATATTTGTACGTCTATGCCTCTATAGGTTTCGATTACACTATTTTCAGGCATACTACCTACACTCTACATTGTATTATTATAGACTCGCATATATGTATGTAACTATATATCATGTAGGCAGCCAGGCAGGTATGCAACATAAATTTACAGTATTATTCGATTATAGGACGGCCACGGTTAATAATAAAAGGAATTTTTGTTTAGTTGTATTCTATTATTAGTTGAAAATTAGATTTTTTAAAATTACAGTATCCATATAACGATAAATGCACATAATTATATGAATATGTATAATATAGGTACACATTTAGTTCATTTTCAAGGGATTGTAATTAAGAGTTAAAATTATTGATGACAATAATATAACCCCAATTTTTTTAGTCTCTACCGTAATATGATTAGTACTATTATAGTTAATGAATTACTGTACCTATTTATATTTCTTCAATTTTAAGATCTAGATAACCTAATTAAGACATTTTAAAACCACCCTATTTGTAAAGTATAGTACATGCTATCTTGAATATCCTACTATATTCCTAATATAGTATTGATACTGGTTTTATTTTTGTTATACCTATAATATAATATGTTTTATAGTTTTTTTATTTATAATCAACAAAATATATTCGGTATACCTTTTAATATTAGTAATTAAACTAAGAAATACATACACAATCATTGAAATATGTAATAGTAACTTAAGATATTACTCAAGGATGTTATTTCGATTTACAATACAAATTTGTTCGTCCCTATAATGCAGGGTAGACCATTAATTTTGAAATAAATAATCAATTCCAACTTGACTTTCAGGTTTTATTTTGGAACATAAATGTATTTCAAATAACGTATAGTCAACTAATTTGTATCTAGTAAACTAGAAATAACTCATAGGTACCATTCAGTCCCATGGACATCGTAAATATATTTTTTGAATATATACGAAACTTGTAACTAAAGTCAAATTACGTTTATGAGATGTACTAGGGATTGCTAATGCCCAGTTGAGCGACATAAAAATAAGCAATCTATAGGTATAGTTACATTATACCATCTTAGAGATTGAAAATTAAAAACAATCTATAAGCAGTTATGATAAATAATGTTTCCAAGATTACATTATATCACATTTGTAATATATCACACTATAACTAATATATAATATTTATTTTTAACATCCCAAATCCTCTCGGCAGTACAAGTAGGTTTCAGAAATGGGAGATCTTGTTTTGATCAAGTTATGTCCCTCACAGTTTTTATTGAAGCAGGATTCCAAAAAGTGCCTCAAAACCAGTGTTGTATTTATTGATCTATCATCTGAATATAACACAGTTTGGAAAGAAACACTGATGCTAAGACTATCCAAAGTAGTACTTTTTGCTAAGTTTATTAATTTGGTAAGCAATTTGATAACAAATTGAAGATTTAATAACAAAGAGACAAGCAACGGATTACTTTTAGGATCGATACTTACTCACTCCTTTACTTTTCAACCTATATGTACATAATTTAATAGCAATAACCTGCAGAATATTCCAATATGCTGACGATATAGCTCTGGTCACCAAGAATACTAAAATCGCAAAGTGTGAAAGTATTTTAAATGAGGCTCAAAAAAACTTTCAGATTTACTTATTAAAATGGAGGCTCAAACATAATATTTTAAAAACTATTTCTTCTTTCTTTCATTTAAATAACAGAGAAGCTAACGTTGAAAAGAAAATTATATCTGAAGATCATAGTATTAAATACGAATCTACATCTAAATACCATGAAGTAACCTTAGATAGAACATTGACGTATTGGAGGCATCTCGAAAACACAGCAAACAAAATTAGAAATAGAATAACATAATCGCCAAGTTGGCAGATACCAAGTGGGGAGAAAATACATAGACTTTGCAAACCTTTGCTTTGGTTTTGGTATATTCAGTAGCAGAGTATTGTGCACCTATTTAGCTAAATAGCAAAATAGTTCAACTCCCTTCTGTAAATGAGACGAAAATCGAGGAACCCGGCATGGAATTGCAAATATTTATATAAACGAGTCCCAAGTATTAAATAAATGGATTAATAAATGGACGGAAGAGTTAGCTAAAAATAACCGTTTAATTTGGGTCCCTAACAACCGCCTGCCTGGTTTCAATCTTCCCAGAAAACAATGAGTACTCCTGAACAGATTTCGATATAGTTAGGGACGATGCGCGTACTTTATGAGTAAATGGAGATTAGGATTTCAAGTAGTTGTGAATGTAGAAATACAAACCAAACGATGATCCATATCGTAGAAGAATGCCCCTTATTTTCATTCATAGAAGATGGAGCTACAGAATGGTGGGTTAAGTTACCACTAAACTTAGAATTCTACATAATATTAAAAAGAAATCACCGTAATTAATTTATTATTTATTATTACCTATTATCAAGGTTTTCATTATTATTGTTTTTTTTTTTGTTATTATTTATGACTAGTACTTTATTCTATCTGTTTTGTTTACATAATATACTTTATTGTGTGATAAATTTATAAATCTGTTGCATGTCACATACGCTAAATAAAATTATTTCATTCAATGTTTAGTTTTTTGTCTAGTTTAGGGATTTAGAAAATAATAATTATTTTATAAATAAAAACATTAATTTTATTAAAATATTGGTACCAAATTATTATTTATTATTACGTAACAATTCATTAAATTGTTCCAAAAATTACTTTGTTATAATTTTTTTTTTAGAATTTTCTGAAGAAAAGATGGGTAAGTTATTTAGTATTTTGAAATTAAATGTTAACATTAAATTGAAATTATTATGTACTCATGATCATCCATTAGGGAATAATGAGGGACATGCCACTTTTGTAAATTAATAAAATATGCTTTCTAATTTCTTTTCAGTTTTGGTGATTTAAGGTTCTATAATTCAGATACGCTGGTCTCCTTACATCATACTTTAAATTTGTGTGAACCACGGACTGCTAAATCAGTTAAATAATAACTTCTATTGTTAACAATTATAAAGTGTTTACTTATTAACTGCAAATCTTTATTTTACCAATATCCACTTGACTCCGTGAATATATATATTTTTGAGTCGTGCTATCTAGACCCGCTAACTACAATATTTTCGAAAAAGTGACCCTCATACTTTCGTAGTTATTTTTTAAACTATCTGGAACTTACTCGTGTCAACCAGAATAAGGATTCATGTATATATTTTAATATGGCTCTCTCTTTTAATACTTATTGTGTACAAGTCCATATTAGGTTTTATAACCTACAAAGACTTCAAAAATTGAATTGTGTTGAAGGCATTATACTGCGAATATATGCATTTAATTCTTGATTATACTATAGAGTTATTTCTATAGTTTTGTCACCAAGTACGGTAGGTTTAATATAAAATTGGTTTTTGAGAACAGTATCGTTTAGATGTAATGCCATACGACAACCTTACTTGTCTTACCAGCTATTATTGACTTTTTTAAACATCGAGTCATTTGAAACAAGACGAATAAGGTTAGATCTCTGCTTCTTCTATAAATTATTTAATGCAAATATTTACTGTCCTGGTTTACTATTCAAATTAAATTTCTCTATATCTAGTCGAATCTTGATATTTTCCTATGTGTAGGTACCTAACTATTAATAAATGTTCAATACATATTTAAATTCTTACTTTCTTAAACTACTATTAATACATTTATTTTGTAATTATAAATTTATTATTCTATAACTCATATAAGTTGCTCTGTTCTTGAACTTTAAATATACTATAAATATATAATTTTTTAGAAAGCCAAAAAAAAATTTGAATTTTTTTGATATTTGGTATTTAACTTTTAACTATTTGCTTTAATTTATTTCAGATACAAAACAGTATAAAGTGGATTACTCACAAGTTAATATAGGTACAATGCACATATTTGTAACCACATAGGTATTCAGGGGCAACTCCAGACCTGACTATGGTGAAGGGGTATGCGAAATAATTAAGTTTAATATTAATGATTGATAAGAAAAAAAAAGGATATACTTCGCATGATGGGTGGACCACTGTTATAAATGAGAAGTTGGGAAGGTATAGGATATTGAGGGATATTTAATGTATTTTGCATCAGAAGATGGTGGAATTAGAGTACCTTGAAAATAGACAAGTGGAGGATCAGTTCTTTTTAAATGGTACATAAACAGGTTTATCTGGATTTATTTTTATTGGCCATTTAGTTGCCCAGTTGGCAATGGAATCTAAGTGGATTTGTAGAAGGTTGGATGTTTCGTTAGGGTCATTACTAGCAAAAAGTATTGCGGTGTCATCTGCGTAAGTGGCCATTTTGGCGATTGCTTTAACAGGTATGTCAGCCATATAAATATTAAATAAGTTAGGAGAGACGTCGCTACCTTGGTTTCACCAGCTTCAGTATGGGCTTCCATATCGGATTAAATAGGAGCGGTTTTCGAGATATGAGCGAATAATTAGATAATATGGTGCAGGTAAAAAAAGTTTTATTTTATACAGGCCTTCATGCCACACTCGATCGAATGCCTGTGTAACATCCAGGAAAACACCTGAACAAAATTGTTTCATTTCGAAGGAAATTGATATTTCGTCTGTCAATCTATGAATTTGGTGTATAGTGGAATGTTTCGCTCTAAAACCGAATTGAGAGTTTGGGATAATTTTGTTAGTTTGCATTATAGGTCTAATTCTTTTAAGTATTATTTTTTTGAATAGTTTAGCTAGAGTTGGGAGTAAACTTATCGGTTAATATGAGGTGGCTAAAGTCTTTGGTTTATTTGGTTTCGGTATAAATATAACAGTTAATAATTTTCATATTAGTGGGAAGTATACAAATCTTAGAATAGCGTTGAAGATGAAAGTAATTTGTAAAATGGGTTTTTGAGGACGATTTTTGAGGACTTTATGGGTAATTAGATCGTAACCTGGTGATTTACCATCTTTTAATTTTTTAATTAAAAATACAATTTCATTTGGTGATGTATGTTTTTCCAACTTCAGAACTATAAATATTAAATATATGATTTCTTAAATAGCCAAAAATAATTTGATTTTTTTTGATATTTGGTATTTAACTTTTAACTATTTACTTTAATTTATTTCAGATGCAGTAGAGGATAAAGAGGATTACTCAAAATTTAATAGAGGTACAATGCACATATTTGTAACCACATAGGTATTCAGGGGTAACTCCAGACTTTGACTACGGAGAAAGGGTATGGGAAATAATTAAATTTAATATTAATGAAATGCCAGCTGATGATGATAATGATGATAAGAAAAAAAACGGATATACTTCGCATGATGGGTGGATTACTATTTTAGATGAGAAGTTTGGAAGGTATAGGATATTGAGGGATATTTAATGTACAACTCTACCTAAGCAAATTTAAGTATTAGCAACAAAAAACGATTCTGAGCGGAGCTCGATTAATAACATTGCTCAGGGGCGTCTTAGGGTCAATTTCATGGGGAGGGGGGATGAACAATTTTCACTCTTAAATACCAATGCTTTGATCAACAAAAACTTTAAACCTTTATGTCTGAGGTCATTTCAAATTATATTAGCTTAGAAAACTGTAGATATATTGTACAAATGCAATAAAACAGAATAATTTAAAAGTTAAATTTATTTTTTTCACATTAAATAAATAATAATTAAAATAATGATAATATGAATAACAAAAATAATAAGAATTAATAAAAGTTAGACCAAAATACTTTTATTTTAAACAGCGTTTTGCAAGCGGTTTAATCAACAATATTTTCTATACCTATTAACGTTTTTATTTCGATGAATACCTATTTAAAAGTAATTAGTCAGTTAGCCTCTGCTTAAAATCCATTTTGTTTTACCACATAGTGCGACTTTTAATAAACCTCATGTTAAATTCTCAAGCATTTCTTTTTGGTTTAACAATTTTATCCACAGAGTACCTACCAAATAAAAATTACATACAAAACTCACAAAACTAAAATGTTTTTGAATTGCTCAAAAATTTTACCACGCCAATAATAGACAAATATAAGTTTATGTGGAAGCTTCCCCCTCAGGGGCAAGCCTGTAGGTGTTTGAAACTAACAAACTTGATGAGGAACACTTTAATATGTATATTTTATTTATACTTTAGCACTTGAAACATCAGATTATCAGTTATTTGTTATTTTAATAATTTAAATGTTAACTTAATCACTAAACATTTAATTTGTAATACTACTGTGTACTTTAGATGCTGGTCCGGAAGCACAAAGTAAGTAATTTATCATAGAAAAAAATACGAAAAAAACTTTGTTAAAATAAATTATTTATTGTTTACAAAAATATTTGAATCAATAAAAAAATAACTTTGTACAGGTGTTTTAGGACATATTGGAAAACTAGTTTGTGAGTTAATTTATTTTAGAAAATCATATTTTTTTTTTTATAAAATTATTTAAATACGGTAATAAATACATACATTAAATGTTATCCACAAAAATAATTGTTTGTTCTTTGCTTTTATAGTAAATTTCAACTAACTTGATTGCAAAAAAAATGTAATTCAGTTGTTCATTGTAATTCTGTAATTATAATAGTACTGCCATTCTACAAGTTTCTATTAATTAACTTATTTTTTATATTATTATCATTGATTATAACTACTATAGATTGGCCACTCGCCAGTTTTTCGATGACGCGGCGATTGTCGTGTACCGCTTTAAAGCGCTGCGATCACATATTTAGTTCCTGCGGTTAACATTGCAATCGCTAGTAGTAGGTTCCCGCCTACCTACCCGCTTTAAAAATAAACATTGTTGAATTTATTTTTAACTATTTCTATAACAAATTAATATTATCAATATGGTCATTAAATGTTTGATGTTTTCGCTATATTGAATCATTTTATTACACTTTGTGCAAATACATAATATTATAGAATATGGATGGTAAATTAGTAAGGTTATACGTTAATACGTTGTGTCTTGTGCAGTTGTGCTTGTTTATTATTTTTTTTTTTTTATTTTTTTCTGCTATTGCGTCGAAAACCTTATATTGTTTGGTGACAAATATATGTACACGCACTATACAAATACACGAAGAAATTTGTTAAATATAATATTCTACCATCTCCCGTTAAATATAGACTTTGCAAAAAAATGCATAATTAATTCTGGCAACTATTTACTTTATTTGTATTCCAAATTTAAAACTATAATAATACATTATGTATTAATGTATTTATGTATTCATTATATAGGAAATATTAAATTGGATACTTTCGTGAATTTTCCTTAAAAATTTAAAAGAAAATTGATCTGTTTTACTAATTTTAAAAAAAATTAATTATTCCAATCCAGCATTAACCAAATCACGACTAAAACCAAAAAACTGTTCCCAAAAATTATTTAAGTAATAAATCATTTTTAATGCCTATACAATTATATACTCATGAAATGCATTTCATGCTTAATTTTTAAATACATTTTTTTATACTAGACAACCAACTAATTATTCTGTATTACTTCCTAGTGCCTATAAAATGTAAAGTTTATGATGAGTTGATGTATATTTCGATTTGTTCATATTTTTTTTATCACAAATAATCAATGATAAATATTTTTATTTTTTTTAAAAAAAAGAAAACAATAAAAGTTGTCTAAATATTAATACTCAACAAAATTGGAAAATAAATTTTAAAGGAAAGAGGTGGACATATTTTGCAACGGGTGGGCCACTATTATAGATTGGAAGTTGAGGAAGTAAGATATATAGAGTAGAATTTAATTTATATCCGTTCGCAACGATTACTCACGTAATTGTTGAAACATTTCGAAATTTTTTTTGCACCTAGAAACGCTAAGTACTAAATATTAATATTCTGTACAAATGTCAGGTCAATTGGGAAAAATTGGGAAGAAACCTAGGAAAAACGTACAATAATTTCACACAATATATTTGTTCAATTTTGCTTTAAATACTATTGACTATTAATGCAATACTATTAACCGAGCTCTGCTCAAAATTATCTTTCATCAACAATGGTTTATCGTTTTTTACAGTTATAAATTAATTAAACTTAATTATCCTACCTTTCCAACTGTCCACCTACAATAACGGTTGCACACACCCGTGTATCGGCCGGTCTTTTTCTCTTAAAATTATTCAAAATCACCGATTTAATGAAAATAAAAAGGGATTTAGCACTTCTGGACACCCATAATAACATCCCAAAATTTGATTAAATTCGGAATTTTTCTAAGGTACCCCCCTCCCCCGATTTAAGTTTTTGACTGAATTAAGGACTAACAGACAAAATATAATATTATAAAATTCATGAAAGAGTAATATAATGAATAAGATAAGAAATGTTAACCACACAGTAACATGTAAAATTATTATGCTTTTCTACATTATTAATACGATCAAAAATATCCTACCACAGTCATAAGCAGGTAGCCGCTAGCCGAGTTTCCCTGACCGCCGTCGACCTTTATGACAACAAAATTATTATTTATGAATTTATTTAATTTTATGTCCCAATAATAATCATATACACCATTGTAAAACCAGTGAGCCAGTGAGCAATTTATAGTATTTATAATCAATTATCTTCGTTTTTATATTCTTGTTCTAGATTTTAATTATATTTCTTAATTTTTTAACAATTCTAAATTTTTGAATTTACTAAATTTAAAATTGAAATGTAAAATTAAATTTCCAAAATTATTTTTAGGTCCTCGATGTATCACCAAAACTGACACTGTAAATCATCAACAATTTCGTCACTATGGTAAGAATTTAAAGGGACTTCCTTTATGAATGATACCCATGCTTAATATAACCATTATAAAATAATAACTGACAGGTACGAAACAATTATTTGCGTATTAAATAAATTGCCAGATCGAAAAGCAATTAAAACTAATCTAGCTATAATATAACTATATCAACTTCAGAGGACGTCTCACAAAAACGTATTGGCATACGAGATCTAACCAATAAGTAATGAGACTAATTCAATAAAATACGTATATTTAAATATTAAGATACATCGATGTGATCCCCTTCAAATTACTTCCCTCCCACCCCTATACACTGGTTCCAACGTTTTTTCCAGCTCTCATAACATTTCTGGAAGGCTTCGACTGGAATGTCCTGAAGTACCCTCGTCACGGCGTTCTGGATGTCAGTTATGGACTCAAAATGCGTTCCTTTCACGGCCAATTTTGTTTGAGGGAACAAAAATAAGTCGTAGGGTGACATATCCGGCGAATAGGGCGCTTGTAGCAACACTGCGATGTTCTTAGAGGTCAAAAATCGCGACACACTGAAGGCACGATGGCATGGAGCATTGTCATGATGAAGGTACCATTTTTGCACACAGCTTTTTCATGAACAAATCATCAGTTAAAATTTTTCTGACGGTTTCTCGTTTCAAATTAAGTTCATCAGCCAACATTCGAACGGTTAAACGCCGATCTTGATGCACGAGAGTGCGCACACGCTGAACATTGTTGTCAGTTCGAGCTTCAACCGGTCTCCCACTTCGCGGTTCATCCCCGACGCTTTCACGACCATTTTTAAAATTTTTATGCCATCGAAACACCTGAGCACGACTCAGGGCTTCATCACCGAACACTTTCACCAATTTATCGTACGTTTCCATAACGGAATCGCCGAGTTTAACGCAAAATTTATATTACGTTGTTCCATATTTGTGACACGCCTTACAAACACGTTGTCGAAAACATAACACAACTGAAAAACTAATTATTGTACGAAAATCGCGAGCACATATATCGATAGAGGAGGGATGAGAGATTAACCGAACGAAGTTTCAGATTCGTAGTGTTACCACAAGCGTGGCAAAAAAACAGTCTCATTACTTATTGGTCAGACCTTGTATAACGCTCTCGGCTAGCGTTGTTTGCCGTATCACCGTGGCGGCAAGCGGCTGTGGCCATGCCCACTATCCCGCTATCTCGACAACTTAATGATTTGCGGTGTTTGGGTTTCGTGTGAAGAGCGTTTTATTATCTCGTGTGTGGTCCTATTGTTCACATCCTATCATCATAAAATTAATTAGACCGCCACCGTGTTCGTTTGCTCCGTGTGCCGGATACACTACCGTATACCGTTCTACGAAGCGAATATTCACGAAATTATTTCAACCTACTATTCATTTTTGTATACATATCAATAAATACATTATAAAATAGATTATATTATTTGTGCAAAAAAACACGTCCATTTAGGATAAAAATTAATTAATCCAGATTAATTTTTGAGCCAAAGTACCTATTATGAAAATTAAAGAAGACAGCATTTCCGATAGCACTACAGATGCTTTTTCCATTATTATCAATACATTTCTCAATACATCTTCTTGATCTAGAAGTTAAACATTTTCAAATACTAACCACTATTAAAAAAATAAGTTTTTCGAAAAAAACATCCATTTAGAGCCTTTGAAAATGTTATCTACTATAATTTTCATAAGCGGTATGATTGTCCTAAAATCACATCAGATTGACTTATTTTAAGTGAGCATGTTTTACAATACTCAAAAATAGGCAGAGACCTCCTCATTATGTAATTCATTTTTTGAATTTAAAACACTTATAGTAGGTTTAATTATATATTATCACTTTTAGATGTTATGCATTTTTTAAAATTTAATATGAGACATTTTGGTAATGTATACGATTTTTTACTCATACCTAGAAATTACTTTTAAAACGCATTAATAAACCGATGTAGATAATCGGATAGAGGTAGAAAAAAATACCCATAAAAAAACCCAATACATTTTAGATTATAAAATATTTTGTTATCACTGTGTATTTTCAGGTTAGTGAATTATAATTAAAGTTACTTCAACTTGTAAGCAAAGTTACTCACAAAGATTAATTTTAAAGTTGGGACTTAGGCGTAGGGAGGGTACATAACTAGGATGGATTGGGCCGCTGGAACACCAGGAGTTTTTCCCATGTTTTGCTACCTGTAGTATCTTTTTTTTTTTTTTATATAACAAGGTCAGATTTAAATAATAAATAAGTTTAAATTATCAACGTTTAAGGTTGCCGGAGCCAGTGCATTTATAGTACAAAAACATGCTTTAGAGGGAAAATATCACGCCTTATAAATTTGTTGGATTTTAATTTTTTTTTTATTATTTGGGAACATTTTGTAGCTCAGATAGAAGCCCGATTTTTAAAAAAGACGTCCTAGGATAATAGGAACAAGTGCTGCCACTGTTATATATAATTTAATACATACTTGCAAGTAACGATAAACCATTATTTAAGAAAAAACGATTCTAAGTGAAGTTGATAGTGATGCTTTATCAACAATATATTTGTCATTTTATAGTGTTACGGACTCTGTCCTTTACGTATAAAGTTTGTTAATTATAAATTAAGTATTCCACGCGAAAATATATGAAATCGGTTAGGTCGTCGCATTAAGTACACGTACGTTAAGTCCATTAATACGGGTGTGGTATACCGACAAGGTTTCCATGCAACAAATGATGATTCGTGTTTATTGTCCAAGGGAAAACGTGTCCGGGTACGGACGACGTGCCACCAGTAGACAACGGTGGGAGCGTCCACCACCACCTAGGCCCCGATCGAGGCGACAACCATATATAAGGAGACCGGAATCATCACCGAGAGGAACTTGAACTCAGTCAGGAGTCGAGACTACACCACCATCGACGCACGATAAGGAGGACCACCGTCACCTCGACACCAACCCGTCCAGTCATTTTTTTAGCGTATTTATGCCTGATAATTACAACTAAGTTTTGACCCGGAGCTGGTGTCGCAGGTTTTTCACTTACAGATACAACTTGTCAACCGTGTATTGTTTTAATTCTAATAAAAAACCATTTGTAGACCTAACACACGTGTACATCATCTCATCAAAAGGCTGTGTCTGAACGACCCGTAACAATAGTAAAATAATCAAATAGGCTTTATATATTTACTTTAATAATATTTGTTTAATTTTATACCGATTTTTAAATGTTTTATCCTAGTTTTTTACATTTGTTCGGTAAACTCTTAAGAAAATCAAAAAATGACCTCTTTAAATTACCTCCCAGGTGAAATTTTCTTTTAGAAACATTGCTAGCATTATAAATTGGAGCAAAATTGCTGGTAGAAAAGTTGTGCACAGGGAAAAAAGTAGCAATATTTTAATAATATATTTTATTGTATACATTTAATTTTTTTTATTTTCATTCGCATATATATTACACATATTTAATATTTTCTAAACAAATTATTTTTTTTAAATTTTTTAACCAATTATTCATCGTATTTATGTCATCGTGCAATTCATTTATTCTTTAATTTCGATTTTTTTTTTTTTAATATTTCTAATTTTTTTATGTGCGTATTTCTCATATTTTAAATTCTGAGTGGAGCGAAGAAGCTAATGGTTTTACAAAGATGTTTTTTTTTTATATGTTAACAACTTTTCTACCAAAAGACTTGCTCGGATTTCTACGTATAACTCCTTTTCTGAAAGGAAATAGGTGTAAGGAGATACTTTAAGGAGGTAATTTTTCGATTTTTTTAGGAGTTTAGTCAGCAAATGTGAAAAACCGGGATAAAACATGAGAAAACCGGGAAAAACTTAGGAAAAATGGGAAAATCGGTATAACATTAAACAAATATTATTAAATAAAATATATAAAGCCTATTTAATTATTTTGCTATAAAATGACATACATATATATATATATATATATTTATTGTTGACAAAGCATCAATATCAACTGAACTCCGTTCAGAATCGTTTTTTCGTAAGCAATGGTTTATCGTTGCTTACAGGTATACATTAAATTGTCTAGAACAGTGGCTGCATCCGTTCCCAATGTTCTAAGACGTCGTTTTTAGATTTGAATGTGTATATTCGGTTTTTTGTGGATATTTTTTCAAAATTACTTTCTATAACTTCTAAGCTCTAGTCATTATTGTTTACTGTTTTCAATTATTAAGAGCCCATGATATAATATATCCTCTATATCAGGGGTGGTCAAACGAATTTTCACGGACGGTTTGTCGATTTCCCTTTATCAGAACTATTTTTATACAACTAGAATACAAATAATAATAATTGCTGATCGTTTATCTTAATGTATCATTATTTTGTTGTTGATTTATAAAGTAAAACACATTTAAACAACGTTTATACTGGCAATTGTGTTTATAATATTATATCAATATTAATAAAAGTGTAACGAAAAAAAATATTTAACTATACATTTTAGTTTTATTAGGTAAATTACAATTATACATTTTCGTTAGGAAGTTGATTCTCAACGTAATATATTCATATTATTAGTAGATCTCTACCAAAAAATGTTTGACCACCTCTGTATAATTTGTTATTTTAAACAAATTTATTTTAAATTTTCTACTGAATACGAATGTGTTAGAATGTATTACAAATTTCCAATAAAGCTTACTGTAGATAATCAATTAAAATTCTTTATAAATATTTACAGATTTATTGAATGAAGACTGTTATCTTGCATTACTTGTTTACATAGATAAACAATTGTATTGTGCACAAGATGGTAATTTTTTTTGATTTTAAATTTCAAGCTTAACAAAATTATTATAGTTTTAAAAATATGTATGACCTTTTTTGGAGACAATTTTTTTAGTTAGTAAAAATTCTTTATATTGTTCTAGACTCTCAACTGGTAACAAATGACGATACATACGTTTTATTTTTGTTCATTTCTGGATTACTTCTGGATCTCCGCTCAAAATCGTTATAATAATGATTAGACCTAGGATTTACATGCAACAGCATGTTTTTTTGCTATTTTCAGATGGAATTTTAATAAGTTTTGTCCATTTTCATCCAAAGCTGTTTTTCTTAACGATAAATCATTTTAAGGATACTATCCTTCTATATTTTTTTAATATCTCACATGCAATAGTGGCTTGGAAATAAGTCGTGTTCTATTTAATAACAAACAAAGGCGTTTTCAGATCAATTCCATGGTGAGGAGTGAGGGTGGTGATAAATGTTTGCTCTTAAAAATTACCGTTTTGGTCAACAAAAACTTAAAACCTTTATGTCTGATGTTATTTCAATTTATATTAGATTAGAAGGAAACAGTCAAATTTAAAAGTTAAATTTATTTTTTCACATTAAATAAATAACAAATAAAATAATAATAATTATTAAAAGTTAGATTACCAAGTCCAAAATACTTTTATTTTAAGCGGCATTTTGATCAATATTATTTTCTATATTAACGTTATCATTTCGATGAATATTTAAAAATAATGAGCCAGTTATCCTCTGCTCAATTTTATTTTTTTACCATAAAATAAGACTTTTAATGAATGTCATGTTAAATTTTCAAGCATTTCTGTTTGGTCTAACAATTTTATTCACAGAGTACCTACGGAATAAAAATTACGTACAAAACTCGCAAAATTAAAATGTTTATAAATTGCTCAACAATTTTACCACGTCAAGAAAAGGTCAATATAAGTTTTCTGTTCAAATTTCAAGTATCTATGAATATTTTTAATTAAATTGGAACAAAAAAAAAAACTGAAAATAATATTGAAATAAGATTTCTAGTAGAAATTTTTCCTACAGTAAAAAAAAAAGTACAACAGTGTAAATCTAATAGGTACATTTTTCACTACACTTAGAGTCCAAAATTAAAATTAAATTAAACATTTCCAATTTTTAATCTAAAAATATATTATTTATTATATCTTTGCAAATTGATTGTTCCTACTTAGTTTTCCATAATTCTATCTCATCCTTGAAAGAATATTTATTGACATTAATAAATAAGAACTGTTATATTTTTGTTTCAATCAAAGTATTTCCAAGATCCGGAATAATCTTTATGATATTTGCAAGCAGTTGCATTTGTACTTATTTGTACTTACGAATTATGTATCTGTTTTATAACAAAAAAAGAACATCATACGGCTCATTGGGGGGGGGGGGCAATCGCCCCTTTCAGGAATGCGCCTGATAACAACTTTAAATAATTTAAACAATATTACACTTTACCTGTTTAGGTTCCTACTATATTGTCTATATTATATCTATCTAAAGCACTGTAATATAATATTATGGCTCCGTTACGTGATCTCATTGGTATCATGTTCATTGATTGTTGCCATATTGAGTTTGTAGTTTATAAAACTAGACACCTATCGCTACCAAATACGAAATCAGTCGAAAGAAAATCATTCGTTTTTCGAAATTATTTTATTTTTTAAATTATTGTAATATTATTTTTCGAAGTTTAACTATTTAAAATACAATTGAAAAATTGGATGAAGTTATAGTTATTAATACATATTATTTCACTAAGACGTTTTGTACTCGCTTGATAAGATAATATTTTTTTAATGGTCCTCGTGAAAAACCAGCAAGGACTAAGCTTCAGAATATTATCATATCATCTAATTTTGCAGCATTTTACAATTTCTTAATTTACAAATGAGGATATGTATTAGTAGTTCGTATTATTTATAAATTGAACTGAAAACATTACTTACATATTATTTTTCTAGTTACAGAAAAAAGTACAAATATAAAAAATATGTTTTTATACTATTTGAGGCTTCAACGAATATTTAATAGTAAGTATAATCTATATAAATTAAAGATGAAAGAAAAAATATCTATAATGAATTAAATATGTAAAATGTGAATCATTCAAACATCACCAAATATCAAATCCTTCAATATTTATGATCATTTACATACAAACCACAATAATACTTACAACTTATATTAATTTAAGAAAACCATATTTACCTATACTAATAACCGGAGTAATTTCCGATGATTAAATGTGCATAAAACATTATATTCATTTTTAATATTAGTTAATAATAAATTAATGAAAAATGTTATAAATACTGATAACGATATATTTTTGTATTGGATATCGTTGTCATATTTAGTATGGGCTATTCTTAAGGGATAAAAGCAAATATTTATTTTTTTTAATTTTGTATATTATTTAATTCAGTTTAAAACACAAAATGCTTGAATTTTTTTACTCTCACTTTTCCTAGTTTTTTTTTTAAATTTTGTATAATTAGAAGTCTGTAGCGCAACCTTTCAATAAATACTACTAATGTAGATCGAAATTATACTAACATAAAATATTTCTTAAAGTTATTATTCTTTAAAGTCTACCTTTTTTCTATTTCATGTTAATCTAACTTATCGACTTAATGAAACTAAAAAAAAAAAAAAAAATGGCATGTTGCCCGTAATAATAATAATAATAACTGATGCTAAATTAATATTATTTTAGTTCGATTTCGACATTATTTGGATTCAAATTTGTGGAAATTGTATAACGAAATTAAAGGTAGGTTTATTGTATAATGTCATTTCTATGTAGATACCTATATGAATGTATATACGTATGATTAGTAAAGGGAAAATACTCAGAATTTAAAATTTGCATAAATATTTGTGGTATTTAGTAATTACATATAATACATAATACTCAATATTTTAGTTATAGATTTTATTACGAAGTATTTAAATATATACTTTGGATACTTTGGAATAAACAAGTCTTAAAAAAAATATTTTTCACTATTTTAATTAAAACAACCTATACAAGTCTAATGATGATGTATTACACGAGATTTTACATAGGTGGAAAACAGAGCCCATCTATTATTTGAACTAATTAATTTTATTAAGCGTAAATGTGCACTTTAATACATTATACCTATAGAAAAATAAATTACTCATTAAAGTACGGTTTCCTTCAATGCGCGACATGTCGCGGTGACCGGTCGCCGAGACCAGTCTCATTGACGTCCAAAAAAACCGTCACATTCCGTATCCAGACATCCAGTGTTATGAACCCTTAGTCATACCTATAACTGTATAGCATAAGCGTATACTATAAAAACCTGCATTATATTATATTATAAGATAATATAATTGTAGTCTGTTGATAACGCCTAGTATGTAGGTGGCTCCGGGAATATTATATCGACACGTTACTTGCAAGTTAGCCGGATAATCAGTCGTTCTACCACTGTAAAAACTGTAAGTCATCTCGACGACCAATTCGACTCACATAAACATTTATTATTAACAATAATAAAATTGTGACTCCATTTCAAGGAAGAGCCAGAAGATGACGAATTAGTCAATGCACGATATACAAAGAAAGAAAAAGTTGATAAAACAAAATTTCGAGAGTTTGTCCATGTTAATAAAAACCGATTTGATTTCTTGTTGTCACTTGTTAAGGTACAAAACTTCCTATTAAATCCTATTAAATAGACAGGTTTTATTCGTGCTTCAAAATTTGAAATGGTGCATTTTCGAGACGATTGCACGGAAAACCGCCATCAGTTTACCAATAGTATTAAAACAATTCTATCAGATTCGTCATCATATAGATGAAGAAATTACCAAAATGAAAACTCCACCATCAGCTATGAGCGTAATACAAATGTTCATACACTCGGTAACAATTCACGCTTGTACTGCTTCCTTTCTTCTAGTCCGTCTTCTCTAATATCGCTTCGAAATCGTCATATATGACAATAAGGTGCCTCTGTGTTTTCCCCCACGCTTCGAATTTTAATGTTGATCCGGGTTTCGGCATTACGGGTAATATCGGTTTCTGTTCGCCGAAAATTATTTTGTGTTGGTCGAATGCTGCCTACACACTCTTTATTCTCGGTCTGTTATCGAACGACGTGAAACACCGTTTGCAAAATACAACTCGATCCTCATGTGCAGTTTTTTGCGATAGCACTAGACGGAAAAAATTAGAGGTATAGATATAATGTGTTTTTTCTTGTTGTTTATCAGCAACAGGTTAAAATAGTCAGTCTTCTCGTCATCAACAACTTTCAATGGGAAAACGGTATGTATCGCTTTTTTTATTTTTCTCTTGTTTCTTTAATCCGCAAACATTTATCGACACGTTCAAATTATTTTTGCGAATTTTTTTATTTCCATTAGTGGCTTAGGAAGAGATATTCCGCTAAAATCATAGACTTCCATTACGTATTTCGTTAGAATCGCCCACTTAAAACACTCTTCGTCCAAGTTATAATGACGGCCTGTTTGCGATGTCGGTAGGTAGCGGGATATATGACGAACCACCAGTATATTCCTAATAATAGTCCGTTTATATACTGAAGGGAGAATCCACTTCCTCGTCTTTGGTCTTTTAATAGTTTTGCGAAATTTTCTTCTGCTAAATCTTCTATCTCTCTACATGGGAAAATTGGCCTGGCTGCGGTCTTGAACGTTCTATTCACGGCGGAATTTTCTACTTGCGGTTTTTAATATGGTACCTCGAGGATTAGATTGAATTTAATCGGGTTTTCTTGTACAATTGTTTTCAGTAGGTCTACAAGTGCGGGATTGATTGAGTGGAGAAATTGTCTGTAGTTATAGATATTAACGAGATTTTTGGTGTAGTACCACACGATTTTGCGGGGAAACACGATTCGATTTTAATAAATCCCGGGGTGTTTACAAGATACATTCTTGCTTTCTTTACTCTAGCGGCAGAATCTTTGAGCGTACGTTTCTTACCTATGGGAAACAGAAAAAAAAAACCTAAATTAAAATTAGTTCCTTCGCTATTTTCTGTGGTAGGGTATAATAAAAGAAAACTTAACTTCATTAACGCAAATATTCATATCGAATTCTATAAACAGCTCATAATTTTCCTAGTTAGTAGTCCATGGGACAGTCGAACGTTTATTCGATAACCTGCAGGATAATAGACGGTGGGGCGACTTTTCCATCGTTATGAATAATTTTAACGTGCTCGGCACGATTATCCTTACGCGTAAAAATGTTTGAACATAGAGTGCATTCCATTTAATACCATCATGCGATTTAGCGTTTCAATATAGTTTTCTAATAATGTACGTTTTGTTTATATGTGACCGGTGGCCGCAACATGTCGCATCTTTAGGCATCATTTATCGCCAAAACAAATATCACTGATAAATATAATAATAAAACCATGCGTGACTAATAAATTGTCAGAACCGGTTTATATAAAAAAAAATACCCGTTTTTTTAATAAGTTATTCATACCGTGAGTAATACCAGTGATAGGGAGTAGTGTGCTATTTGTAGCGACGCTAAACTGTAGCTCATTACCTTTTTTTATAGCGTGCCCTACGGCTTTATTGTAAATTGCGAAAAACACAGTAACACTGCATTTTTCAATGGAAAATCAGGAAAACAGCGCAAATTTCGCTACTTTAGGCATTAAAACTGTTAATTAATGAAATATTAAATAATTTTTAGTTATATTATTTCTCTTTTAGTCTATTATAAACTAAAATATATAGTTTTCTTTCTTTAGTCATCTTTTGAAATATAATTTGCACTCACGTGGGCCAACACTTCGACAAAATTGTTTTCCCTAAAACTTAAATAAATAATAAACAATCATTATATTATGTATATTAGTAATACTATTATATTGTTTTAAAAAATGTAAATTAGATTGGATCCAAAATGGTACTGACGAAAATGAATTAAAATTTCGCAATACGACAAGAAAATTAATCGAAATTGGTATGAACAAAGGAATTTGGTATACCACGAGAGGTAGATTTTATTTATATTTATTATTTCTCAAATATTATACCAGATGATTCTTTTATTGTAAAACACTTATGATCTCGAAAGGATTAACTTTTTTCGGAATCTGTTTTATAGAAAATTTAAGAACAAGCAGCTCTACAATTTTACATTTACATTATTTTTGGTCACTCAATTTTTGGGGGTGAAACGACTATACCTATACTACTTTTAATTTTAAAATTTCAACCTATATCATAAATATATGGAGTATTAGTTTAAAAAAAAATTTGGTATTAACGAGATATTTCACTTTTAAGTATAGGTCAGGGAACAGTAGTCGAGCATCATTTGTTTGGCAGCACGGCTCGCGGCGTTTTAATAATGCCCACTACTCTCCTCCGACCCATATTATAAGTGGAATATCTCGTCAATAGAATGACGAAAATCAAAAATTTCAACACCAAAATTTATTTTAACTAATACCTCATTTTTTTAAGGCATTTTAAATATAGGTCGCCTTTGAAAATCAAAAGTATATAGTCGTTTCGCCCCTGAAACTAAGGGGTGAAAAAGATAATAATGTAACATTTGAAAACTATTTGTTTCTTAAATTTCAAAAATAGTCAACACTTTTCGAAAAAATGAGTGTTTAACAATAAAAGAATCACTCGGTATTTGAAACTTTATTTTTTAAATTGTATGTACCCTTATCTCATAAATTATTTCACTTTTTTCTATATTATAAGCTAACTGTTCCGTACGGCATAATTTGTGCTCAATTATGAACGGAAAAAAAAATGAAAAATATGTCCTCTATATTTCCTCGTTTTTAGCTCTGTCCCCATCAGTTAACTGTTGTTGCCTTGTATTTTTTTTTTTAGGTATTCCTTATTCCATGACAATCAAATTAAATTATTGTAATAACATCTTTTTCATTCGCGTAGTAAAGGTTTAAATAATTTATTCTAAAATACCAAAAACTCTGTGTCAGTCATCCTTTAGGGATTGAATCTCACAAATCTGGCTCCGAGGTGTACACGGACCTGCTAGTCTGTGTATCCATTTCTGTACATACAGTTTCAGTTCTCTGCGTGTACTATAGACTCGACTGTAAATGGCAAACAATAATTATTTCCATAGGTATATTTATTAAGCCTAGAAAATATGTTGGATACGACATTTGACTATAATAGGTCTATAATTAATGTTATTGTTATTTATTGCTTTTTATTAATTCAATTAGTTTTTTGAAGATTTGGGAATATGTCCGACGCGTTATAAAAAATATAATCGAATTATTTTTTAAAGTGGTACCCAAGTACCGCATTGCTCTCTTAACTGTACATAAGGCCACTCCAATAATCACCAAAACCCGGGACTGTTATACCATTCATGTCCAGCGGAAATAGTGTTAAAAGTCAGGTACCGACCACCGAGTAGTTCAGTGGTAGAATAATCGTCCGGCAAGACTCAAGTTCCATTCCCGGTCTAGCTGCCTAATTTTTAGCACTAAGTTCCGAATGAGAATAACAGTACCATTGTATTATGTACTTTCTGTACGTGTCGGATCTAAATAGTACGCCTATACACATCAAGAAAAATTGACAACAAATTCTCATTTTTCATAATTTAATAAACTTTTATAATATCTTGTATATTTAAATGTTAACTTATTTTTTATATGTTTCATTAAAATTGATATGAATTTATAAGTTTTAATGATCTAATTTAATTAAATTTTAGATAGACATTTCTTGTTATTGAATTAAAGTATAGTGCACGATTTATAATATTTTTCAGCACATGAGATTTTTTCCGAATATAGATCACAAAATCAACATTCGTTAACGATTATGGCCTACACATTTTGTGAAAAAAACCTAAACGCAAGTAAGATAGAAATTAATTTTGAAAAATTACGTTTCTTCATAAAACAAATATATTTGTTAACATAGTTTATGTTTAGTTTCAAGTAAATCGTCAAATTACGAAAAGATGCTATCGAATGTAAATAGTACGGATTTTACGGTTAATCAATGGATGTCTGGTAAAACCATGTCAGGTGAATGGCCGGCGATATCAAGACAATTTGGAACGCTCTTACTTCTATTGCCGAATGGTAAAAATTTTGAGATTTTAAAAACACAAAATTAACTATTATGTAACAATAAATATTACAAAAACTTACTTTTTTATGGTTGACTTGAATCACCTTATTTTTATAGATAAAATAATTACATTAATTTACCAAATGATTGTTCACATGTATTGTAACACTCAATATTTAAAAGCACACTATTAAATCTTCTTTATTAAATATTAATGACCAATTTCATCGAATAGATAGTTTTACTGGAATTAAAAATTCGTCAGAATATTGCTATAAATATAATATACAAATTTTATTTAAACATTTGTAAAAATATATAGCTAATAATGCAATTCAAAAATTCATGAAAATTTAAAAAAACTAATTAATTGTAAATTCAAATGTATTCTTTACATTTTAGATTCTGAGTGGAGCGAAGAAGCTTATAGTTTCATAAAGATGTTTATTTTTTAATTTATTTTTCAGTGGACAACTTTTCTACCAGAAATTTTGCTCCGATTTATAATAATAGCAATTTTTCTAAAAGGAAATTCGACTGGGTACTTTAAAGAGGTAATTTTTGATTTTCTTCATAAGTTTTCGCAGGAGAAAATGTGAATAATCAGAAAAAAACATGGGAAAACTGGGAAAAACGTAGAAATAACGGGAAAATCGGTAAATTAAATAAATATTATTCAAGAAAATATATAATGCCTATTTAATTTATTTTATCATTATATGACATATATATTGTTGACAAAGCATCACTATCAACTGAACTCCACTCAGAATCGTTTTTTCGTTAACAATGGTTTATCGTTACTTACAGGTATATATTAAATTATTTATAATAGTGGCTGCACTCAACCCCATTATCCTAGGACGTCTTTTTTTATTATCTTTACCATATTTTATGTAATTATTTAAATACCTATCAAAATAATGGTAATAATAATATAATAAACAAAACAGACAATGAACGTCAATAGGTTCTTTTAAAAATAACAATGGTTTTACGTAAATATTTCTATAATAATATATATTAGGATGTAATCTGTAAATAATTTGTTTACTTTTAGAATTTAACGAACTATACGAAGGTCCGGATTTAACTGAAGATTACCAACGTTTGTATAATAATTTATTGTTTTATCATATGAGCCGCCTAAAAAATAAGAAGTATAAGTGAAATTTTATTGATTTCGAGAAAATCAAATTTAAAGTTATTTGTATTTTATATAATTATTAAAGAATATTATCATATCATCACTGTTTTTGTATTCGAATAATAAAACAAAGTTGGACACATGGCAGTAAAGAGACATAAATGTTTTAATAGCCGTTGTGGATGACTGTACCAATATATACTTCTAAATTCTTATCTATTATGGTATTTTCACTTCAAAATTATTTTAGTGCGATCTAGATATCTAGATCGCACCACATGAAGAATAATTCAAGTATATTTCTTTACCACAAAATAAAATGAACAATAATTTGTAGTTCAGTTGTGCACTTGACTCAGATTTTTAAAAAATGTCACTTATACCTCTTGTGTTCTAAGCGTATCATATTACTACTACTTTAATGATGTGTTTGAATATTGTGGCTGGTAGGTTCAGTAGAGTTAGTGTCTACCTATAATTATTTATCAAATGTTCGACAATAATCTATTATACCTACCTATCTCATTATTCTGATCATAATTGTGTAAATTGGGAGTTATTTGTCAATAAACTAAAAAAAGGAATCCCTAAGAATTTTTAAGTTTGACACCACGAACGTCGTTAAAACTGAAAAATATTGGGAAGAAATTCAATTAACTCGGAGAATTATAATTTATTTTGAGCTTTACATAAAATTTTGTTTATAAAATGTAAAGATTAGTGAATATTATTACTTTTATTTTAAAACTATAATCAGATGCAAATTGGGGGCTAGGGGGATTTAGTCTTTCTATCCTCCCATAGTTAGTAATTATCCAGTCAAAATTAACTGATTTATAATAATATAATATATTACCACGCTATATAGTTGTAAAATGATTTTATGACGGCTGTAGCGTTATAAGGCACGTTATAAGGCATTTTGCCACTTTTACAGCATAGCTTTTTGTGGGGGTTCATGCAGTCCTTTTTTTGTGTATGAAGCTCCTTTGCGATTCAAGTCTTGTACTCGTGATTCTATGTCTGAACATAGAGTATCTTTCGTTCTTTATCTGTTTGGTTTCTTTTATATCGGTGGTTACGCGTCTTTTGATTTCCGGTGAAGCTATGACTACTAGGAGGTATAACTTGTACACAGGTGATGACCTAAGACATCCCGTTATGATTCTACAAGTATCGTTCAGTGCTACCGATACGTGTTTGGCGTGTTTAGATTGGCTCCACACCGGACACGCGTATTTTCCAGTTGTGAAACATATGGCTAGTCCGGTTGTATACATAGTGTGCGGTCGTAGCAGCATACCTGAGTTTTGTTTGGGGTAAGTTTTAATTGATTACTGTCAAAATAGTTGGCCATTATTTCTAGTGTATTTGCCAGGTTGTTTTCTATATTATGGAAAGTTGTATCTTGTGCTGTGATTGCTAGATCGTCTGTGTATAAAAAGTTGTTCGTGTCTTTCGGAACTGGTTGGTCATTTGTGTATAAGTTAAAGATCATCAAAGCCAACACGCTTCTTTGTGGTAAGTCATTTTTTGGGTTCTCCATCTACTCCATTTATCGTTCAACTTTACCGTAAATCGACGATTTTATAGTAGAGAAGCCATTATTTAAACGAATTGCCAATCCCTAGTGTAGTAATAAACTTTTTATAATAATTTATTATGATTAATCGTATCGTGCGCTACTGTAAAGTCGACGAAAACCTCTCCGGTTATCTTTTTGTTTTCGAAGTCATCCTTTATGTGCTGACACCTACTAAGCACTTGACCTGTACATTGTACAAACCTTTCCTAGTCTAAAGCCAGTTTGCTTTGGTATTAGTTGTTTGTCTATTTGAGTTTAAATGAAGTTCATAACCATTCTCTCAAATAATTTATATGGGTGACAACAAATATATTGATCAATAGCTTTTTGGATCGCTTAGATTTTTTCCAGCTTTTGGGTATACCTTTCCTATGAAGACATATATTTAGTAACCGTAGTAGCCATCGTCTAGCTAGTCTACCTGGTCCGAAATGTTTAATTTATTCTATAGAAATTTCTTCTTACCTAGCTGCTTTTCTATACTTCATTTTTTTCAGACTAATGGTGAGTTCGTTCATTTGAAAGTTCTGGTGGATGGTATGACATTCATTGTTTTTACTCGTATGGTTTTATTTCTCTTGATTTTTCTTCCTGATTTACCATTTTTGAGTAATTCTACGGCTATTTGATTTAGCAGTGACATTTTCACAAGTTGTATGGTCAGTTGGATCTCCACTAAGTTGTTTACTAGACTTTCTTGCTGTTTTTTATCATATTAGTATTTTCGATGTCCTTTGGCCCTTATTCTGTTTTTGTCATCACCAAGCTGCTTAATAACAAATCTTTATATTTTTCCATTAACTTTCCAGACTTTTTACTTAAACCTGGTATACTCGTATGTTTCTTTCTACAGCTTCGTGATATGTGTTGTCTAGATATTTTCTTACTTTATCCTCAAATATTTCGTAGTTTTCTGGTGTTGGTTCTGGGTTCTGGATTTCTTTATCATGGCCTCACTGTATTTTCCCCAGTTAGATTTTTTGTATTTAAATCTCTTCTTGAATGGCACCGTTTCAAACCTTTTAACTTCATTTATTTGTATTTTTAATGCTCTGTGCTGCGGTTTTGTATAGGGGTGCATACATCCTTAAGACATTGCCACTCTTTTCTAGCGTCTACTATGTATGTCACTATGAATGAGTTTGGAAGCTTGAGATCGTGAATTAAATCAAGTGATTCAGTTTCAGCCCATTCTTGAATCTTTTCACCGTTTTGATCAGTTTCTGAGTATACCCAGGTAGGACTATAACTATTGAAATCTCCAGCTACTATGTTTATAAGGCTATTTTCAAAATTGGACGGTTTTTAAAAAGTAAAATCAGCATTTGGTGGCTTGAATATTAATGTAACTGTACATCTTTTTGTTAGGATTTAAATAATATTTATGTGGCTGAATGCTGTGCTATCTACGACTAGGCCTGGTCTAGCGAAACTTTATTTTATAACGAAATATTTTGTTCTCTTTCTAGATAATTATTTACTTAATCGTGTAATGCGACCTGCTTTAATAGATATATATCAAGGAATTATGCATATATTGAATAATATCTATAGTAAGTATATACAATTATCTATTCCTTGTTGAGATCATTATGTATAATTAAATACGTAACGCAATAATAATAAACAATTTATTGCCAATATTAAATTGTTAAGTTGAAGTATGCTAAAAAATTATTAATACCCAAGTATACATTCAATCTGTTAGTACTTTATTTGAAACATTTGTCTATGTTCTCAGCAGTTTTCTTTAAAAACTAAAAAAAACTGACAACAAATAATAGTTCGTTAATAAATGGATTATCTAAATAAAAAAACACGGTTATAATACTTATAACTAGGGTGTGGATTATAACATAAATTGCATTTTTTCCTAAATATCCTAAAGTAATGCTTTCCAAGAACAAAATCCTTTCCAATAATTATATCAATATAATGTATGATGTATGTATATATCATATATTTCACCTTGTATTTAATTGAAGATGATGCAAACATTTTTTTTTAAAATAGGAAATCAAGAAGATACTATTGTATCGCGAAATTTTATTTATAAACTAGTTGATTGGTGTAAAATGGTTGAATTTTCTTTAAACTTTAATAAATGCAAGGTAAAAACATTTTCTAGAACCCATAAAAAAAATAAATTTCAAATACTCAATTCATAATGAATGTTTGCCTGGAATAAAACAAATAGTAGATTTAGGATTTACATTTGTGCCTACTCTTTCTTTTAGTACTCACGTTAAGCTCATTACTTGCAAAGCACTACGTATTTCGGGTTGTATTTGTCGTAATGCGTCGGACTTTGATCAAGTCAATTGCCTTCAATCAAAACGTTATATACTTCATTAGTATGGTCGATTATTTTAGAATACGGATCTATTTTATGGCCTCCTCATACTCAAAAGACATTCAAAAAATTAAAAGGATTCATAAACTTTCATTAACTGGTATGTTTCAAAAATTGCTCACTCTCCCGATAATTACACATTGGTATCGGATTTTCTTAATTTATCTAACCTGGAATTCAGAAGGAAAATGTTAGACATAATATTGATAAATAATTAGTTCTTGGTGCGATTGATGGTAGTTGTATACTCAATAAAGTATGTTTTCATATACTTAGGATTAAGTCCCTTATAAACCGATTTTCGAAATAGTTGCACTCGTAAAACAAAGTATTTATATAATGACCTTTTCCAAAGAAACATGCGTAAAATTAACTCGGACCTTAGTCTTCTAGATTTTTAGTTCTAGTTGTAGTGTATGATAAATCTTAGACCAAACCACACAATCTTTTTTGTTTAATTTGTTACTTTGTATATTTTTACTATCTACCTATTAATTTATTTGCCTTTATTAATTTATGGTATTCTATTATAATTATTGTTACTATTTAATTTTATTTAATTGTTATTTTTAATATTTACTAAAACTTCTGCATTTTTCTTATAAATTAATTTATAGTAATCAAGCGTAGTAATAAAATAAAATATCAAAAAATGAAAATGTGAAACTTTTATTTTGCATACTGTGAACTTTTTTTAACATTTTAAGTGCATTTTTAGGTTTTTAAGGCATTTATTCTTTACTACTTCACTGTGTTATCAGAAAATTTGATACAATTTATTTTAATTTCCTCTTAAAAGAAAAAAAAATTCATATTTCTATTTTTAAAATGTATTATGGATTTACCGACTTCACTAGACAAATACAATGCCGGCTGGCGTATTAGAAAACCCAGGACACCGCAGGGTGGCTTCTATAGGATATTGCGTTTTCATTAGTTCGTTTTCTTTGTTGTTTTCATTTCACTTAATTTTCGTTTGGGCTTTATTATACTGCTGAATTTTAACAAGGTGCACCTAAATCGCATATTTGTTTTTACCTTATTCTCTATACGACATGATTATTTGCACATCAAATTGGAGTTTTTTTTTTGTTTAAAACAGTCCAAGTGAACACAGCGAATTACCCATGTAAAATAGCATCAAATTACTAGGGTAACGAAAACCATGCGAAATTAAAAATGGAGCAATGAGAATATACTATAATATATAAAAGCCATTCTGTGTCATCTTGGGTTTCTGAATACGCTGCCGGCTGCAATAAAGAAAACGAAGTCATAATGTAGTCATATTGCACTGTTGTGTTTAATATTGCGTATATTCTCGTTTGTAACTGATTCCTGGGCGATAAGAGAGGAAAAAGAATATTTATTAATCATTAAAAATATATATACGTAATAAAAAAAATATAAATATATACATACTTATAATGTAATCATTTTTAGGGTATTTTTCAACCTTTATTTTATAAGTGTATTAAATTGGGTTTTATTAAGGAATTTTTCTGGTTTTTTTATAGCATTTAAATCCGCACCCTACTTATAACCTTTTACCACTTTACCAAAGTTTCACAAAACCATTTTTCATTGCCTAATTATTTATCATTTCTGTCAATATATTATGAATATATAATACATATATTTATATATTTTATGATATAGGAAAATTATCCCTGAAATATTTATTTTTTTTGAAAAAATGACTTGTTTAAAACTTTTTGTAAACATAATATATACTAAAATGTTACATTGTCCGTATATTTTTATCCTTCTTTTTGGGATAGAAACTACTGTCTTATTTTAATTTTAAAATGTTAGCCTACATTGGAAAATAAATGAATAGATATAGTATTCGTTTAGTTGCATTTTAGTGGTAAAATATTCCACTTTTAAGTTTGGGTAGGAGGAGAGTAGTTGATTACCAGTTAATTGGCGGTACAGTACATGGCATTTGAATAGTATCTGCTTTACTACTCTCCCCCTAAAATTTTTAATTTTGAACGACTCTTTATAACGTACATTTTACATAAAAAAAAATTGTTATTTGTTATAAATGTTTTCTAACTTATATTTGTTATGATTTTAATATTGTTTTAACTTTATAATTACCAAACAACTATAAGTGTTCAGAATAAATCATATTAATTGAAATATAGTTTCAACGTGTGACTTTGCAGAACCGTATGATTTTCCAACAGAAACAAGAACTAATGTTGAGCTTTTGGTATTGCTAAATCATTTATATCATAAAGTAATTAATGTCACTGAGAACATGCATTATTTGTTTATGATAAAAAGTAAGATAATTACTTTAGTATTAAGAATGACTAGTTTCAAATAGATGCCAATGATGTATTTTAGAGTTTTCAAAGGGGGTGGTCGACATTAATAATACTACGTTCAAAAACCCATACATCTAACCACCTAATCATTCCATTTTTAAATGCTTAACACGAGAAATATTTAGTAATAATCATTATACATGATATTCATAAACATGATATATACAAAAGTGAATTTAGTAGTCACTAATACACATAATATATTGGTACGAACAGTGTTTAAAATAGTGATTCTTAATCTTTTCCGTTGCAGCGTCCTTTCACGTAAAATTATATGCTTGTTATTGATCTATTAATATTTTGATTTGATTTTTTTTTTTGCTTATCGGTCTTTATATACATGTATTATACTATTGTGTTATATTATATTTTTACTATAGAAATCTTGGCCAATCCTAAATTCAGCCCTGAATACAACTATTCTAATTTTACGTGTGATAATACGCGTCGCTGGATACTAGTGCTTTTTTATTTTTCGATTATTGTGCATTTAAAAGCTCACCGCTCTCCCCCCAACTACTGGTTTAAAACAAAAATTGAAATCACTTAATATTTATTGAGTTTATAAAATATAATGATTATAGGTAGAATATTAATACACTATACGATATTTTGTAAGAGTTTGCATTTATAACTAAAATAACTTCATTTTTAATAACATGATCAGGTGTTAGATTGCAAGAGAAGAGATGTTTTTTTTTAGTTTTGAATATACCTACAGACCTACCAAATACAGAGAGATGACATTTTTTGTATATTGTATTCAGTTTATGTCAAGGATGTGCTTTTTGAGTGTTTAAATTTGTAGTATATTCATAACCATTTAATGCTCACAATTATTTTGGTATTATTATATTTATAGTATAGTTTAGTTTAGCTATATTAAAGAATTTGGTATCTAATTTTTTTTTGTACAAAGAATATTTCCGTTATAAAAAATAAGTAATAATACGGGGAAAATCGACTCTTGTCCGTTAAGGTGTTTATGGGTGTTTTTAATTAGGTACGCATAAAAGCAAAACTAAGGGAACAGTAAAAAAAATTTAATAATTTGAAAGTGAAATAAAAAAATGTCCAGCATTAGGAATTAACTACTACTAGGGGGAGGTTTAATAATACACGTATTATTTAACAAATGGAGAATTTTAAATTGTCCACTTTTGATATGAAACATTCACTGTATTTTATTTGAATATGGTAAAACTATATATTTTGTTTCAGAAAAAAATATAGAAGATCTTCATCGAACTGATGAGGAAGATACAATGCAACTATTTGAAAATTATTCATCATTTATATTCATGTTTAAAAAGCAATGGGAATCGAAATTTCAATTACGTAATATATATTTTGTCATTAAATACCTACAATATTTTAAATATATTTTTAAAAAACGTAAAGATAAATAAAATATATTATGATTATATTATTTAAATCGACGGGATTACAATGGAAAAGATTTCTTAAATCAATTTATATAGTTTACCTTTACGGGAGAGATTTAAATATACAAGTAATTTATTGTTAATTGTATTAGTTTTTCCCTATCTATATAGAAATATTATAGTTTTAAATCAAAAAATGTCATTATTGGAACTTTGAAGTTAAGTTAAATTTTTAAGCACAAGTGCATTGAATTTTTGATAAGTCAAAGAACTTTTCATTTTTTTATTAAATTATTCATTATAAATTATACATTATTTCAAGGATGTAACGACGAATTCTTACTATTTACAAAATCAATCCAGCTTAACTCAGGTAAGTGCATATAGGTATATTAAATAAATAGTCAAATGTTTTTAATTTTTAAAAATCATAACAAATTCATATTTTTGTAATAATCAACGTTTAACTGTATAGTTGTAGATCCATCTGAATTTTCAGTACTTATGTTTTTTAACATCACACTGTACTTTTACATAGATTATTACATTATTTAGATTCTATGAGCACCGAAGAATGTATTGCGTTTAGTATGGTGTATTTTTTATTTTTTATGTCTGTAATCGACTTTTTTTAGAAATTTTGTACTAATTAAAAAACTAAGGGAGCTTTTTTATAGAATTTCGGATCTATTACACTCCTATAATTATAATTTAGTATTTATATAAAACACAGAATTAAAATTATCTATATTTTTTTTAGTGTTTAATATATACCTATTAAGTATTAACTATGCATATATATAATTTCCCACGAAGATATACCCATTTTAATATCTTTGGAGATAATAAAGTTAATCAAATTCTGTTTTTTTTTATTTTTTTTTTTATTACACACAAGGGACAAGGACTGCAAAAATTTGTATATCAATTAATTTTTCATGTTGTGTAAAAAAACTAAAAAAATAACTTTATTTTATTATGTTTGAAAAATTTGGGTAGCCATTTTATAAAGTTCATATAATTATTCAGAAAATACTGGCGTATCAATTTTTCATTTTTATTAAATTCGTAATTTTTAATAATTTTTAAGTTTCGAGAAAGAAAGTGTACATTAAATTAAATACTGTAAATAAGCCAAAAATATGAATGAAAAATTATCAAATTTGATTACAGTCTGCTGCACAATTGTTGAGTACTTTTCTCTGAACTTTAAAAAATTCTAAAAATAACGAATTTAATGAAAAAATAAAAGGTTTGTAACTTTAAAGTTTAGAGTACTTAAAGCGTATCTTATAATTATACAACAGACTGCAATCGCATTTAATAATTGGTTATTATTATGAATGATTTACTGTATACTTTTTTTCTCGGAACTTAAAAAATGATTAAAAATCACGAATTTAATAAAAACAAAAAGTTGATAAAAACACTATAAAATAGTTTTCTTTAAAATTTTCAAAAATCATAAAACAAAAGGTTATTTTTTCAAGTTTTTACGGAAACATCAAAAATCAATTTAAATATAAATATGTATAGATAGTCATTAACCCTTAATTAATATAAACAAAGTAATATAAACAAAAAAAAAAAAAGATTTGATTTTCTTTATTATCTCCGGAGATATTATAATAGGTATATTTTGTAGGATATCCTGTATGTATACTTTATATATACCTTTTTTTATCGAATTAAATACAAATATGACAATTTGTAAAGGTATATTGATTACGGACAGAAGAGTCCAGCCATCAGCGATTAGATGTATGTATTATCATTACTATTACCAATATAAATTAAAGTACATGCCTATATAATTCGTAAAGCTTTTATTCCCAGCAATGTTATAAGATACGTAATGAAGTATTTCCAAATAATAGCAATTGTTTTTGTATATAATGATAACTATTATAATTATTTTGATCTTATTGATTTATCACGGGAATATTTGGATACTTTTCTTCGTTATAAAGTTTTATAATTATGTTAGACATTTGGTGATCTACAGAAATGAAGACTACATAACGTTTTGTTAACCTCGGAAAAATTATACTGTTATCACTTTTAAAAAGACGTCCTTGGATAATGGGGATGGGTGCAACTATTATTATAGATAATTTAATGTATATATCTGTTAGCAACGATTAACCATTGTTAACGCATAAACGATTCTGAGTGGAATTCAGTTGAAAGTGTAGTTGCTTTGTCAACAATATATATCATATTAAGTTAAAAATAATTATAAATATATAATTATAATATAATATACATAGGTATATATATATATATATTTTTTTTAAATATTTGTTCAAAAGTTTATCTGTTTTCCCGTTTTTCCTACAGTTTTTCCATTTGTTTGGAAAACTAGTGAGAAAATCAAATAATGACTTTAATATAGACTAAAGTACTATTTTTTTTTTTTTTTTAAATTTACAAGTTAACTCATTAAAAACTATAAAAAAACCGAAAACATACCTAGTATGAAGAAATTGAACTAAACGTCAATATTTTAATATTTCTCAATGAGCTCACTATTCCTAGTACACGAAATTTAAATTTTGGCTTAAAAATTATGTTACGAAGATTATTTAATAATTTATTGTAATTTTTTACTCGAAATTCGAAATTTGAAACCCCATTTTAACACCCTAAAACGGTTTTTTCCGGGCGCTGGAAGAAGCCAACTAAATCCATCCCGCAAAGATTAGACTTCGAAATTTTAACTGGTACAAGATAATAGAACAGAATTTATTGTATTTTGTCACTCGAAATTCAAAATTTACTACTGCATTTTATTCCATAATATCGTCTTTATTACAGGGTGCTTGAGGTAGTACTCACATCGGCAACAATACACTTAGGGACTTCCAATGGATGCGAGATTAACTGAACTCTGCTCATAATTGTTTTTTCGTTAGCAATGGTTTATCGTTGCTTACAGATACATTACATTATATTAAATTACTTTTAACAGTGGCTACACTTAACCCCATTATCCTAGGAGGTCTTTTTACCTATGTAACTGCTGGGGTGGGCAAACAGAAATAAAAAAACTATTTATGGGTGTTGAAATGGAGTTACAAAATTTCGTATCGGTTTTAAGTCTCTTAGTCTATTTTTCACCTATGTGGGTGCTGGAATAAGCTTCCTCTAGTACGGTTTTAGGGGTTCAATAAGTGGTAACAAATTAAAAATTTTGAAGAAAAAATTAAAAAAAATTATTAACTAATTCATAACATACATTCAGTATTCAGCATTATGTAGATAAATAATTAATTATTTTTTATCTTGACTAGATAATAAATAAAATTAGTTATCTGATGGATTATCTTTGATGAATAATTTAATTATCTTACGTAATTCATCTACATAAATAAATATATATACCTATCCGAGAAATTCAAAAAGTTAAACTTTCAAGTTAAAACCTAGGTCTCGTTAGTAAACCAACCTTGTACAAATAGAGAACAAAATAAAAAACATAAAGAAATAATATTAACCAGGTCACTTATTTATGTTATTTCTAAATTCTAATAAAAATTGTAGATTGTAGAATCTAGTATAAATTGTAAATTGACAAAATAATTGTAGATTAATTAATCAAATTAAAACAATTTTATCTTTTTTTTCATCCAGATAAATAGTGGTTTATCTTTTATCTTTATCAAAATAATTTAGATTTTAACTATCTTTTATATCTATCTATATTAATTGTATTAAATTATCTTTTATCTTTATCTAGATACACTTTTGGTTATCTTTGTGAAACACTACACACATTTTAAGTAAAAATTCTAAAGTCAAGTACTGGGGTAATTGAACTTTCTCACTGTCCTTGGCTTAAATATAGCTTAATATAGTTAATATGTACATTGCAATAATGTAATAATATGTTATTTCAGTCCCAAAACAAATTTTAACATTTTTAAAACTATTATAATGATTTAAATATTATTTTAGATTCTAAACGAATTGCATGCTAGTTTATTATGATGGTTTTTTTGTCTTTAAAGAACTTTCCTACTAGAGATCTAGTTTCAGTCAAAACTTGATAGATACTACATGTAGAATTTATTATCAGGTGATACATTAAGATGTTATTTTTTATTTTCCGTGTGGTTTTCTCCCTCCCTACCAAAATTAAAAAGATGAATATCTCGTTAAAGGGGTGGCGAAAATCGAAAAGTTAACACCAAAATTTATTTAAAATATTTTTCCATTTATTCATCGAATTTTTAATATAGGTTCTCATTTGTATTTCAAAAGTTAACCCCGAAAAATTCAGTAAAATAAAAAAAAAATATGTGATTTTAAATAAAGAAACTTTTGTATTAAACATTTTCTCTATTTTGAATATTTAGAGGAGTAAATTGCTGTAACATAAAATTCTGAACACCCTTTATATAGCATATTGTAGTAAAATAATAACCTTGGCATTATATATATTCTTTGATAATTTTGATTAATATCGTACCTATTTTCCCGTTTTATCTACCTTTCTTCCCGGTTTTTCCTATTTAATAGGAAAACTCCTAGGAAAATCCAAAAATGACCTCTCTAAAGTACTTCCCCAGTCAGATTTCTTGTCAATAAAAGTCCATAATTTTCTTCGCTTAACTCAGAATGTATAATAATTAGACCGGTGGTCTAGTGACTAGACTACATTACTAATTGTTGAGAAACTAATTTCATGACTATATAAGTTATTAAGTCAATTTCAAAATATTATAATATAGGTACCTACCTAAAAGTGACATCTTGAAATTGCGGATTGCTTGGGAATAGGAACTATAACCTCCTATGAATAGTGAATACCAGTGCCAGGGGGAAAGCGAAAAGAGGTGGTATAGGAGAGATGTACTCCCCTGGTTTTTGTTTACTGGTTATTTTTGTATATTTTATTATTTAACAAAATATAGTGAATTAAATAAAAATGATAAATTCACTCCCCTCCCCAAGAAAATAAAAATTGCCTACGATACTGGCTAGTAGGCACATACAAATAATGTGGACAATTTCAGTGACCGTGAGTATCTGAATGTTTAATAGTTTATATTTATCTGTATTTGAGTCTACAAGGAAGAATTTGGGTGAGGGGACTGATAGATGGGGTTAGTTTCAAAATATTATTCATTATACAGCTTGCCACCTCAGTATTGGGGACTATTTTAAGGAGCGGAGAAGCTAACCTCTTCTGAATAGTGGAAACCGGTACCAGAAGGGGGAACACCTGCCTCTCCTCATTTGTATTTATTGATTGTTACGGTGTACTTTATCATTCAACAAAATATAGTTATACTTTGTTGAAAAAACTTGTATAAAAATAATAAGTCCCCCCCCAAAAAAAAAATTAGCTACGATATTGTATAATATAATGACCAAATACAATTATAATACAAATTTAATTTAACTTACAAATAAAACTCGCATTAAATCGCACAAACATATTTTGGGGGAAGGGGAGGACCACCACCCACAAATCCCCTAGTTGCGTCACTGTATTTTATCAATGGTATTAATAATATAATTTTCGAAATTAGTTAAAAATAGTATAGTATATGATTTATTTTATACGGATATAAATAATATATATTCTAAAATTATAGCTAGGTATTAAAATTATAATGAAACTATATGTATGGTTTTACAAAAATATTATTTTCTAAATGAATTAAAAATAATATAGTAAGATTTCTATATATTTTAATAATATTATGAGTAAATTATATTAAAATGTTATAATATGATTTTGAAAATAATATTATTTTTTTTATGAATAATAATAATATAGTAATATTTATTTTCCATTACCGTAATAATATTATAAATATAATGTAAATAAAATAATATCCTATTATTTTTGTTTTATTATCATTACTAATTTGCTATCTAGGATTATAATAGATTAGACATTTCAAGAGATATATACTAAACAATATTTAATATTTTAATGCACCGATAACAATAATATTTGTATTATGCATATGTGTACAGATTATAGTATGGCATTTAACGATTCATGGACGCATCCTATTCAAGATGAAACTAACACAAATCATATGAAAGTAATGCTTTTCGAATTTAATATATGGTTAACCATATTACAACACAATAATGAAGTTTTAACAGCAGTATTGAAAAACTACGGTACGTAAATATTATAATAATATTTCTATTTATAAATTCCCTCCTCTAACGGTTTGAACCCTATTAAATTCAATTTTCTAACACTGACAAATTATTAACACAATGTGTTTTTTTTTTTTCAATAACATTTACAAATTTATTTGAAAAATTACTTTATGATAATAATTTTTGTAGTTAAATAATTATTTTTAATAAGTTAGAATCATTAAATGGAGGGGGGCTATTGCTCTTTAAATATTTTTGAGCTATCTCTTATGACTTTTTTTTACGTGTTTAAGCTCTTTTTGTGGATTTTAATTGCATATACATTCTAACTCTAGTAACATTATTTAAACTACAAAACTTTCATTTCGAAATAATTTCGGCCTAATTTCCAATATGTAGATGACAGCGTGACAGGTTTAACCATTTGCTTTTATTTCTACCGAGTCTTACAATTTAATATTGTAGATAACCATAATAGAGAATCTATAAAGAAATACGTTTAATTTAAATATTGTTGATGGTCACCTTTTGGATGAAGAAGTAAAACGTTGCAAAATAATTGGTATGATAATGGGATATTTGTTATAAGACTTATGCCCTTAAAATTGCCCCCCCCCCCCGATTTTTTCCGATCAATTCGAAAAGTATGCTAATATTTTGCAAATTAATAGAGGCCCGTAGTTTTTATAAAATAATTATTTTGGCTTTTATGGTTGTGGTAAAATTTTTAACATATTTTAGCTTTTTTAGGTTATTTATAGGTATTTGATATTTGTGTGATTTTACATGTTTTTTTTTTGGGGGGGGAGATATTCTTGATTAAAATTCTATCACTAAACAAAAATGCTTGAAAATGCAACACAAAATTCATTATGAATTTAACTAAGTGTTCTAACAACAAATTTGAATTTAATGCATTAGTTATTTTTTTTTCATAACCATTTTAAGATCAAATTTTAACGAAAATCGTAAAATGTATGGCATTTAAAAATATGATTTACCAAACTTCGTTCCGAATTGTTTTTCGCTAGGAATAATTTTCCGTTATTTACAAATATAAATCAATTAACTTTATGTATCCTACCTTCTCAACTTCTCACCTAAAACAGTGCCGCTCCCATCCCCAGTATCAGCCCATTTTTTAAATATTTTCTTTGTCAAATCGTTATAGTGTTCCCAATACTTGTTTGATTTTTTGATATAATATACTATATAATTATTTTATCCATAGAGTACCTATGGAATAATAATTACGCACAAAACTTATGAAATTAAAATGCTCATAATTAATTCAAAAATGGATAAAATGTTATGAAAGTTTTACCACGTCTAGAAAAAGTAAAAATATAAGATTTTCTGTCAACATTTTAAGCCTTTACGAATGTTTTTAACTAAATTACATACATTAAACAAACAAAATTGAAAATAACCAAAGAATTATTAATTAATAAAAATTCAACAGAAAAGATCTCTTGATGTTTAACGGGGTAAAATTTTCGCTGTGGTATTAATTTTGCGATAGTGTTAAAATGGATAGACATTAATCTTTACTGCTGTTACCGCTTAGGTTTTAACGGACCTTTCGTCTACATATTCTCATTTTAAAAAACAATTAATTTTTTTACAGATATTCTCATTTAGCGTCCAGAATTCGTCGACGTTTTGTTTTAATGATCGTAGCTCTTGAAGAATTTACTCATTTTTTTTAATGCTGTTGTGGCTTTTGATATTCGGGTTTTGATTGCTTGCAATATATCCCAGCTATAGCTAATTATTGTTCCTAAATATGTTGTATATTTCATTCTTCCTATGATTTAGTTGTTGATCTGTATTCGATTTATATATTTTCTATATTTATTTTACAGATTAACATGCATTTTTTTTTATATATAATATTATATAGTATAATAATATCATATACCTAATATAACATGATGTCCATCATTACAGAAGAACAAAAACATTTTGATCAACCAGTTCATAATGTGATATCCGCACGTGAATTTAATAAGTCACAAATGGAAACCTTCAAAGCTGATAGAGTAATATTATTAATGCAGTTCCAATGCAGTACTTAAAGAAATAATTAATCTGATATTATTTTAGATGTTTTGGAGCGATATAAAAGTACTTACACTCAACGAGATTGTACCAGGTACCGAGTCGCGTGAAAAAGAACCGATGAAACCCAATAATGACGATAGCGTAATAAATTAATATTAATATTTTTCCAAATATTCTAGATTTTTAATGAATCTCTTTTTTTTTTTTTTTTATAAATAATATTTTGCAAAATCATATTCTTAAACCTAAATAATTATCATCACAATGATTCCTATGTACAAAACATCTGTTATTATATGAACTCAGGTGGCGTTTTTCCAGTAACTGGTTTTTAGTTTTTTTTATGTATATCTTCCTTAGTATATATCTTTCTTAGCGACTTTGTCGTTCTTTGTGGCCGTTTAATAATTTTATTCATATTTATTTAATACGTATTTAATTTTTAATCAATCATGAAATCGATGAATCAAAAATTGAAACACTCAAATCCAATAGAGTACTTTTATAAATACATTGCAACACTTAAAAAATGATTAATCTGGTATTATTTTGTTTTAAATTGTTTCAGTATATTTTGAGCAGTACAGAAGAGTCAAGTCAGTACTAGTAGAACTATAGAAAAAATAAATGATGACGAAACTAATTAATTAGTCTAAAAATTTAAATAGGAGTTTTTTTTTGTACATATATATATATATATATATATATATATATATACCTACCTATACCTACCTTAAAGAAATAAAATATATTTTATCTATTACTATGAAGTCAATGCGATTTGTTTTTATTGTAGTATTTTAAAATTGAAATGCTTTCATATTAAACAAAAATTTAAATATATTCTATTTTATATATAGTGATTAGCCCGAAGTACAAACATAAATAATAATTCGTATTCATATTTTAAAGTACTAATAATACTGTAATATCTACTAAATATTGATGGTAATGATAATAATAAGTATTGTAGTATATCCAGTCGGTAGTCATCAATAATAATAATAATACAATATTTTATAAACAGGTATGCTTTATTAGCACAGATTATAAGGTCCGTGAAGTTAATGGGAGCATGGAAAGCACGAATTTCCAGTATACCACCAACCAAAATTTAGTGCTGAATTAGTGCTTTCAGAATATACAAAAACAAAAATGAATATTTTAATTTCTCATAACTTCACACTACGGAAAGTTAGGTTAACTTTTTGCTTAAACTTTTGCTTACTTTTTTTACCACTAAATACAATATGTAATAAATCTCGTGTTAAATTTTCAAGCACTTTTATTTGGACAATCACATGATCCACATAGTACTAACCAAAGAAAAACTAGGTAAAAAACAAAATTTTAATAACAATTTATCTCCGATTTACAATGATAACATTTTTTTCTGAAAATAAATCTAACTGAGAAGGTACTTTAGGGATGTCATTTTGCAATTTTCTCAAGAGTTTTACCAGTAAATGTGAAAAACCGTGTAATATATTAAATATTTAGTATTGGAAATAAATGATCGAGCGTGATAATATTCAACTACCAGTTTCCAAAACAATTAACATCTGTTAATAACACACATCGACTAATATGCCACACTTTAATCGACAATGTCGCTAGAATGAGGGACCTCGGAAGGCATATAAACACCTTACGCATTAGTACGTAGCGTGTAGTCTTTCCTTCTTCTCTGAGCTCACCCAGCAGTAGCACCCTCATCCCCTTTTTTTGTTACCTATACAATACTTTCAAATTCTCTCTCCTAAATTTAGTGACCGCAGAACTTAAGCCGGATTTCTATATTTGGTATACCTATCCATGGTACACCTGTGCAGTAGTTGCAGAACCGAAGGCGGACTACATCATCTGATAATCCTTAACTCCTATATGCCTATCTGTCGTGTAAGTTGCTCTGTTTTGCTACATATTTAGACGTGCTGACTTTCTATAGTGTCCCACCGAAAGGATAGCTATACACAACTTGTAATAAATCATAAAAGTGCATTTTGGAGCGCTAACATACGTTTATGCCGTTAACCTTCCACCAATTGGCCATTGATTACTACAGTTATTTATACGCTTGGAAAAGTGGCCAATGAAAAAAAAAACAAACAAGTTCTATGTTACTTTGTGTAAATTGCACAGGGCTACACATTGCGCCGATTTACCGACACCCACGACTATCCATATTTCATTCCGCACACCTAAGCAACAATTCATCTACAAGTCACTTTTGCCTTACCTATCATATTATATCCAACGGTCTTTAGGCGAAATTCAAGCTGTCTTGAAGATCAACGAGGTAAGTAAAAATTACTTTACTCCCGTGATAGAATAGTATTTAGATTTTTTTGTATGTCAAGCCAAACATTCGTGTAATAACGTTCATTCACACATTTATACTCACATACACTCGCACAGAATAGGGCGGTTTTTGGATGATACGCAATAATAACCCACATTACCCCATTTAATTTTATTATGTTAAACTATAAATAATTTGAATAATATACGGAAGGATTTTGATATAAGCAAAAATATTCACGCAGATAATGAAAATAATAATATAGATAATTTAGTTGTTATTAATAGTTGTCTTAAGTTAGAACATCGAGATGGTCAACTTGCAGGGGCTCGGTGATAGATTCTTCGCTGTGGCCAGCCTCCGGAAAAGACTCGGCCGGACCGTCGTTTTCGTGTCAGCATACTTCAAGTATTGCATCCCAATACAAGTTCTTATCGACAAGTCAGGTAGAATTCTGGATAGGGTAAACTCCAATGTCATGATATGCGCTGACGTGAACGCGCACTCTCAGCAGTGGTTCAGTCGGCCGGGCACCAACACTGGCAGAGTTAGAGGTGCTCAAGTCGAAACCTTGATTGCGGAGAAACTCTTGACGGTGCAGAACAAACCCGGTCGCCTCGACAAGTACGAGAGGCCGGGGATGGGCACATCGAATATTGACGTGACTCTGACAAGAGGGGCCTCGTTGTCAAACTCGGTTTTTGAATGAGAAGTGGTTGATGTCACAGACAGTGATCACAGTACCATCAGATTCAAGATCCGCGTTGGATCCGGGCCCAAGTGGCCCGTAGTAGGGAAATGTCGTTTCAACGTTAGGAAAGCCGACTGGGATAGATTTAAGCGGGTTCTGTTCCAAACAGTTGCGGAGTGCGACGAGACCATGGCGGGTGGGTTGGAGGACGAGGCGAATTTTCTAACTTCTGCCCTACGGGGCGCTATGGAAGCCTCCATGCCGAAAACCCGTAAGTCCGGTAGGATAAAACCACCCTGGTGGGACCGTGGTCTCTCCGAGTTCAAAACGCGTCAAAATAATTTCAGACGCACCCGCGACTACAAATCGACGGATAGGAACGAATACAAGAGGCTCAGGAACGAGCACCTGAGTAGAATTAGGAGGGCGAAGGTGGCGTCTAGGCAGAAATTCGCAACTTCTGCAAATTCAGACGTTTGGGGCCCGGTCTACAAGTGGGCTAAGAACGGCTCACCTAGGAGTAGGGTCCCCCATATGGTGCTTCGCGAGAATGGTACCTTCACGGTTTGGCGCGGGAGACTACCGAACTTTTGTTGGAGAACCTAATCCCCGGGATCAGTCAGCTTTGATTTTCGAGTTAGGCATTATAGGACGTGTGAGGCCGGAGGTAACGGAGGCGGAAGTTAAGGGTGCCGTGTGGAGAATGGCCCCTAACAAAGCTCCGGGTCTGGTATGATCATGGCTGGGGTACTCAGGAGGGCCTGGGGCGTCATCGCGACGCGTTTCACTGGGTTCCTCTCGGGAATCGTTCTTCCCGTATTGCTGGAAGACGGTAGAAGTGGTCGTGATTAGTAAGGATGTCGATAGGGACACCCTATGCGGATGACCTGGTGGTTCTTATTGCGGGCTCCGATCTCGGCGAAATTCAGGGGCGTGCTGGGACTGCGCTCGGCTCATTTCGAGGCTGGGTGGCTGAAAGGGGCTTCACCTTCTCTGCAGTAAAGTTTTATGCACTACCCTTGAAAGGCGTACTACAGCCCGGCTTTTCAATTGAATTCGGTCAGGACAATATCGTGGCTGTAAGTTCAGTTAGGTACCTTGGAATCGAGTTGGACAGTAAACGTAATTTCTGGGCACACGTGAAGAGCGTGGCCGGAAAATCCGAGGTCTTCTACAGTAGGCTCAGAACAGCGACTTCGGCCAACTGGGGCATCCGGCAGGCAACTTCGACCATCTACAAAGCGGTATTCTTACCGAGAATCACATACGCGTCGGAGATCTGACTTCGGGTATTTTCACGGCGAAAGTGGTAAAATTCCAGAACCACAGCGACGAATGCGTTGCAAGTGGTTGCTGAGCAGCTACCTCTTGATTTGGAAATTTGTTGGAACGTAGTTAGATAAAACCGGAAGATTTCCGAGACGGTCGACCAGTGGAATAGGATCTTGGATATCTGGCAAACCAGGTGGGACACCAACGAGAAGGAGCGATGGACCCACTCGATAATCTCTGAGGTTAGAAGGAGGCTTGAGCTGTCGCTTGAGACCCAGTTCCTCACGGGGCATGGGAATTTCAACGCCAAGCTGAATTCCTTTGCACTGCGGGGATCGGCGGCTTGTAGGTGCGGTACCGAGAACGAGACGGTAGAACATGTGCTCTTTAGGTGCCCGGAACTCACACTCGTGAGAGGCCGGCTGATTAGGGACATTGGCGAGGACCGGTGGCCGTGTTCGACCGAGGTGTTTCTGAACACTAGAGCGAATTACTGCGCGTTGCGTCGCTTTGCGAACAACGCGATCGAAGCCAAACGGTTGGTGGATAGGTAGCTCAGTCAAAGACACAGGTTAGATTCGAGAAAGTATAGGGTCGTGGTAGGTCAGGTGGACCCATATTGACACGGGAGGGCTCTGGCGGTGTCTGGTCGGTACCCTCGTACAGTCCAAAACCGCCGCATTGGCCCACCATTAGCCGGCTGGGGAGCCAAAATAGTGGGAGAGACGCAGTCTCGGGTTGACCTAACGACGTCAACCAAAAACTTAGTCGGTACTATTGGCGGAGAAGCCCCACTTCACATCGGACAGGCCTCACCGCTCCGGACTTAGTGTCCCCAAGGTTGAGGAGCCTAACTCGGCTGAAACGTGGTGGCTGTGGGACAAGCGCGAGATAGTAAAGCCAATCCACTGCACTTAGTGGGCGAACGGGAACCCATCCTGGTCGCGAGAAAGGTACGGGCCTCAAAAGCCAGTGGCCGATGTTCCCTCCAAAAAGCCCTGGACCGGCGGCGGCTCGCCGTCGTCGCTCCAGCACCACGACCGTCTGCAAGTAGCGCCCAGCGCTAAGACGCGGACGGCTGGCGGTAAGCGTCAGCCACAAAACCTCTGGGCAGTTGTTGCGGTAACACTTCATGTAAAGTCGAAAATAATAACGTAATAGTTAGTATGTTTAATATATCCGAAATAGAAAAAGAAATTATATTAAGTGAATTAAATAAAATACTTTATGAATTTGAAATGGAATATATCGTCCTGGGTAGACGGTATTTATTGTGTATAAATAATAATTATGATAAAAATAATAGAAGAGGGAGAATAAAAGCATTAATACCTAATAAGCATATGAGCATAGAGGAGAAACAACCAATATTCGAAATTTGTGAATAATATTCGGAAATATTCCATGTAGAAGGAGATACCTTAACATTTACAAATGCAACTAAGCACCAGATATATTTAAATGAAGGTCAACTACCTATATATAAACGACCTTTTGTCCAACAGGGGGAAATAAATAATCAAATTCAAAAAAAGATAGACGACGATATAATTGAGCCATCTATGAGTCCTTGGAATGCAACATTGCTTTTAGTTAAAAAGAAAGCAAACGCAAGTAAGAGAGAAAAGTTCAGAATAGTAATTGATTTCAGAGCACTTGACGAAGTAGCTCGAAATGAATATCACCCACTTACAAATGTAACAGAAATCCTTGATCAGTTAGGTCAATGTCAGTTATTTAGCGTTATAGATTTAGCATTGGAATTTTACAAAATACTTTTGGCAGGCTCATCACGTGAGTTAACGGCATTTTCTACTAATTACAGATATATATTTTTTTAAACGAATGGCAGTGGGAATGAAAACTTCACTCGCCACTTTCCAAAGACTTATGAATAATGTATTAGCAAAAATAATAGGTATTACATGCTTAGTGTATTTAGACGACATAATCGTTTACAGGAAAAATTTAATCGACCATAATAATAAATTACGCGAAGTATTCAAAAGATTAAGAAATAATAATTTAAAAATCCAACCCGATAAATGTGAATTTTTAAAAAGAGAATGTGTGTACTTAGGATACATATAACTGAACACTGAATAAAACCCGATACAAAAAAGATAAAACCCGTTTTAGAATTTCTGGTACTCAAAAATGTAAAAGGAATTAAATCATTTTTAGGTTTGTCAGGGTATTATCGAAAGTTCATAGAATCGTATAGCACAATCGCAAAACCGATAACAAATTTATTAAAAAAGGACATAAAATTTGAATGGAGCAAAACTTGTCAGAAACCTTTCTTTAAATTAAATAATGTTTTATGTTCAGAACATATATTAAAATATCTAGATTTTAAAAGACCGTTTATATTAACAATAAACGCGAGTAATAAGGTGCTAGGAATAATATTATCTCAGGAAGAAGTAGCAAAAGAGTTACCTTTAGCTTACGCGTCAAGGACTTTAAATAAAAGCGAAAATAATTATAGTACAACGGAATAAGAGTATTTAGTAAATAATAATTAATTTGGTATATTCGGTTTAAATAAATTTCGACCATATTTGTACGAAAGACGATTTTTCATATTGAGTGATCACTGACTATTGACGTGGTTGTTCAATTTGAAAAATCCTATGTCAAAACTTGCGAGATGGTGAATACAATTGGAGGAATATAATTTCGAAATACGATATAAGCCGGGAGTACAGAATTCTAATGAAGACGCTTTAAGTAGAATGTATACCAAAGAAAAATTAAAGTCCGAAAATTATGGGCAATTTTTAGAAAGTATGGGAAAAACAAAATTTACGATAAATAATAATTTAAAGGAAGAAATAGGAAGAAATTTGATCGATTCACTGAGCGAATATCATATACTATATGGCATATAGTATCGCTGATCGCGAAACAATATAATTTTACGACAGGAATTAATTTTGAACTTAAGAATAAATTTAGTAATAACGAAATATTACCACCCAGTAAAATAATAGGGGATACACAATATTTTAAAGGTAATAATAGGTATATAATATTTATGGTAAATAAAAATAAGGATAAACAAAAAGCTACCTACGAGGACACATATTTAGCATTATTAAATTTAAAACAATTTTGTGAAGAGAATAAAATGGATAAAATACCATTGGGGAAACTAGGTCAACCCGATAACCTAGAATGGGATAAAATTAGGTTAATGTTACCCTATTATTATAAAATATTGTTAAATAGGTACATAGAGATAAGTTAGCATAAAAAATATATATATATATATAAAAGGATAACGCTTGAAACACATTAGCGATGCGCAACAGACGGTCAGTGTCAAGGACGACGATGATCGACGGCGACGCGAGATAACCATAAAATAAAATAATATCATACGGACACAGCGGTTCACGATAGTACTTATAATATCCACAGCGCGAACACGATAAAATAAAAACGAATACGCAATGAATACATTTATAATTATATGTATAAAAAAAAAAAACTAAGTTCTAGATATAAATAGTTAAGCAAGTTATTAAGATATGCTGATAGAATAATATTATAACTCAGAAGATAGAGATATATGTATGACATAATTTAAAATAAATAAAAGAATAAGTTACGAATAATTACTAAATAATAAATAGAAAGGACGATTAGAAAAAAGGCATAGAGTTTAGAAATTGGCATAGAAAAAGGTTAAGTTTCAAAGAAATTGAGCACATTTAAAAGAGGCAGCAGAAAGTATTAACACATTTATATGCAGGGAAATGGTTAACGTGCTGGAAAATAGCCAGGACATTTATTTCGAGATAGCCACGCGAATGGAAAAACTTGTAGAATTTTACGAATTATAAAATTAGTAGGTATATTATTTAATATAGCAGTAAGTTATCTAGTCAAGTATAAATAAGAATAACCGTGGAACGAGTAAAAACTCTAATGGAAAAATCAACACAGGGAAACAATAGAAAATAATAGGGTAATAGTTAAATGTATAGGAAACCATATAAGGGAAGCCAGCAGAAGGACATTAAATCCATACATCCCGGATGAATTAAGAGAAGTAGTCTCTCCGATATTACGTGTTATAAGCGATCTGATAACAGTAAGTGAAGAAACGTATTTTGAAGGATCAGTATGTGAAAACCGAGAGACCTCCAGGAGTTAATAATGAGGGAGTATTTTCACCATCTGACTAAACTTACCCACTTATCGTTAAAATCATTACTTTCCATGAGTTAAGTAAATATGTTGTGTATGTTTGAAGATTAATAATCATTTTAATATATTGTACTATGATAAATTATATTTCTATGCGTGTAATCAAATATTTAATCAATTATTCATTATATTAATCAAATTGTTAATCGAGTAAATTACTATTTTATTACATTCATACTAATACTAATACTAGCAAATTAAAAAAATATATATATTAGAATATGCTGGGTAAATTTAAATAGTAATTAATCATTTTATTGCATTATATTTAAGTAGTTCCATATATGTTAATCAACTTATTATATTCAATTAAATTAGAAGTTAAGAAAGTCGAGTAATATTGTTAAAAAAAAGATTTAAAAAAAAAAATATATATATATATAACAGATAGAACTAAAGAAATTCAATAAATATGTAATAATAATAAATAGTATGTGACCACTAAGAGATCATGGTCATAGATCAATAGACTTAATTGATATGACAACGCTTTCTCGGTGATAATATATAACTAGTTTCATTCAAATATGAATAACTTTGTGTAATAATCACTTTTAACTAAATTGTATAATCACTTAAACTATAATATGTATAACTATTTTAACTTTATTTAATCATTTTGCTCATTATTAACACAAATGTGCATTTGCTTAAATATGAATTGCTGGTATGAATGTTGAGCAATTGTGAGTTTAATTTTAATTATTATTGTAAGCAAGCCCAAAATATTAATATGAATGAGATTTCTGTCTTGGGAAGCCATAAATCTCTTTTTAAGGGGGGAGGTGTTACGTGCCCACACGCACCTTCCGCAAAAGACGCGTGCGAGCCATATACGATAATACTCTCCGTGCGTGAAACCAAATGGTATCCGATGCAGTAGGTTTGTAAAGTATACAGCACCGAAATATAGGTCGTAACATAATATAAACATGTTATAATACTAATATTGATATAATGTCAATACATATGTAATTTTGGTTTTAGCCGTCACCAGAATCCGGGGCAGCAATAAAATATAGATAGCAGCAGCTATTAATAACGGGTTGCGGGGGTACGGTCGTAAAATAAACTTAATATTTATAAAAAAACACGCAAACCGATGAGCAATACTTAGATTCCAGGACGTATAAAAATCACCACTAACGAAATAATGTAGATAGCCGCACTACGAACAACGGGTTGCAGGGGTCCCTCGGAGCATATATATCGCCGCTCGAAACATCGTCTAATCAGACGAGTCCACCACGGTCAAATACGAGCATCACTCTGTTTTATGAAATTTTGGCCTTGTAATATTTTTGTGTATGAATTTATTTATTAGACTTGTAGTTTTTTGTGTAGAAGATATTAATTATTTATAAACTCAAGTTGGATTTATTTTAAACATTTTTTCTCCAAGTCCTATTCCTACGTTGGGCCCGTTAAACCATTCACCTTTTATTTATCTATTTCTATATTCGCCTGTCACATTAATTTTACTCTATTGCTATTATCTTAAAAATGGGTAAAAGCAGGAAAAACGGGAAAATCGGTACAATATCAAACAAATATTATTAAAGAAAATTATATAATGCCTATTTAAATATTTTGCCCTAATATGACACGTATATATTGTTCACAAAGCTTCCCTAATAACTGAATTGCGATTAGAGTAGTTTTTTCTTTAGCAATAGTTTATTATTGCTAACAGATATTATATATTAAATTACTTATAACAGTGGCTGCACTCGTCTCCATTATCCTGCTAGAACGTTTTTATAACGGATCCAACGTAGGAATAGGATTCGGAAGAGAAAAATGTATAAATAAATTAAATTTCAACTTGAGTATACAATTAATTAATATTTCCACTCAAAAATATTACGTAACGGGCCCAACTTAGAAACAGGACTTGGAGGAAAAATGTTTGAAATAAATAAAACTCTAATTTGAGTTTATAAATAATTAATATTTTCTACACAAACAACTACAAGTCCAATAAATAATTCTTCACAAAATATACTAATTACAATAATACAATTCAAAACATCAAAATAAATACTAGCCAAAAAATATTCATAAAACAGAGTGACGCGAAGTTGCTCGCATTTGATCTTGGTGGACTCGTCTGATTTGACGGTGATTTGGGCGGCGTTATGTATGCTCGGATGGACCCCCGCAACCCGTTGTTCATAATCACAGCTATCTATATTATTATTTCTATGTATCATTTAAATTATTTATACATCCTAAAAGTAATTATATTTACTTTTTTCTCATTGACTAGTGTGTGGAAAATGTAAATAATGTACAACAAAATCATACAAAATGTATGATTAGTTATCATTTCATGGTTAATCGATTTTAGGCTTGGGCTGTATCCCTCGGATAGCCACACAATACAAGTCGAAGCTCCCCAGCATTAAATAAACTCCCATCACGCCGGATACCTATTCGTCCAAGTACGGTTTCGGTTCACATTCGGAGTTGTCCTATCAATTGACTATGGCCTCTCCCATATATATATATATATATATATATATATGTATATTATATATTACATATATAATAAGCATGTGGGCACGTAACATCTTTTTATTATTAGTTCTATTACAATTCCAAGTAAAGTATTTCAATTTAAAGTAACACACAACATAAAATATTGTTTATTACATTTTTAAGCTAAATTAAACAAAAAATAACAATAATTGTTAAATTATTAGTATAATTTAGATTCTGAATTGGACGAAGAAGCTTATAGTTTTACAAAGATGATTATTTTTTTTTTTGTCTGTGCGCAAATTTTCTACCAGAAGAATTGCTCAGATTTTTAAGTGTTTCATTTTATGAAAGGTAATCATCGTGGGAGGGGGGGTACTTTAGTGAGATCATTTTTCGATTTTCTCAAAAGTTTTAACATCAAATTTGAAAAACCGAATAAAAAGACGTCCTAGGATGATAGAGACGGGTGCAGCCACTGTTATAGATAATTTAATGTATATTTGTTAGAACGATAAACCATTGCTGACGAAAAAACGTTTCTGAGCGCAGTTCAGTTGATAGTGATGGTTTGTCAACAATACGGTAATACTATGGTAAAATAATTAAATAGGCATTATATATCTTCTTTAATAATATTTGTTTAATATTGTATCGAATTTCCAGTTTTTCACGGTTTTCCATGATTTTCCGGATTTTTCACATTTGCTGGGAAAACCCTTAAGCAAAACATCGAAAACTGACCTCCCCAAGTACCTTCCCCGATAGATTTTCTTTTAAAAATGTAATATCATTTTAAATCGAAGCGAAATTGCTGGTAGAAAAGTTGTTCATTGAAATAAAGGCCATAATATTTTTTTTACTTATGCATATACACTTGGCGTCACAAAAATCGCACATCTTTAAAATTAAGTTTCAAACGGGCATTTCCCCGAACCAAAACATTTAATCCAAACAATAAAGATATAAATTGAAAGTACAGTTAATGACCTCTTATCCGATAGTAGTTTCATTTCATAAACAATAATCATATTCGGAGTATACGGTGCATTAGGAAAATGTATAAATATACTCCTATCTTATCTTATATTCTTTGGCTATAGAAAAATCAGTTTAAAGTGTCAAATGCAGGTCATTCACTTCCTAAACATTGAAAAGGACGTACGTGAATACTCTTTAAACAATATTATTTCAAAAAATAACGTATTAAATGGATACAACTGCTAACGAAGCCGCTCAAGTGGTAGCATTAATGGAATCAGGGATGCGTCAATGTGATGTTGCACGGCAACTAAACTTGAGCCGTTTTGCCGTTCGACGAGTTTTCCAACGTTATCAAGAGACTGGTGGCTTTATCCGGAGGCATGGATCAGGCCGACAACGCTGCACAACGGACAGAGATGATCGTTTTATTGTCTCGACGTCTTTGCGCAATCGATTTTCCAATGCTGTAGAGCTTCAACAGCAACTCCGCGCAGCTCGCAGTACAACAGTAAGCACCTCTACGGTTAGGAGAAGGTTAGGAGAACAAAAAATTGTGGCCCGCAGACCTGCTACCGGTCCGAAACTGACTGCACAGCACCGCAAAGAACAGTTACATTTTGCCCGTGAACATTTTAATTGGACGCTTGACCAATGGAAGACTGTGCTCTTTTCTGATGAAACAAGGTTTGCACAAGCCTGTACCGAGGAGACAGTGGAGTATGGAGGTGGATCATGCATGTTCTGGGGCGGCATTTCCATCGATAGCAAGACCGAGCTTGTGTGCGTTTCCCGAACTGGTGGCGCTCGAGGACAAGGATCGCTAACTTCTGATCGATACATTACAGAGATCTTAGAAGAGCATGTGGTACCATATGCGGGTTTTGTTGGAGATGGGTTTATACTAATGCACGACAATGCTCGTTCCCACACCGCATTAATTGTAAAAAATTATACGGAAGAGGTTGGGATCCCTGTTATGAACTGGCCAGCGAGAAGTCCAGACCTAAACCCAATTGAGCACCTCTGGGACGAATTAAAACGAAGAGTGCGGTCACATGATCCTGCCCCAACAACCCTCCAAGATCTTCAATATGCTGTTGTTGCGGAATGGGTGAACATTCCTCAAGAACGCATCGTACGACTCATAACTTCTATGAAAGATCGTATGGAAGCAGTAATTAAGGCAAGAGGAAGTAGCACTAGATTTTAAATAACATTTAGTAACAGTTTTTTATTTTTATATGAAGTCTATTGTCTGTTTCTGTTTGTAAAACTGTATATCCTCAATACAATTTGTTTTCCTCTTCCACGATTAACTTATTTTTTAAAACACTGATAAACAAAAACACATACCATTTATTTATTTTTCAAGTTTATTTCATCACCTTTCAAATGATATATCATAACAGTACCCTTATATATGATTAAGTGTAGTTAAAATTACTTTGAAAAATAATTTGCAATAGGTGCGATTTTTGTGACGCCAAGTGTATTTTGTACAATATGTTCACCTTTTTTGAAAGAAAATCAGTGTGGGAAGGTACTTTAGGGAATTTTCTAAAGTTTTCTCATCAAATTTAAAAAACTGAAATTAAACGAGAATATGTATGAAATATATTACTAAAATATTACAATTCTTTTTTCTGTGCACATTTCTACCAGGAATTTAGCTCCAACTTTTTATGTTTCTAAAAGAAAATTTCACAAGCGAGATACTTTAAAGAGGTCATTTTTCGATTTTCACAAAAGTTTTCTCATCACAGGTGAATAACGGGATTAAAACCCAGGAAAACCGGGAAAAAGGTAAGTAAACTTGGAAAATCGGTACAATATTAATCAAATATTATTAAAGAAAATACATAAAGCCTATTTAATTATTTTATTATAAAATGACATATTTTTTGTTTATAATACATCAATTTTAACTAAACTTGACTCAGAATGGTTTTTTCGTAAGCAATAATTTATCGTTGCTTACAGGTATACATTAAATTATCTATTATAATGGTTGAATCCTTCCCCATTATCCTAGGACGTCTATTTTAATATAAATTAAATTAGGTTTTTATATTTTTGTTCACATTAGAATGAGTCATGTTAATAGAATTTATTAAAAAAAAAATGCATACATTCAAATTTATTTATAACATTAAATTATGATTGAAAAGAAAAAGAAAAATTAAAATTATGTTAAACGAAAAAAATTAATGTTAAACATGAAAATTATAAAACATTTAACTACACAAAAACGAAAAAACTATAATTTTTTAATAAATTTAGGTCCTGCTGTGTTTTTCATGATTTATAGATCAACACCATTTTTATAAAGTGACTTTTTGTTTAAGATAAACAAAAAGTTACCCATATGTGTTTATTTATTCTTAAAACAGGTACAAAAATGAATCATAGCATTAATCATAATAAAATATAGGTCATCAATATAAAATTATAATAGCTGCAGTAATAGGCAACATTTTCTATACATACTATAAGCATATTACAATTTATGTAATTGATATTAAGATTCGGATAATAGACACAATTTTTACTTAGAACTGATAAATTAAATAATCATGATATCATATAAATATTTTTTGATTTTTATTACCATGTCGGTCATTATAATTGACCAAACCGAATCTACATTAAAAGGTATAATATATAACGATTTATTAAAATTTAAATAGTAGTCATATGACTTGTATTGAAACTATTTATTATTTATTTTAACAATCAACCTAATTGCTGAAATAACAACTTGTAATTCGGTTTTACTACTTTAGGAGAAGAATTTGAATCCGGAAGTAAGCAATTGATTATTAATTTTTTTTTTCTACATAATTATAGTAACAAGATTACTACATACCTATTTATATGAATAAACATTTAATGAGTAATTAAAATAAACTTACTCGCTAAAGAGAATACCTTTTAGTTTGTATTAATCAATTTTTACGTTTGACGAATTGCTAGTGGAATTTATTAAGTAATAATTATTTTTAAATTTCAAAAATAGGCTGCATTAACTTTATAAAATTTCCAATAGGTAATATGATACCGGCTATTGGTACCTATAGTGACATACTATTGTGGATTTTATCACATATTAAATGTATTGTAATACGGATTATTTAATGGATTTTAATAAATTTTCTAATTGTTATTTAGTTAATTATTTTTTTTTAATAATTAAATTAATACGTATTTTCGGTTATTATGAATTACCAAATGACATTGGTGATGATAACTGAAGTTCAAAGGGTGTTGGACTACACGAATCGATAATTTTACACAAAACTCACCGTAGTATGTTGTACTTGGTAGATAAATAAAATTAAAAGTAAAACGTTTTAATTCAAATTCTGATAAAAATCTTAAACATCACAGCATTTCAAAAATGTATAATCGAGCTTGTCTTACAATCGATTTTCGTTAGTTATAGTTTTTACACCGGATTTGAGTAGTGTTTATAATGCGAATTCAAAAAGCAGTATTAAATAAAAATGTCTCCCTTCCCAAAAATTTTAACTAGTTTAATAAGTATTGGTAATATAATTTGTTTATTTTCCTATTTGGGACGCTCCTCATAGAGAATACAACTCATGGGTAGCCCACTGTAATATATGGAAAATAGGGAACATAGAATTAATACACTATAGTATAATTAATTTATATCTGTACTCGCTAATGAATCATTATTAACAAAAGCAATTATGTGCGAAGTTTGATTAATTGTCTTTTAATAAACCTAAACTGGAAATCACTATAATTTAAAGGAACAAAATAAGACGTTGTTAAAAGACGTTGTAAGATATTGGAGACGGGTGCAGATACTGTTTTAGATAATTTAATGTATACCTATTAGCAACAATAAACGATTGCTTACGAAAAAACAATACTCAGCCGAGTTTTGTTGATAGTTATGCTTTGTCAACAATGTATATGTCATTTAATATAAAAATTAAAAAGGCTTAATATATTTTCTTTAATAAAATTTGTTTAATGTTGTACCAATTTTCCCAGTTTTTCTATATTTTTTCAGGTTTTCCTATGCTTTATCCCGGTTTTTCGCATTTGCTGAGAATACTGTTGGGAAAATCGAAAAATGAACTCTCTAAGGAACTTCGCTAGTGAAATTTCCTTTTAAAAACATTGCCACCAATAAAAGTTAAAGCAAAATTACTAGTAGAAAAGTTGTGTACAGAATAAAATAAGGCCTTAATATATTTTAACTAATACCTATATTTCTTATATTTTCCCGTTTTTTTTCGGTCTATCAAATTTGATTAGAAAATCGAAAAATGAACTCTCTAAAGTAAACGGTAAATAAAATATTACTGTTAGAAGTATCAGTCTCTTTTCAGTATCTTTATTTAAATAAACTCTAATAAAATCAGTTATGAACAATAAAGATAAATATTAAAAATTAAAATCATGTCTATAGTGTGGTAAGTAAGTGTTTAATTTTGAGTATGTTGTAAATAAAATCATTTAATGACTATAAAATAATTGAAATCAATTTTTCTCAAAATCTCTACAAATATTTATCACTAAAAATCATAAAAAAGAAGAACACTATTTAATGAACGCAGTTCTAAATATCAAGTAAACCATATGTGTTTGTTTATTCGTATTATAGATACACTTATGAGTCATTGCATAATCATAATACAATATAGATCGTCAATAAAATATTATATTATATTTGGCACCAGTTGGTTGAAATATTCTGATGCTATTTGATTTTGCGTTATTAATATTCACATCCGTTAAGTCATTACGATTTATAATTAAAAGTCATAAACTACAGATGCCTGCTATCATACAAACATTTTAAATTCTAAGTGATGCTAAGAAGCTTATAGTTTTACAAAGATGTTTATTTATTTATTTTTTTAACTGTTAACAAATTTTCTACCAAAGACTTCATCGGATTTCTAAGTATGGTACCTTTTCTGAAAGAGAATCGGTGGGGAAAGATATTTCAGAAAGGTCAATTTTGGATTTTCTGAAGTTTTTTATTATCAAATTTAAAAAACCGACATAAATCGGCAAAATATAAGAAATGTAGGTATTAGTTAAAATATATTACGGCTTTTTTTTTTTCTGTGAACTACTTTTCTACGAGTAATTTGGCTCCAACTTATAGTGGTAGCAATATTTCTAAAAGGAAATTTCGCTTTTCTGCGTTTTGGAGCAGAGTCTCTATGGCATTTACCGAGTTGATAACACTTAACTATATTGGTGATTACACATAATAACCTAACATCAGTAACGGTACCACTGCAACCAATTCAAATGTCCCTATCAATCGTTACATGCATACCGCAGTAACGCTTTTATGTTAGACATATTGTAATAATTAATTATAAGCATTAGCAGTGTGTTTTACAAGTGTTAAGTAAACACTGACGGTCGCAATATAATTGACCATTCCCTCACCTTACATAAATCCGATATCTCTACCATCCGCGATGATGTTTTTTTTTTCTTCCGACGACCGCCTATGAAGATAGACGTGTCCAAAACTTTTGCTCTAACGTCCAGACACAACAAAATGGCCACCTAAATCACAGAAATGCGACGAATCCTCGTCGTGTGCACCAATCTGGTACGTATGCTAAGTTAATCCCCACACATTATATTAAGACGGTCGGTACCTATAAAATTCAGTTTATTAATATAATTGTTTTTCACATACATCACAAATATTAGTGATTCTAAAAGATGTATATTCGACCATCTCCGTAGGCGGGTACCCCTGGTAGTTCCAAGTGCCCGACTTACTTGGACTCCTTAAACCTATATACATTTACGGATATAATATAAATATTATTCTTCATGAGTATGAACTATTAGTTTATAAACGCAGAGGCGGATGTGATGAACAAAGATATTTCCATCCTATTCCATTAAGTGACACCCTAAGTCTCTACTTTTGTATTAAAATACACCTAAGCTACAACACTATAAATACCCGCATCTATTGTGGAACGCCGAAAGGGTGTGATAGTCCCCACTCGGTAGGAAACCGTTGAGTACACCCATAATATCTGACCATTAGTATTAAAATTGTAAGTTTTTATGGGTGTGAAGAAGTTTAACCTTACAATCTTTGTAGATGTAATCTCAATAAGTTATGAAAAAGCTCAATAAAAGCAATGAAATAATATTAATTATTAAAAAAAAATGCCCAATTTCAAATATATTTATAACGTTAAATTACATTTTAACAGAAAATAAAAAATTCAAATAAGGTGAAACAGAATTAAATAAAATAAATTTTGAACATACAATAACATACATTAAAATTGTATAACGTTTAAATGCCCGAAAACGTAAAAACGGTTATTCGTTAAATATTTAAACTCTATAGATAATGAAAAAGAAGAACACCGTTTGGTGAAGGTAATCGTAAACATAAAATTCATTATATGTACTTTTTTATTTGTATTGCAGTTGATGACAACGAATCTTCTTTAGAAGGTATAGTATATAAATATTAATTATTAACATTGAATAAGTATCTACATGATTTATATTAAAATTAAATTATTTATTATTTATGTTAACAATAAAATTAACTTAATTGTTAAAAAAACAACTTGTAATTCAGTATTACTATTTTTTTTAAAGATGAATTTGAAGATGCAAGTAAGCAATTTATTATCGTTAATAAATAAATGTCAGTAATCCATTTTTACAATAGATTTACCGCTATATCATAGTAAGTAGTTATTATTAATAAACATAAAACCGGGCCGGGTTTGCAATTATTTTTCGTTACATTTTTTAGACTGGATCGGACCGGTCTTAAATAAAATATCTTAGGGCGGGACCGGGCTTTTTAAAAAGTTTATCATTTTCTTCGGTTCAGGCTTGGGCTTTTTTTTTGGACCGGACCAGACCGGGCTTAAAATTAAAATTCTTAATCCGGATAGGGTCAAAAATGAATGGCCCTTTGAAGATCTGTAGTACCTAGTATATTTTCTAATACTTAGGTTATTAATTATTTTCGATTATTTTGTCAGTGGTGGTTAAAATTAAAATTGAAATGGGTAAAATGAACAAAATAATTAAAATCTCAAAATTCTCCACCCCTCCAAATCGTAAATAGTTTGTGTATCGGTGAGGTAACTTCTTTATTTTTATTGTAGTTTTATTGTTATTGAGAAAAAGTGGAGAACAACAACGGTTGCCATATTTTTGATTTTGCTTTTTAATTGTAATTCGGTTAAAAATATCGAAACTACTAAATATTATTATTTTATAAATAGGCTGAATAATTTATATTAAATTTCTAGTACCTAAGTTGCATACATTAATTTATTATTTAGTAAATAATAATAAATATAATCAATAAAAAAAAAATTGTAACTCAGAATTTTTTTTTTTTTATTCAAGCATCAAGTATACAAACATTGGGATGTAAGTAATTTAGTTTAGTAGAACTAAGGCCCGGTATAATATGATATAATATATCATGATACGCCCATAAAAACTTACAATTTTAATACTAATGGTCAGATATTATGGGTGTACTCAACGGTTTCCTACCGAGTAGGGACTATCACACCCTTTCGGCGTTCCACAATAGATGCAGGTATTTATAGTGTTGTAGCATAGGTGTATTTTAATACAAAAGTAGAGACTTAGGGTGTCACTTAATGGAATAGGATGGAAATATCTTTGTTCGTCACATCCGCCTCTGCGTTTATAAACTAATAGTTCATACTCATAAAGAATAATATTTATATTATATCCGTAAATGTATATAGGTTTAAGGCGTCCAAGTAAGTCGGGCACTTGGAACTACCAGGGGTACCCGCCTACGGAGATGGTCGAATAAACATCTTTTAGAATCACTAATATTTGTGATGTATGTGAAAAACAATTATATTAATAAACTGAATTTAATAGGTACCGACCGCCTTAATATAATGTGTGAGGATTAACTTATCATACGTACCGGATTGGTGCACACGACGAGGATTCGTCGCATTTCTGTGATTTAGGTGGCCATTTTGTTGTGTCTGGACGTAAGAGCAAAAGTTTTGGACACGTCTATCTTCATAGGCGGTCGTCGGAAGAAAAATAAAACAAACAAAAGCGGCTATGATGCAAATCGCGTCATCACGGATGGTAGAGATATCGGATTTATGTAAGGTGATGGAATGGTCAATGATATTGCGACGGCCAGTGTTTACTTAACACTTGTAAACACGCTGTAAATGCTTATAATTAATTATTACGATATGTCTAACATAAAAGCGTTACTGCAGTATGCATGTAACGATTGATAGGGACATTTAAATTGGTTGCAGTGGTACCGTTACTGATGTTAGGTTATTATGTGTAGTCACCAATATAGTTAAGTGTTATCAACTCGGTAAATGCCATAGAGACTCTGCTCGAAATCGTGTCATAACCAATCCATAATTCACAGGCAACTTTTGGATTTAACATTCGGCGGTTCATAATTGGACATTACAGAAATCCCTCTACAGAAGGTTGCATTTCTCAAGGAAAAACTTCTGTACATCAAAGTAACGGTACACAACAAAAGACTACTACAGGGATCACAGAGATATTATAAGTACATCTCGTCCTACACAGAGCTTTGTCATATTTATACAACCGTTATCAACATTCTATCTACTATACCAACATCAATAACCATGTGAAACAAAGCGTACTACTATGTGCACGTCATAGAACGTGTCGAATGATAGACAAAAACGAAACTATAAAAAGATAAAAATGAGAAGGCGTATCAGGTGGAGTAAAGGAGAGTAAAAAATAATAATACTCCCAGACCGTGGATGACAAATGGTGTTATTCAACTCTGGACATAACTTTAAACTTTTTGGACGCGGCAACCTACCAATTCCTACGATCTAGCCGTAGAAATCATACCGAGTGAGGTGAAATGGCGTTTATAGACTGGTCTACCATCGCAATGGGGCTCAGTATCGAAGATCGTTTAGTAACCTCTCTTCCGTCTAACGGCTCGTGTCGATTACCGCCACAAGGATTCCAAGGCGTTTCGGGTATTAGCCGGCGTGGCTGGGTCCGTGACAGCTAGCGTTCGACACGTTCATTGGGATCACAGCCGTCGGTTTCCCTCACCTGGCCACCAAATTGTTGTTACTGTCGAACTAGACAGTAACAAAAGAAAAAAGAACTTATTCTTTTGACCTAACCGAAAGCAAGGGAACAGAGGGACCATCGAAATTTCGATAAGATAGACACTATTTATAATTTATACAGAATAAGGGTCGGTGAGCTGGCCTAAAGTATGAGACGTTCTTGGTGTGAACGCCTCGTTGGGGGATTTGGGGGATAAGGGGGGAATAGGATTAACGCCGAATAATAATGACCCGGAGGTTGTTGACTACTATCAGTCAATTCTGCTATTACCAGCTGGTTAGTCACTAGTGTAATGTATGACCTTAAGAAAATTACGTTATAAATCCCTTTTATGCGGTGTGTCTTGGAACACTTAACCACGTAGGCATTTTCCTTCTTTATCTCACTGATCTTATATGAACCCTCGAATAGTAGAAAGAACTGTGTAATCAAGTCCTATATTCGTTCTTAAGAGATGACTAATAACTATTTTTATTCCGGTGCTTTTGGTAGAACAGCAAATCTCTGTGCCACAGATACCTCTCTCTCAACCATGTTTTATTATTTTTTATAGATGGCCTCCATATGACATTAAAGATCGTCATTATCTTGTCATCTTCAAACTGGCTCTTTATTATTTTATTGATTTCCTTAATATTACTACTATATTTATCATCAACGTCCTTTAGAGTTATTGCGCAAGCATATGTCTGATTGTCTTTATAATACTCTGATCATTCCTGTCTGCTGGATTCCTATTTAGTCGATCATGTTCTTCGTGCCGAGAATGTGTGTGACTTCCAGATGGAATTTCTGTAAAGCTAAAGTTCACCTTCTAAGCCGTGCATTGCGTAATCTACATCGATTTAGGAATATTAGAGTAAAAGGTAAAAGTTACAGAAATCAATAAAAGGTAGCATTTCCTTCTTTTTTCGTGTAGCGGGGAATATAAACAGTCGAAATACATTCAAATAATGGCCGCCCAGGTGTCTACTGCCGAAAAGGTTTCGTCTTTCATCCAAACTGGATACTGATTGTATTTTTATTTTTATTCTTTAGTTTTAAATAGTTGTAAGTCTTATGGCAATCAAAGATTTCCGTCCGTGTCACGGGATAGTAAAATTTGTTCTCTTCCTCGCCCTCATCCCCGACTGTCGAGCTGCATCGTTATTTTCTTTGTTGTTGCCGTTGTGGTCTGTGTGGTTGCAGCCAGTATTGTACTCAGATGCCTCGGCCGTCCATTGTGTACGAGAAGTGGCTGAGTATGTTGAATTTCCTTCTCGCAGACAGTACGGCGCGAGGTGTCTAAGTTGCCTACCTTCAAGCGGAAAAGTAAAGGTCCTTTTAAACCAATCTGGTCCTTCGATCGCGAACCATTTCTCACTTTAACAATGAGTGTTGAACATTATCTAGATAAATAATTAATTGTCTTTTATCTTATCTAGATAATCAACATAAAAGGTCTCTTGTTGTTTTTTTATCAGTGCAATAATACAAACTGCGCATAATTTAAAAAAAAAAAAATATAAGTAAAACTAACACGTTCTAGACCTAAAATATACTTCATAGTAATACCAATACATTTCTTGCTACATTCAGAATTCAAAAGACCTCTAAAATTGTATGTAGACTTCGGAGACCGTTTGTGCCACACATTCTTCATACTTGGTGTTTTCTGCACTGTTAATAATACAAAATGTAATTCAGTGTTTTATAATTTATGTGCAGCTAAACTTGAAAAAGAGAGTAAGTAATTTATCTTTAAAAAAGTACCTGCGTAATTCGTATTAAATTTATTATTAATTATTTTCAAAAGTATAATTTTAATTGCTAATAAAACAACTTGTTGGTAATTCAGTATACATAGGAACTTTGGGAATAACTAAACAAAAAAAAGGTAAGACATTTTTTATTGGATACGTTCACATTTGTACTAAATTAACAAAGTTAAATAATTATAATTAAATACATGTATATAACATTTAAAAATAATTACTGAAATGATATTGGGTTCTTTGTTTTAGATTTTAAGACTAGTGAGGAACGTTTTACATTGATTATTTTCTTTTTGTTTATTAACAACTTTTCTATCAGAAATCTTACTTCGATTATCAAGTATCTTTTCTAAAATATAATCTAGTCTATCCTATTATCTAATTGGTGCATTGAACAAGTTAGGTTCTTTAATTTTTCTTGTAACCTTCTTAATAATTGGGAAACCGGGAAAATATATCGTTTCCGTGATTTTTGATTTTGGTTTTTTGTTATATTTAAGTTTCCGATTTTCGTAGAGATCTGTCATTTTCACAACAATTTTTTTTTTTATTAGTCTAAGAGCTAAGGGCCTTTCTAGATTTGATCAAATTTTAAAACCATTTTAGCGAATTTTGAGCAACATGTAGTCATTCAAAATGCTTGAGGTGTTTAAGGTCTTATTTGGTTATTTGTGGATAGAATTGTTTTGGTCCAGTAAAAATTCTCAATAAATTAACAAGAGATTTATAAGTTGTATCATATAATCAAAAAAAAGTTGAATGTAATGTAGTAACTTTTTGTATAAGTACTATAAATTGCATATTTTATTGAAGTCACTGCTTTCAAAATATGTTTAACCAAACTTCGCTCAGAATTGCTTTTCATAAACAATAATTTAACGTTTTTTAATCAACCCTATATGTATGATTCCTATCTTCTTTTTCCAAGTATATCTGACGTACGTGATGGGTTTGTTAAACATAATACTTCGCTCACGGCTGCCATCGTTTATTAAATAACTTATGAACTAACTTACACCGTTATATGATTTATATCTACAACAGTAGCACACGCATTAGCTATATCAGCTTTATTAACATTATATTATCTATATATTATATTATAGTTATTTATAAACATTGACATTGATTTCTGAAAAAAAAAAACAACTAGGTCCAAAACAATCTATCAATGTGTGTTTTGAACAACTAACAATTGTAATTCAGTATCGAGGGCTGCGAACCTATGATGCTAAGTTTATTAATAATTCTATAAGTCTATAGACTATAAAGTAAATTAATAAATAAATTATAATTATAATTAATTAAATTGATAATTTTATTTATAATTATCCTCGTATTTAAATCCTTATTCCAGATTTTAACTCATTTTCTTATTTTATTAAAATGTAAATTAAATTTTCCAATTAAATTTTAGATTCACTATTTCATTACCATGGTAAGAATTTATATCAATTTGATCTTGTATTTAGAATTAATTTAAAATACCAACCGATAGGTATGACAAAAATATTAATGTATCAAATAATTTTTCAAATAACAACCGAAAAAAGTAGGTAAAAATTAAAAAAAATAAAAACAAAAATGTTGTACCAATTTTCAAATAATTCTGGTCGTGACTGACAATAGTTGTTGTGTGATAATAATATTATCAGCTTAACCTTTTAGGTTAAGTAAATTATATTGATAGTATGTTATCATATCTGCTTTATGTTTGTTCTACATTATGATTAACAGTTTTCTTACGTCACTGTACATATTTATTAAGTCACAATAATAAATAAAACTAATGTTTTCTATTTAATTATTAATTAATAAAATTACAAATAAACACAACACTGGTCGAGAACGATATGAATTCTACTTCGATAATGTCTAATATGAGGTTAGAGCTAATAATATTGTATTGTGTCTGTTACGGCGCGGGATCTTAGCGAGCAGTTGTCTTACTACCGATACGCAATGGTATGCTACTGTAAACCTGGTGATCGGGTAGGAGGATGATTGATAGGTTCGCGAGAAAATTAATAAAGCAAAAGGATTTTACAGCAATGAACAATTTATGTTATATTATACGTATGGTCGAGAAGAATACAGAATGTTATTAAAATATGTAGGTATCTTTAACGTTTATTATGTTAATTAGACATAAGTTATAATTATTACCGCAGTATCCTAGTTATCGGCGTCGGGACAGTGGTGGCGGAGATCCGGGCGGCAACGGCTACGGCGGCGTTATCTGGTATCGAAATAGTCACAGGAGTAAGTCAAAGATAACACCGATTGGCGTTGCGGCGGTGGTGCGTAATGCACAGCGGTGCGTAATCCACGGCGGTGCGTAATCCACGGCGGCAGCTACAGCAACGACGGAGCTTAAAAGCCGAACAACAATAATATGCCGTCAGTTTTTATTAATAAATACGCGTCCAACGGCACGACGGCAAACGGTTACCGGGACCGTAATTGGATTCCCGTGGACATCCACGACTATCGGGGTACACAATACAAAGAAAAAGGGGTTTACGGTCGGGCGCATGGACACCGTGGCGAAGTAGCAGAAGCGACTGGTGACCAGATGTGGCCAGACAAAGGTTCGTGCGGCCAGCGGCGGGCTAATAAGGCCACCTGACAGAATAATAGACTGCGTGGGTTGGTGATCTAGGCCATTCTGGGTATTTTTTTCTCTAACTGTAAACCACTTTTCTACCAGAAGTTTTACTCCGGTATATATAGTGTAGCACCTTCTCTAAAAGAAAATATTATCAAGTTGATGCATTAATAAGGTCATATTTTAATTTTTCAAAATAATTGGGAAAATCTTAAAAGAAAATTATAGATAAAACAGCGACACGGTGTTTCCGATTTCATTGTTTGTAATATTTCCAACTTATGTTTTCTACCAGAAATATATTGAGAAAATTAGTACTATTCGTATTTCAACGGACCTTACTCACTTACAACGTAAATATCTCTCAAATATTTTAACCGAGTTAAAGTCAAGGAAGGATGCTGGAGAACACAATATATTTATTAAATATATAAACGAGTTACCAACCATCTCGAAAAATGAACGTACAAATTTAAACTGACTAAATGATCTTTCCATTTACTACCAAAAAAACCGTGGCATGAAAACCAAATTAGATTTATTTATACAAAACCTTGCTCTTTCCAACTACGACATTATTGTACTCTCTGAAACCTGGTTGTCGGGTGATGTTATTGATGCGGAACTCGGACTTTGTCCCAATTATCAAGTTTTTCGTTGTGATCATTGCAGTATACGTGGAGTTCAGATAAGAGGCAGCGGTGAACTAATCGCAGTAAAGAACAATTTTGTTTCTCGTCAACTGCATCTCCATGAAAACCTACTTGAACAACTATTTGTAAAAATTAACTTTAAGACCCACTCGTTGATCTTGTGTTCTGTATATTTTCCACCCAGATCTGATATTAGTTTATATAACTCATATATTAGTGTCATAGACAGCCTTATGCAAAATAATCCAAATTATAAATTCCTAATCTTAGGTGACTAATATTAATTGGGTACCAATTAAAAATTTTGCAACTCCGAATCTCTCAACTGTAACATTATAGCTGGTTTTTCATATCTAAGTATGCTACAATTTAATCTTGTATATAACCGTTCTAGTTCATTATTAGATCTTGTTTTTTCTAATGTAAATAATACATATGTGTCCTCTGTAACCTGTCCACTTGTGCCGTTAGATCGTATGTATCACCCTGCCCTTGCAATTAAACTATCTATTTTATTTTTAGAATCTCTAAAGTATAAAGAACAAGTATTTGATTTTAAATATTGCGATTATGGTATAATTAGATCAAGGATTGCATCAATTGACTGGAATAGTATACTTAATAATATAAATATAAATTATGCAGTTAATATTTTCTATGAATATATATTTAATATTATCGATTCTTAATGTCCGAAAAAATACTTACTCACTCCAAAACATCCGTTATGGTTTAGTAGCACATTGAAAAACCTAATATTTAAGAAGAAAATAAGTCATATCATTTATAAACGTCCACCGACTCAATATAACTACAACAATTTTTCGAACATTCGTGCTCTTTGTAAGAGACAAAACAAAACTGATTATAATAACTTTATCTCTAATACCCAAAGCTCAATAAACATAAATCCCACACAATTTTGGAAATTTATAAATACAAAACGTTTAAACTCAGCCCTACCAGCATCTTTGTCATATAATAATTTAACTTACACTAACGGAGATGCTATAGCAAACACTAATTTGCTAATTATTTTTCTAGCGTATTCAAACAACCGACTACTCAATATAGCAAACTAGACAATTTTAATATGCTAACTGTTAATTTTAATGCGTGTGTTTTAAATCTATGTGACGTCTATGAAGAGTTGAACTGCCTGAATACAAAAACATGTGCTGGTCCGGACAAGATTTCGACTATATATTTTAAAGAATGCAAATTTGTCTTAGCTATTCCACTATTATATTTATTTAATAATTCTTTTATATCTGGTTTATTTCTGGATAAATGGAAAATTAGCTATATATCGCCCATATCCAAGGGTGACGATTCTAATCAAGTAATTAACTATTGTCCAATTACAATAACTTCTATAATACCAACAATTTTTGAAAGTATTGTGTCTAGATTAATTAATGCATTATTTAAATATATTATTATTAATGAACAGCATGGCTTTATGTCAGGTAGATCTACGACTACAAATCTCTTAACATTCCAGCATTATATTATAGACGCATTTAATCATGGCCATCAAGTGGACGTTATTTTCACGGACTTTTCAAAAGCATTCGACACTATCGATCACTTTATCCTAGCTGTAAAATTAAAATGTTTAGGTTTTCGTAACAATTTTCTTTCATGGCTTGTCTCTTTTATCACTAATAGGAAGCAATACGTAAAATATAAAAATTTTTGCTCAAGTCACTTTAATGTTACCTCTGGGGTCCCTCAAGAATCTCATCTAGCACCTCTCTTATTCAACTTATTCATAAATGGCATACAATTTTCTAATTCAGATATGCTACTATTTATTGACGATCTCAAAGTTGTTCGTATTATTAAAACGTCTAATGATGCCGCTATGCTTCAAAACGACTTGAACTACCTCTGTGATTGGTGTGACTAAAATAAATTATGTCTAAATAATAGTAAATGTAAATTAACGACGTTCTCGAAAAAGCGATCTCCATACCTCCACAGTTATTATTTAAATGATCGTGTACTCACTCGTTTCAACCTAAATAAGAATTTAGGTATTTATTTTGATAATTCACTATCTTTCAATACTCATTGCACACACATACAAAGCAAAACGTCATCGATGTTAGGTTTTATAACCAGAACCTGCAAAGACTTCAAAAATCCTATTGCGTTAAAGTCACTACTGTGCGTATGTAAGTTCAACTCTCGATTACTATTCTATAGTTTGGTCACCGAGTACGGTAGGTTCAATACAAGCCATAGAATCAATACAAAATCGGTTTTTGAGAACAGTATCGTTCAGATGTAACATCATACGACAACCTCACTCCTCTTACCAACCATTATTGATCTTTTTAAACCTTGAATCTTTAACAACTAGACGAATAAGGTTAGATCTCTGCTTCATTTTCAAATTAGTTATTGCAAACATTTATTGTCCTGGTCTACTTGCCAAATTAAGTTTTAATATTTCAAATCGTAGCACCAAACAATCCAATACTTTCTATGTACCATTTCAGTCAACAAACTACCGTCAAAATGCTCCTTTAAATAGATGTATGTTATTAATTAATAAGTATAATTTCGATCTCTTTTTATGTACAAGTATAAATGCTTTTAATATATATTTAAATTGTTACTTTCCTAACTATTGACATAACCCTTTATAATCGATGTAAGATGCTATCTAACATATATACCTAAATTTGAATGATTTTATTTCCTCTATTAAGTAATTAACTATTAATGTAAAACACCTATCTATTATCTACTTTTTTAAACTATACAACTATATTATCATATGTAATAATTTTATACTATTATAATCTTATATTGTAATTGGGCAACAGCCCGTCTAAAATAAAAATAAATAAATAAATATAATCTCGCGGTTAAAGCAGCACACGAAAGAAACGGTGTCCGAATTACGCAAAGTTTGCCCACATACTTAGTCGCCAGCAATTTCTGAATGTTCACTAAAGCCAAGCACGTCCATGAGGGAGGAGAGAAGGAGGAAAGGTCAAAGGAATCATTGCACCTCTTCTTTCGGTGCCGTATGATGTTCCATATTTATATAAAAAATATCTATTCATAGTTTTTAAGTTTTAATTTTGAAAAACAAAGTACCTTATTTAATATTTTAATATTCTCCCCCTCCCTACCCCGTGAAATTAATCAGAAGGAGCCCTTGATGATACCATTATTATATTTATTATATAAATTGCTGTATTTAGTATCTTTAACTTATTATTTATATTATATACCCTTATTAAAATAGAAAATAAAATAATCATTTGTTAAAAATATTTAATAAAAACAAAAATAATAATAATAGTTTTAAAAAAGTCATATAACTATCTTATATGAAATTAATTTGTGTTAGAATTTAGCTACAAAAAATGTAATCATTATGTTTTATAATTTTACAGAAGTTGAGCATTTTTTGGACTTTGATATAAACAAATTTAGTAATATTATATTAATTATTATGATTATATTAATTATTACTAATATATATATTATTTCTTCTTACAAATCCCGTATTTCGAAATTATAATTATTTTTCAAACGCATTTCTAAAAGAAAATACGCTATAATTAAAAATTGAATTTAATTAAAATAAAAATTGTATTATCGTTCTGTTTAGGGTTAATACAATAATTATACATATTTTTTACAATTTTCCTTGTGTTAACACAACGTTCTTCGCGATGATTTACTTCAATGATTCGACATAAAAGGCCATCTAATCAAAATTTAAATATTTTTGAACACTTCAGATTAATGAAAAATCATAAGACACTATATCTTACGCATCTAAAGATTTATTTATTTTCGATAGGATACTCATTATTTCGGAAAATATTAATTTTTTCGGACCATTTTTGAATAAGTAGCTCTTATATTACTGAACAGTTTATTTAGCACCCACAATATTTGAATTTTATAAACGCATGTGGTTTTTTTTAGATTAATAAATCATTGCCACTAACAGATACCCTAATCTTTCCTATTACAAGTATAAGTATAATATGAGTCATGGTACAGTTACCCTGGCTTCACCACTTTTAAATAATAACAAATTTGACTTCAAAATCAACTGGTAATATATTATAATTTGTAACTATAAAAAAAAAAAAATGTAACCGTCATATAACTCCGAAAAATCGGGATTTCTACTAACGGTATTCGAAAATTAATTAATACAATACCATTCTCATAAAAGATTGGTTGACCACTCCGTCTTTTTTTACGACTATTAATCATCCTAATACCACGACCACCACAAATTGATGAAATAAAATTATGTGTTAACTTTATACTCGTATAAATTATTTGTATGATATTTTCTTGTAATTTGTAGCGTTAATTTAAAATACATATTTTCTACTAGTGGCACGTGATCTGTACTCGGACACGTTTTCCAATTGGCCCATGAACACGTATCATCCGTTGTTGCATAGGAACGTCGTCAGTTTACCACACCCGTATTAATAGCCAGATTAGCACAGATTTTTACAATTTTTTCCTTAAGGCTAAAGTTAGTTGTTACATTTTTTTTTTTTTCATTTATAGTTATATCCTATGGTTAGTTATCTTAAAACAAATAAACACAATTAGTACAATTTCCCTTCTCCAAATGATAATATTAATAAAATATGATATTATAAATTATGATTTTACATTGTTATTATTTTTCTTATTATTCCTTTTTAAACATTATTCGATCAAAACTTTAAATATATACATATTTATAGCTACTAGATCAAGAATAATCTACACAAACTGTACATATACCTTATTAAGATACATCGACTTGATTTATATCAACGTCCGAACCCTTTATGCCATAATATCTACTTCCTTCCCATTACATAGACAGTAATATTTTATAAATAGTATAAAAATAGACACCAACTGACTGAATGATGTATTAACACAGAGCTACTGAAATTCATCTCTAAGTTAATCACCGCTAACAAAAAGATACATAATAAATCATATAATACCAGTCGATTTTGAAATAGACATTTTCATTATGTATAAGTAGTGTTGCCAGGGTAACGTCAACCTAAAACCACTAGTAAAAATCCAATTTTCTGGAGTTCTACGGCAGTTAGAACATTTTTTTTTTTGTGGTTTCATATCGTTACATAACATATTACATAATACCAGATGGTTATAAAGTCAACATTTTGATATGCTTGTACCACCTCAATAAATAAAGTTCACAATAAACATTCAAACTGAATTAAGCTCTCTAATTTAATTATTTTTTAACTTATTTTGAAAATTGTTTAAACAAAATAAATAAACATTTGAAAAACTACATTTATAACCGTACTTTCAGATACGTTGAATGAAGAATGCTTCCTTGCATTACTTGTTTACGTAAAAAAGAGTTTGTATTGTGATCATGATGGTAATTTTATAGATTTTTAATACTTGTATATTATTTATTGGAAAAAAGTTGTTTTTAAAAATGTATATATTTTATATGAAAATAAAAAGACTTGAAAATAATCCATGTCATTAGAAGTTGACTTCATTAAGTTGTATGAACGGAAAGGGTGATGAGGACTCATAAGAAATCTGTATCTAAATTTAACGATTTTATTACATGTACTTTATAGTTCTATAAAATAAAAATATTAAATACCTTTTCTATCACTTTTTTACTTAAGTTATATTATTTTTTAATGAAAATAAATACATGTAACCAATACTAGTATTATATAATATCAGCTAACCCGACAATACTTTCCTATTGCTATAGTGATAATAGTGTAAATAATAAATAGTAATAATAATAATAATAATATTAATAATAATTTTCTTGTCGGTAACAACTAAATTATCATCGATGTCATCAAGATGACCTACGAATAAAAAAAATAAATAAACAATTAGAATATATTCATACCAAAAATATCTAAAAACTCATATTTTACCCACTTGGAAGTCGAATTTTCAAAAGTTCTTTCTTAGCAGATGCTTAAATCATAATAGCCAAATTTCAGTTCGATCCATGCAATGTTTTGAGCTTGGCCTGGGATGACAAAAAAATTAGTATGCGTGCCAAACTTAGCATGGGAGAAATTTTCGATGGCACCGGAAAAACTTGCATGTGTCCATAAATGTTTTTTAAATATTTAAATAACACGTATTGACAAAATTAGATTTTCGATTGTGTATTAATAATAGGTATTTTATTTATTAATCTGTCAACAATTTTGCGATTTTGTTGTTAACAATTTTCTCTTCGATTTATACTTACAGAATTTACTTTTTCGTATTAAATCATGTGCACTCTTAAGACTAAAATCAGATTAACCAAGAAAGTGGCTATCAAAAACATATCACCCAGACACCTATCAAGTAAAATGATGATGTTAAGTTCTTAACGAACAATATAAATTCGATTTTTTTTTCTCTTAAATGACTTACTGTCATTAATTTTACATTTACATCTTGAAATAAATTCTCTATGTTGGTAAATAATAAAAATAATAATCATGTTACTAAAATTATCTTAATACACATTGTCATCATAAAAAAAACTACTGGCATGGTCGACAATTTTATTTTAATTATATGATGAATTGGCACATTGAATAAATCGTGTTTGTCATACCTAGGCTAGGCGATGATGAATCAGACAGTCAGGACATGTTATTTTAGATATTGTTAGGCTATCTCCAATTCTGAAGCATTTTACAATTTCCCAATTTACAAATGTGTTGGTATACATATTACTTATTAGTTACTTATTTTTTATACTAATTATTTACATATTATTTGGCTTTTTTTTCTAGCTAAAAAAAAAAAAAAAAATTTACAAGAAATATTTAAATACTATGTGACGCTTGCACGCGTATTCAGTAGTAAGTATAAACTATGAATTAAAAATTAAACGAAAATTAACTTTAATAAATTAAATGGGAAGCTATTTAAAATATAAATAATGTTTTACATTCTATGTTTGTAAATAAAAACAATATTATTATATTTTATTATACTAGTATCAATTATAAATTGAGGATTATAACGGGTTTTTAGTTTATTTTAAAAAATTAAAAAAGTTTGAAACGGCATTGTATTTATATAAATATTTAAATTGTATTCAACGTACAAAAATTAAATTAAAATAACTTATATGTTTAGAAGAGTAAAGATATTTATTTCTATTTATTCTAAAAATATAAATAAAAATAAAGAGTCCCTGGCACATTTGATTAAAACAAAAGTAAGAAAAGTAGATTCGAAACGGAGCGAAGATGTATTGGTTTTACTATGAGTGTTTGATTTTTTTTTCTGTCTGAAAACAACTTTTCGAAAATAAAACTTGCTTCAATGTAGATTTGAGAGGAAAATTTTCTGATTTTCCAAGGAGATTTTCAAAACAATTGGAAAAAACCAGAAACACAATTATAAATAAACCGGCAAATATTAAATATTAAAATTTTAAGTACACTACAGTGTTGCCGAATTCATTGATTTAATTTTTTTCAACTAAATTTTCTACCAGAAATATTTCTCTATTAGAAAAATGACAAAAAAACTTTTTACGTTGCATTATTAATCTTTTTGGTGAGCAATAATTCGTTATTTTTTTATTTTCTTAGTTTTTATAATAGATGGGAAAAATTGGAAAAAGACGAAAAATGTAACCAGATAAATTTACGGTGTTATTATTGTTTCTTTTATTTTATATTTCTATGACTTATATTTTCTACCAGAAATATTGCTCAAATAGAAAAATAAAAACAGACATTTTTTTTAAATTTTTAATTTAGTTAATGAGAAGGAAAGTAATTTCTGGTTATCCAAAGGATTTCTAAAATAATTAGAAAAAATCAAAAACAAAATTATTAAAAAACCGTCGGCGCACCAAGACGTTACCGATTTCATTATTTTTAATTTTTATGCATTATGTGTTCAATCAAAAATCTTGCTTTGATCAAATAATTGCCTAAAAAAATTTTGTGTTTTATTTTTAATCTAGTGAATAATAAAATCATTTTTTTGATTTTCTAAACAGTTTACATTAATAATTAGAGAAAATTCGTAATAGTTAAACTGACAAATTTACGACGTTAATGATTTCACTATTTAAAATTTGTTCAATTTTTTTTTTCTGTACCAGAAAACTTAAACCAAAATTGAAATGTTGCATTTTTTCCGAAACAAAATATTATATTCTAGATGTGCAAGAAGTAGTTATATTCTTCCTTTTTGAGTATGGTTGAATTATAGGTAATTTTAAAGTGGACAACTTTGAGCTATTTAGAGGCATTTGACATTTTCGAGATTTTTCAGTTTTATTTAGTTTTATAAATGTGTTGTTTGATAAATTGATAAAATATTTTGCTGAACATGAATGATTGAAATTTAACACGAGCTTAATTGGGTGATTAAAAAAAATAAGTTGAGCTTAATATAGTAGTTTTTTTTAAGGAATTTTAAATTTCACATTCGTACATCAAAATTTGTATAAATGACTCAGAATGGTGTACCATGTGATCCATTTAAGTGGGTACACTCATTATCTCGGAAAGTATTAATTTTTTCCGGAATTTGTTTTCTAGTAAATTTAAGAAACAAGCAGCTCTAGAATTTTATATTTACATTATTTTTTGTAACCCTTATTTTGGAGGGTAAAAGTAAAACCACTATTACTTTTGATTTTCAAATGGCAACTTATATTAAAAGTGTCATAAATAGATGGAGTATTGAAGGAGAGTAATAGAGTATCATTTGTATGGTGCTACGGTATGCAGCGTGTTAATAATTCACCACAACTCTCCTCCAACCCAAACTTAAAAGTGGAATATCTTCAAATACGGATACGAATACGGATGACGGTAATCAAAAATTTCAACACTAAAATTTATTTTAATTAATACTCCATCTAGTAGTAGTTTTTAATAATAGTGACAAAAATAACATATATATAAAATTGTAGAGCTGTTTGTTTCTTAATGTTCTAGAAGACAAATTCGGAATAAAGTTAATGCTTTTAAAGGTAATTAGTGAACCCACTTAAATAGATCGCCTGATATACATGTATACAATGATTTATCATTGTTATACATGTATAAATTAATAAGAATTTAATGTATCTTGTCTTCCTATTTACAACAGTAGAACACCTATTAACAGTATCAACCCATAGTTTAGTGTTTACTGTATTTTTATTTTAAGTTAAAAAAATGTATTGACTTAAATAAAAATAAATAAATTATGGGATATTCTTCTTCATTAATTATTCAAATTTATTATTATTTTAGATGAGTTTAAAAATGTATTAGAATCAGATTTGTGGGCATTTTACAAAGACATTCGTGGTAGGTTAATTAATATTATAAGTATTTAATTTCCTAATATTATTTTTAGTAATTACAATATTAAATTCAATAATGTATTCAATTTTTTCACACGCATGGACCTATGTTCCCGGTAAAAGTTTTTTTGCCAAAACTAGAATAAATAAATATCTCTCAACCTTAATTTCCACACCTCCGATAGGTTTATTCTTGACCGTTAAAAGTGTTGATCATTAATTTTTTAATTCTTCTGAGGACAAAGAATGATCTGTCATCACTCACATTGAAACATGGTATACAAGATATACGTATACTATATGTTTAAAATAATTAAAACAAGAAAAATCACTGCCAAAAAAAAAATTGAATAATTTAGTTAAAATAAACCATTATCTTTCTTGACAATTAATATAGCCATTTTTGGAAACTAAACTATTTCTTCGATAAGGATATATCTAAATATTGGTTGTATATATTTATATTATGCATTACGGTTTTAAGTAGTGTCAAAAAATCTAAGTTAGTCAAATTACTTAAAAATCCAAAATTTGAATGGACATTACATAAAATGTCTTTCATTCGCATATATTTGAAGATAAAGTCAATTTTATGTCAATGAAAGCAATGTCAATTATAACATAAAAAAGTATTATTCTTCATTTTATTATCACCATGATGTAAAGTAGCATTAGTATCTACAGAATTTGAATTATCAAAATATCTTTTCTTCTTAATAACTCTTGATTTTTCCCATGAAAATGTTTTTTTTTTCAAAATAGTTCTTTAGATTTTTTTCTCACTGTTATCAAATAATTGTCTATAGTCTCGTACCTAAATTTAAATCTAATGATTCATATAGTGAACCAATAATTGATAAATTTATCTTTTGACTGTAATATTTTAAAAAATAAATTGTAATACTCATATAATAAATTAAAATAAAACATATAAGCCACAAGTATTACTATTTAATAATAGTTAATTATAAAATATAATAGCTGTCCCGCGTTCGGCATTGTCCGTTCCAATTTTTTATTCTTTTTACCTTTATTCTCGTTTTGCTTTGCCCGTATCAGTATATTGAACGAAAAAAAATAGGTAAAAGTGGGTCAGTGGCGAATTAAAAGTGTTCTAGTGTTTCATACATTTTTCATCCATGTTACCATAGATACTCATACAGCACAGGGATTAAACTATATATTCACTATAATAAAGCTAAAATTATGAGGACATAATAGTACTGTAGAGTAGTATAGTTGTTACTGTACCAAAAAATACAAAGATTCAAAGATGACGTTTTACATGTTTTCACTTTTCTCTTACTCACTCAGTAAAGTCATAGGTTTTTTTTTCATCTATGTTATCAAGTTGGCTCATTCTATTTCAAGCCAATAATAGACCAGCAGACAGTCAAATAGACTATTTTAAGTTGTTATAGTTGTTGTGGTATTTTTATTTCTGTTTATTTTTTTTAAATTTTTTGTTTGGTCTTTCATTTCATCCATGTAACTATATTAACCCATAATTCAACAAAAATAATTTAATTTCGATACAAATAATACCTGTGAACCTTTAATCCCCCATTTATCCCCTTCTAGTTTTTTTTTTAGACAAAAAGTAGCCTATGTTTTTCTCTATGTGTTAATAATATTAATATATGAGTTAATATCTAATATTTATTTCTATACCAAAATTCATCAAAATTGGTTCAGTGGTTTAAGCAAATGTAACAGACTTACTTTCATATTTATAATATTAGTTAAGATGTATATTGTATATTATATATTGTTATATAGTAATACACGTGGTGTACATATACACTTATTTTATTTGATGTAATATTTTGCTTGTAATATCAAATCTTTGCAATATTGGAATCCATACTTTCATCATAAAAACAGACTTAAATTTTTCCAATTTTTTTTTATTTATTTGCAGCATGTCTATACCCTGTCAACTTAATAGTATACCCAGTGACGGACGAAAACACGTCCATTTTCGCGCATGTGTTTCCACTCCGGGTAACAGTACTTTCACTCACCCGCCTATCAATTTCGCCACCACCGACACACACGGTATACAACATACATAGAGAACAACATATCGATAACATTTTGTTTTAATGGCCTTACCGCGTACACGTATTTTCTCGCACAAATGCTCTGTTTTAATTTAAATAAACGCTACAATTTACGTTTAAGTATTGTAATTTTTCTATGTTGCCCGTTAATTTGACTGAAACATTATAAGTATACATTAGGATTTATTTGGCGATTGGTATTATATATATTAATTTTTCTCACTATATACAGGACAGCGCGTGACTTACAGATTTATGCGCGAACGGGTATACGAGGTATGGCTATTAAACAACGAGACTGGTTACGAAAAAGTGTTATATTATAAAAATTATTCTACATTCAAATGTTCCCCTTCAATATATTCCCCTCCCCTCGCCACACACCTTTCTATACGTTTTTTCCATTGATCAAAGCAGTGCTGGAAGTCTTCTTTGGTGAGGGCCTTTAGGAGCTCTGCCGTTTTTTGCTTTACCGCTTCCATCGACTCAAATTGGGTCCCTTTCAAAGCAGATTTTATCTTTGGAAACAAAAAAAAGTCACACGATGCCAAATCTGGCGAGTACGGCGCGTGTTCGAGCACTGGAGTCCGCTTACCGGCCAAATACTGCTTCACAGATAGCGCATTATGGGCAGGTGCGTTGTCCTGGTGCAAAATCCACGAGTTGTTCTTCCACAATTCGGGCCGTTTCTTACGAAATTTTTCTCGCAGTGTTGCCAAAACTGATAAATAGTAAATTTGGTTGACAGTCTGACCCTCTGGAACCCATTCAGTCATCACGATACCATTAATGTCAAAAAAAACGATCAACATTGCCTTAAATTTTGATTTGGACATCCTTGCCTTTTTGATTCTAGGCGATTCAGGTGTCTTCCAATGCATCGATTGTCACTTTGTTTCAACATCGTATTGAAAAATCCATGTTTCGTCGCAAGTTATAATGTTTTTCATCAGTCCGGGATCTTCTTTTAACTTTTCAAGGAAATCTGAGCAGACCTGTTGACGCAAGAACTTTTGGTCAGGAGTCAGGTTTTTTGGCCCCAACTTCGCACAGACTTTTGTCATATGTAATTCCTCTGGTAAAATTTTTCTAACCATTTATTTATTGGCGTTTATAGCCTCGGCAATCATCCGGATGCTCATTCGACGATCTGCACGCACAATTTGGTTTATTTGGTTGATTTGGGTGACAGGGCGACCTGGGCGCTGGTCATCTTCAGTGCTCTCTCGGCCTTCACTGAAGCGCTTATACCACTCAAAAAAACGTGCACGAGATAGAGAATTGCCTCCATAGGCTTCTTGCAACAATTTATAGCACTCGGTTGGAGTTTTTTTCAATTTAACGAGAAATTTGAGATTGATACGTTGCTCCTGTTTTTCGTCACACATGGTTTTCGGCACGAGAAAAAAACACGTTCGTTTCAAACCACTACTGCACAAATACTATAATAGTGACGAAAACGTGTTTTGGTACGTGCATAGATAAGATATCTAGATACCCAATGCATTACTCGTTTTTTTCACTACTCATCTAGGGCGCCCTCTAGGGGAGCAGTCTCGTTGTTTAATAGCCACACTTCGTACTCTTAGTAGTTGGACAGGGTATAGTTGACGGTGTTTAAAGTTTAAATTTTTATCGTATTACAACAAGTTCACAACAGCATCTCTCTCAATAGTACTAACATTAAGATTTAAGATTAACTAAAATAATAAATATTCATTCAATTAAAAATTTGTATTATTATATTTATTATACATAACGAACAATATTATCGACTTTTTTTTGACACTCTTAAATATTTTACCGTTCTTGTTATTTATAGAAACTCCTTCTTTTAACCGATCCCCCTTCAACTCCCCCAAGTCAATGAGATATGATATATTTTGCTCAAAATGACCAAGCAATAATTTGAAACAAAACTATTTATACCCGGGAATGTTAAAATTCTTGCTAACTGAAAGTTCCTGATAAGATTAATTTAGTACCTACCTACCTACAGTCTGCTCTCGGGAAAGTCCATGGTGTGAGAGGTAAATCACGCCGAAATTAAATGTATTATACAATGTTGATTAGTTGCGATTGAAAACAAAGTAGAATATGCAGAAATTGACTTTGAATTAGCAGCCCAACTATTGATTGAATATAATAAAGCTAGATGGCAGACACCGAAAGGTAAATTTAATTTATTGTAAAACTGTTATTTTTTCCAATGTATGATTATATAGTAATTTAGATAAGAATTCAAGAACTATTATTCTAAACATATTAATACGCAATATCCATACACTTATATAGAATAATACAGTTTATGAAATAAATTATTAAGACAAGAGGACTAGAGAATGGTAATAAATTTAATATCTATAAATCAATGTTTCTTAAATTTTTTGAGATTAAGGAACATCAAACAATAATTTTTTTTATACGTAACCCCTAAAATATAAATAATTTTTATTTTAAAAAGATATCTAAATTGTTTTGTTTATTCATTGGTGGTAATATTATTATAATAAATTTAATACATTTTTATACTTGCACACATGACGGTGCAACAAAGAAAAAATTTGGTAAATTATCTAGGGAAAATCATTAATAGTAAATACTCACTAAAAATAACTAAACTCACTGAACCGCGTAGCTGGCTGCAGCGTAGACATGCGTAGCATTTCATTGCTAATTTTGGTTTTTTCATTCCTATTATCGTTAAATGAATGTAGAATTTTAGTTAACTTTTTCAAGGCCTTTCCGAAACCCATGCGAGTTATTCGCGAAATACCAGAGTTCCGCGAAACACAGCTTAAGTAACACTACTAAGTACAGATAATGCTAACCGTCTACTGAGTCTAGATTTCAAACTGTAATGATTCATATATGACAATGTATCCAATGACTTATGCATACCAACATTTTTAGAAAAACGAGATATTTTCGAATTTGTTTTGAAAAAAAAGACGTTGCTATCTGAAAATAAAAAATTAATAGGTATTTTTGGTGTACGAAATGTAAGTGTACCTACAATTATTTTGAAAGTATATGTAAATAATATCATTAAACAAGTTAATTATGACTGAGAAATCAAAATCAATTCCACTCAAAATGTTCGTACATAAACGCTAGATCATGAATGAATCATCTTGTAAATATAATGTATTGCAATATTAACTATTTACTTATGTGCCTATTGTAAATAGGAAAATCTGGCAAATATAAAATTAATTACGTTTTTGAGTTATTTATATTGATATTACCTTGTTAAATAAATAGGTATTTGAAGAGTTCAAAATACACGTGACGTATTCTACAAAATATAAGATATCTATTTAAATATTTTGATGATATTTTTACATTATATTTATCATCACATAGTACTAGATTTTCAAATCGTATAATCAATAAGTCCCCATAAATCGAGACAAAAATATATTAATTTACCTTAGTATAAACTACTTTAGTGGATACTTTTTTAATCATATTGTTAATCTTTTATTGGTTTTTTTTTATTCTTCCATTTAAGCACAATATGAATTATAAATTTGACGATCATATGATTGGAATTTTAATAATAGCCATCTAATAGGTATTTCACACTGTTTAATTAAATTCGATTTGTATTATTTTTTAGCAAAGGAAATTTTTACTGAATATAAATCAAATACTGGAAATGTGTTAACGAAAAAGGCCTACAAATTTTGTGAAAAAAACTTGAACACGAGTAAATAATTAATATTAGAAAATTACATAACTTAATATAACAAAATATATTTATAAATATAATATGTTGTTAGTTTCAGAAATATCATTACAATACGAAAAAGAGCTTATTGACCATCAGGAATTCATTTTGACTTTGAGAAACATTAATAAATATAACCACGGCTTTCAATACTTGCCTACAATATCAAACAAATTTGGAACTCTTCTACTTCTATTGACACGAGGTAAAATAATTAAGTATAAGAATTGAAATCTTGAGAATATAAAACTTATAAAAATTTTAAATTCATTAAAACAAAGAAGGTTATACTGCTATAAGGCCACACATTGCGGTCCGGTACCGGTAAAATTGGTCCAATGATTTTATATGACGTTGAATACACCAATACGATATTACAGGACTAATGGACGTGCCGATATTATTTGTGCTGTATAATTAAAAGCCATGCACATGACGTTACATTGACGCTTGCACACTGCTGCGATATAGTGCCGGTATGGTCTCAAATATCGTATCGAAGAACGGAATATACGCCGGTATTTCTAAAACGTTGCATGCACGATTTTTACCGTGTACCAGACCGTTAAAATTAATGTAATGTACATCACAACTCAAAATTCATATTTAAAAACTGGCGAACCTTTACAAATCGTATATACCTATCTCATCATTGTATGTAGTAGGAGAAATCATTGAATATGAAAATAATTCTGGGCATAGGAGATAGATTTTAATAGTAGTTTATATTATATTTTATTATATATATATATATATATATATATATATATATTATTTGTATATAATATATAAACGGCGTTGGGAAAGTGGCGTCTGCATCACTCAGTGCCCTTCATTGAGTGCTAAAAAAGCCCCACTTTGGTCTTAAGTCACTGGAGTGATCTGGCCCTCCAGGTTGGGGGATAAGCGTCGGGTTAACAACCCGGCCTTGTAAAAAGACCTTTGTTCAGGACTCATACATGAAGCATCGGAATAGATTAACTAGAAAAACGACTGTAAATAGGAAATCGGACTTAATCACTGTAATATACGGACCCTGTACAAACCAGGAGAGGTTACGGATTTAGTTAAAGAAGTAGAGAGGTATGAAATGAAGTGCGTAGCATTACAAGAAGTGAGATGGGATAATACTGCAACAACTAAAATATTAAAAACAACAATTTTCAGTGGTAAGTGTAAACAAAATTATCAACTAGGAATCAGTTTCGCAGTGTACGAATCTATCATACATAATAATTTAAAGATATCAACCCAAGTATATCGACCATAACCTTAAGAAATGATAATATAGATGTAGTAGTAATACATGTACATGCATCAACAGATGAAAAAGATGAAGAAGAATAAAAGTTATTCTACACCATATTGGAAGACGTTTATGAGTCTGTAAAGGGAAACATCAAACTAGTGTTGGGTGACTTCAATGTAAAGATAGGACAAGGATAGGACATTATCGGGCCATATTTGGAAACCATATGAGAGATCCCTAACCTAAGAGAGAACCTAACCTAACCTATCCTTAAAATATGACTTTTTTAAACCTAGAAAAAGCTTTCGATAGCATAAATTGGAAAAGTCTTTTTAAAATTTTGGAAGAAACAGAGATAAATTTTAAGGACAGACGTATTCTCTATAAGATTTATGAAGAACAAGAAACCATTATAATATTAATGCAACAACAGTGACTGCCAGAATCCAAAAAGGTGTGAGACAGGGGTGCCCACCTTTCACCTGCATTGTACAATGTATTTATTAAAAAAGCAATAAACGTCATAAAGCTTTAGTTAGAACAAAAAGAAATTTGAGTGAAAATAGAAGGGGTACTAATAACAATTCTTCGCTTTGCTAATGATATAGTCGTTTTTGAACATCTAAGGAAGACTTACAAGTAGTATTAAATGCAATGAATATTACGTTCAATATAGTCTGAAAAAAAACGCAGCCAAGAAAGAACGTTAGAAAACATAGAAATTATCCAAGTAGACTATTTAAAATACTTAGGCAGCATTATAACAGACGAAGGGAAATCAACCAAGGAAATCAAAAGCAGGATAGGTCAAGCAAAGAATGTATTCTTTAAAAAGATAAAAATAATAACATCAAAAAATATGAACATAGTAACGAAGAAACGGCTCATAAAACATACGTCTGAAGTGTGGCATTATACGGAAGTGAGACCTGGACAATTAGTAAGAAAGAGAAAGATATGTTAGAAGCTCTGGAGATGTAGTGTTGGAGAAAGATGCAGAAAATAAGCTGGACTGATAGAAGATCAAATGAAGACATCTTGAGGACAATAGATGAAAAATGAACATTGATAGATAGTATAAAGAGAAGGAGATGGCAGTTGATAGGACACACGTTGAGGCATGGAGATGGATTGCATAATTTAATAATTGAAGGAATGATAGAAGGAACAAGATCAAGAGGAAGACCCAGGACGAGATACATTAGCCAAATAATGCAGGATGCAGGAGTCACTTCCTATAAGGAGCTCAAGAATATGACGAATGATAAAGAAAAATGGAGAAGGCATTTATTGTGAAAATTTGTTAAAAATCAATCTTCGGATTAATAAACAAAAAAATGTTTATGATGCATAAAATCGTGACGAAATCACGATAACATTCAATAAATCTATAGTTTTAGTAAAATAAACTTACAAAATGTATAAATAAATATATGACCAAAACTTCAATCATAAAAATTTATGTTACAGAATTTAGAAATTTTTTTTTCAAACACTACTACGATTTAATATAAATTTCTGTATCTATTTTATTTATACATATTAAATTTTAAAGAATGTCTACATAGTGTATTAAATTTAAAATATAGAATTCGAGCCTCAAGTTACAACATTTATGATGTTTATAGGTACACGCAGTGCATACTACATTTACGATTGGAAAAACATGCTTACTAAAAACAATAGTTAATTTAAAACTATAATTGTTTTATCATATTATAATAATTCAATAGTTTTTAATATCGCATTATTATAATATCGCAGCAGTGTGAGCTTGTACCGAAAAACGTTCCGGCACGATATTTTACCGTTCAGTATCCCATAACGAGTATCGGGTCAGTATACTTGCTACAACGGAATAATATATCGCACAAATAAAATACTGTTTACCGTACCGGTACCGGATCGCTTACCGTTGCAATGTGTAGGAACTGTTTTAAGAAGGAAGTTGGAAAGATGTATACATAGATCAATTTAATTTATATATGTACGCATAAATAGACCATTGTAAACGAAAAACGCTTCTGAAATGCATATTATTAGTCTTAATAATTATTACTATAATGTCAAGTTAACCAAGAAATCAACAATAATTATACCAAATATGTCTAGTTTTTCCCATTTATTAGGAAAACTACAAGGAAGAAGAAAATTCAAAAATGATTTCCTTAATGCACCAACTAAATAAAAAAAAATGTTACAAGAAAGTTCCTAAAGTGTTTTTGATTGAAGCAAAAGTGTTGGTAAAAAGTTGTTTATAAATACAAAATAAAAACATATTACTAAAACGTTTCGCTCTATAATTTATAATTATACCAGTATAAAGTAGTAAATAATACATAAATTAAAAATCCATAAGCTAATTTCTAATTGGTTAGAAATGGTTCAAAAATAATTATAGATGGTATACAGTGTTGAGCATTATATAGATAAAGTATCTAAATAAATTATCTAGATAGATAATTAATCATCTTTTATCTTATCTAAATAATAAACAAATTTAGTTATTTGATGAATTATCTTAGATAAATAATTGAATTATCTAACGTAATTTATCTAGATAAATAAATATATTTACCTATCCGAAAAATTCGAAAAATTGAACTTGAAAGTTAAAAACCCATGTCTCATTAGTAAACCATCCTTGTACATATACAGAACAAAATTAAAAACATAAATTAATAGGTAATAACATTATCCGGGACATTAACCGACAAATTTTCTATTAAATATCTTGCACGAATTTTCAAGATTAAGATCTGTTTTAAGAGTAAATTTTATCTAGTTGGATCTAAGTAACATTTTAAAAATCATTTTTTTATTTATATTTTCCTTATTATCTAAATAATATTAGAAAAACCTGATTAAAATGAATAATTTACGACAATAATGGTTTTGTTATACTAGATTTTACTTATTTTATTGTAATTTCAATTAAAAATAATCGTAGTAACCTAAAATATTCATTACTTATTTATATCATATTTACATCACTTTATTTTAGCATTTTCTAGTTGTAAATTTTTCAAAACTTCTTGACGACATTTGAGTTATTCGTAGATATTTGAAAATTTTAAGATAGTAAAACCAAAACACTTCAAAATAAGTTTTGTACAAATTATAAATTATATTTCAATAAAAACAATATTTGAGATCTAAAATATCGAAAAAATACTTATATAAGCTATATAAATATTATATTTATAATACCTACATTATATAGACTAACATTCTGACGATTCATGAGTTACTTAAAATATTTTCTATTTTTTAGTTGTTTGTTTTTATTTGATTTTATGTGAATACAAATGTTTTAAACAAATAAAAATACGAAGCACATTTAAACGAAGTTAATCATAAGTTGTAATTGGTAAAATAGTATGTTCACGATACTTTAAAACAGGGGAAGGCAATAGACTGTAACGGAATTTTTACTGAACTCTTTTTGGTTTAGGTGCAAAAATCGTTAACTTTATTGAGTTTAAATAATACAAAATATAGTATATTACAATCATTTTTTTTGATTACTTACCTCTTTCTAAGTTGTCTGGGTACAGTGTATTGAGACGCCATTACGAGAACACATGCATATCGCCGTCTCGTTACAAGGCGGCCCGCGGAAAGGAAATAAATGGAACGCCAAATTCTTTTTACTTTAACGTTGATTTTTTTTTTTGTTTTCATAATTCGACTTTGCGTATATCCAGAATATCCAAGCGTCCAAACGTTATCTATATTTATGATTCATTTTCTATATTTGGTGTGTTATTATAAAATTATATAATATATATTTTATTCCATAAAATAATTAAATAATATTATATTGATAATTGTGTTTTCAATACAAAAATAAATAAATTTATTAACTTTTTAATTTATGCTTTTTCTAGAGGTGTTAAATAATACGAAATACCGAATAGGTATAGAGGTTAAAATTGTATTTTTTTGCTGAACTAAAAAATATATAATCCTCTAAAATGTGTTTTTAAATTATCCGGCCCCCCTTTCTAAACTAATGGCCGAACCCTAATTTAAAACATATTAACCTGAACTACATTTAGCACCGTTTGTCGTAGGATATTATTTATATTTATTTATGGATATGTATAAAAAAAAAAGACGGATAAACTTGGCACGTGGTTGAGGCACTGTTGTAGGTGAGAAGTTGGGATGGTAACAGAGGGGACATTTAATGTATATCTGTATATAACGATTAACCATTGCTAACGATAAAACGATTCTTAGCGGAATTCGGTTAATAATGTTGTTTTGTAAAATATCGTTTTTTTTTCGTGTTTGTTTAAAAAAACTACAAGGGTAATCATAAAATATCTTTCTTCGTCACCAATCACATAAATCACCAATACAACCTGTTACCTTTAAGTAACGAAAAACTAATCAGAGTTTGTTCATTTTGCCTTCAATTCGATTAATAAAACAATACCTATATATGTTATACATTCATAGTATGACACACATAATATTAAAAATGGTATATCACATAGGTATTATACTATTAAGTATTAATTATAATTATATGTTCCCGTGTAGATACCGTCAATTTATTGTCATTTTTATTTATATCGTCAGTCTATTTACTATCAGTATTTTTTTATTTTTATTTTAGATTATGAGCGAAGCAAGAAAGAATGTAATGGGTAACGTGATTGGAGGTGATTCATTAAATACAAAATAATTGGGGAAGAGGGTAGATTCTTTTGAATATAATTCATCGGAGCTCCGGAGCGTAATGGTTGATTGGATCTTAATATTATAAATAAATAGAGATTGGTTTAATTATCAGTAGGGCCCGGATTTATATGAATTTACATGTTTTTTTTAACATTACAAAAAATAGCTGGATAAGCTATAATTTTGAATTATAGTCAATAGATTCGAAATACAAAGTTTTATTTTGCATATTTTATCATTTTTTGATATTTACTGCATATTTCTATGTTTTACAACGTTTCATTGTATTATAGTCGAATACCTAAGTGTTTCAAACCAATTTGTATTACTATTGTTCGTTGATTTTACCCACATATACCTTTGGTTCGTAAGGAATTTTTTTCTTTATATTATCTTATCACTTTTAGATAAAAATAATTTGGTCGGGACTAGTTGTTGTAATCATTTTTGTTTAAATATTTTGTATAATATGTTAAGTGCATATTTTAATAATAATCAGTGTATTAATGTATGCATATAATTTCTTATGATTTTAGTGCATATAATTCCGGACCCTAGTTATTAGTTTATAATGTATTATAATTAAATTTCATAAGTTTTACCTTTAGGATGGCTGTTCACTCTTGTTGATAGATAATATATTATCTTCTAGCTTGGCTTGCGCCCAGAAGTGCTAATATAATATAGTAGTACACTATATATTATGAAACGGATGTTACACGTCACTATTGTTTTACAATGATATTTTTTTTTTATGTACAACTTTATACCAAAAATCTTGTTCTAATTTTCAAACGTAACACCTTTTCTGAAAAGTTAGATTAATTGAGATTTATTTAGGTCGTACATAAAGAGGTCGTGTTTTTGATTTTCCAAGAGGTTTTTAGGTTTTCATAACAAATAGGAAATACTGGGCAAAAAACTCAGGGAAAACAGATAAATTTACGAAATGTATTATTTTAAATTTTGGTTTTTCATTGTGATTCAAATAAAAATATTTGTAGAGGCTTAATATTTAGACAAAAAACTTATATTTGCCTTTTCTAGATGTGGTAAAATTTTCAAAACATTTTAGCCATTTTTGAGCTATTTATAGACATCCTAATTTTGCTAGTTTTTTACGTAATATTTATTCAGTAGGCACTCTGTAGATAAAATTGTTTTTACTGAACAAGTATGCTTGAAAATTTGATAGGAGGTTCATTATTAGTCGTAATTAGTGGTCCGAAAAAAAAATTGAGTTAAATATAGTATTTTTTTATACAAGAGTTTTAAAATAAAATGTTGATGAAAACCATAATCCTTAATGATTATGATTACAACAATGATTAATTGTTGCATACAGCTTTACATTATATTTTTTACTGCTTTTTAATTACTATCTTTCCAACTTCTCACCTATAACAATACCCTCTCCCTCATCGTACCAAGAATTTCAGTCTTTTTTTTTAATTCATTTATGACATATTTTCAGGGCTTTTAAAAATGCCTGTTTATTGTTACATAAGAGAACTTCACCAAATTTAAAAAACTTAAAATTGTCTATCTATATCTGTGAGTTTTACTGTGATATGTGCTAATTTGTTTTTTTTTTCTACCATAAAAGATTTCAATCAAAAATTAATAAAAAAAACTTTTTTTATAACATTTTAGATTTAAGTGGTGCATTGATGAGGTTATTTTATGATCTTTCTTTTAGAGTTTTACTAATAATTGGGAAAACCGTGAAAAAAAGGTTGATAAAACGGGAAAATGTAAGATTTCATTATTATTGATTTTATATTGATTATATTTATGTCGAGGGAGGTTACCTCCCTCTACCACCTTCCTAAAGTGTTCGCTACCTTAGTCTCCATCTTGATCGACGCCTAACCTGGGCAACCCATATCCAAATCAAACGTCACACCCTAAATAATCGTTTTCACCAGCTCCGTCCCCTTCTCACATCTAAATACGTTAATCTCAAAAATAAACTACTTATATACAAACTTCTGCTTAAACCGATATGGACTTACGGTATATAACTTTGGAGAACATCTAAACCCTCCAATACCAATAAAATCCAAACATTCCAATCAAAATGCCTCCATCAAATAGTTAAAGCTCTTTTTTATGTCTCTAATGACACTCTCCATAGAGATCTTAATATTCCAACCATCCAAAATGTAGCCAAAATATTCTATAAGCGCCTCCACTCCAATCTCTCCAATCACCGAAACCCTCTCATATCCGATCTGTCAACTCGCATAATTCCAGGTGACCTCAGAAGGTGCCTAAAACGGAAATAGTGTCGTGACCTCTTGGAGGACTAAACCTCAAANTTACAGATTGTACAATTTTAAAAATAAAAACAAAACAAAATATTTATGTCTTCATTTGGTTAAAATAATCATAGACTTCTCAATTATCACAGAGTAAATTTAAATCTAATTTATATTAGATTTTTTTCGGTGGAATAAAATATTTTAAACATTTAGGTGGTGCTTCCACCTTATGTAGTACCGACTACAAAAAATTACAACGTTGTAATTAAAATGATGACGAAAATCAAAAAAAAAAACGCGTTTCTTTAGCAATTTTTTATCGTTGAGTATAGATATAAATTATAACAACGATCAGGCACGTACACAAATAAAATTCAAAGAGTCATTAAAAATTAACAATAATCAATATGTCACATAATAAAACAACTTAATGTTTTGTATACAATTTGCAACTTTCTAATAATTTTCAGAAGGGGTTTGAATAAGGTGATCATAAATGTTTTGGTGAAAGTGGAACAAAAAAAAATTCATCATTATTTTTAATATATTCAAAACTTTTTTTTTAATAATCATAAACAAACTTATATACCTATTATTATATTTTTACAGAACAAAAAATTTAATTAATTACACTTATTATTCATTAATAAGTAACTTATTTTTAAAATAGACATTTTTTTATTCTATTTAGTAGGTAATTATAAAGATAATTATATACTAGCATATTATTTACAGTTGGAGCATATTTTCTTCAAGTCCAATAATCGGCGACGACGTTCAAGAAGTTTAACAACTACAAACCCGACCTTCCGTCGTGTACACAATAAATTGATTTTCGTTATTTATTTGTTTTCCTTCTAAAAATGAGACATTTTTGCATCCCGAAAATTCCTTAGGGAACAACGTGATAGAGGTACGAAAAACGAGGTCTCGTTCAAAGCAGGACGTATGGTCACCTCATCTTAGGTTTGAACCACCTCCCCTCTTTGTTAACGTACCTAAAAATAATATATTCATTAGTAATATCAGCTCTTTTTTTACGCTTATTCATTAACTTTTTTATTTTTATTTGTTTATTTTTAAAAGTAAATAACTATGTATTTTGAAAACTTCCGAACTTCCTACCTATAATATCAGCATACTTGTCAGCAGTATTAGATCTTTTATTATTGAAATTATAAAAAAATAACTAATGCAATTTAAAAATCAAAAATATTATACTAATTGAACATATACAAATTTAAGTGACTTACAAGAAACCGAATTATTTGTAAATCTGTATCCATTCAAATCTCCTATCCCACTATAAAAAAATTAATACTTTTGAAAATACAAATTTTTAATTTTATAATATGTTAAAATAATCAAATATTATGGAATCTATACTTCGTTGTAATCTTTAGTAATTTTAAAATATTTTTTTTTTTTTGTTTTAGAAGAATTAGAAAGTCTAAATACAAAATTCTATGAAAAAGAAGAATACCAAAGTTAGTTTTATATTTGATTGTTATAATTTATAATTAAAATAATTTTTTATAAATAGAGTAGATATTGAACTATATATATATAATAATATAATTGGTTAAAAATATAGCTAGTTTAAACTAAGGTGTGTTTTATGACCTGATGATTATAATTAATATACAAAATTTTATTTTACATATTTTAGTGGTTTAGGATCTTATAAGAGTTTGTACAATCTTAATAAGACTAGGTACTTTAACATAATTTTCGATATTTTTGTTGCATATCTGCATAAATTCTGTGAGATTCTGTGAGCCATAATGCTCTTCTTTCTGTTCTCAAAGAAACTGGTTAAGGTAAACCATTCTCGACCTAGTCCGTGTCCTACTTAGCGATTGATATCAGTGAGTCAGGTGTTCTGGTACTCATTTAAATTTATTTTTAGTATCTTCTGGTGTTCCCCGAGAGAGACATTACTATTTTTTTCTGTTTATCAACAGTGTTCACAGTTCTTTACGGCATTACCGCCTACTCTGCAATCCGTTCGATTGATAACTGCATACAATTATGGATGATTTTATCAGGTTTCATGAATGGTTTAGAAAGTTAGATTAGGCTAAATCTCCAAGTGTAAAATAATGTCATTTTTTTATGAACCGTTCAATTGTTTCCTTTTCTAATAAAATTGATGATATCCATATTATGCGTGATTCTGATATTTCTATGGACCTTGGTTTATATTCAATACTAGACTCGATCCTGGTCCCCATATTGGATATGTATGTTGTAAATCTTGGTTTTATTATGAGATTGTAACGTAATTTCCACTTTGGAATGTCAGTTAAGTCTATATTCTGTTCTTTTGTGCGTCAGATTTTTTTAATATAGAATGGTGGTTTGGCTTATACCACTGACTATTCGTTACAGATTAAAATAGTTCAACGCAGGTTCTTGAGATTCTATAGTCATTTTCTGAGCATTCTTTGTAATCATCATGACTACAATCCGGTTTCTTTAGCACTCAATTTAGCCTCTCTTGCTGATCGAAGGCATGCCCAGTAGGCAAGTATTTATTTTTTAAAGAACTATTGAAAAACAAATTCGACTTTTCTGCCCTAGTTGAGTTTGTCAACTTAAAGGTTTTTTCTGAAAACAACAAGAAATACTGTTAATTTCCTTGTTCCCCACTTTCCCACTAACTACCTACAAAATGAGCTAGTTTGGCGACTAATGTCTCTTGCCAATGCAGACTCATTTTTTATAACTAATATTAATGTGTCTATCTTAATGTTATTGTAATTAAATCATCTGTTATTTTACTTTATTATCTAGCATGTTATTATTGTCTAAGGGTTTCTGCCCGTTTATATATTTAAAATAAAAAATATAATAAAAATGGTTATATGATATCAACTCAGTGAAGTGCCACCCATCGGCACGTAAACCGTACAAATTTAAAATAATGAAATCGTAGTACCGTAATTTGAAGAAAATCCCGTATTTTGTCATTTTGGGATTTTTCTAATTATTATGAAAATTACTTTCTCTGTTAATGACTATGTGTTAAAATAAATAAACTCAATCGTTTGTCATTTTTCGATTGGAGTTCGATTGAAGTTAAACATATTAAAATAATGAAACCGGTACATTACTGACTACGTTGCCGTAAATATTAATCAATTAATTTTTTAGTTTTTCCCAAATATTAGAAAAAATACTTTGGATATCGAAAAAAGATTTACTTTGTGAAAGGTAAAATATTACAAAGAACAAAATCGATCTTTTATCATTTTTGGATAAGAGCAATGTTTCTGGTAAAAACATCGTGTTGATATAATAAAAACAATGAAAACGGTAACGCCGTTAATATATGACGTTATATCTGTAATTTTTTTTTTTGAGTTTCTCCCAATTATTTCGAAAACCCTTTGAAAAATCAAAAAATCGACCTCTTCAATGCACCAACGAAAGAAAATTTCCTTTCAAAAAAGGTGGTATAGTTCATAATTCAGAGCAAGTTTTCTGGTAGAAAATCAATTTTAAAATGATGTTTATTTTCCAGGCGTAAAATAAACATAATTTTAAAAGATCGACAACATCATTGTAAAACCAACAACTATAATATTCAATGTTATTGCAATCTAAAATCATAATTATATTGAAAACACACAAATTATATTACAGATGTCAACAAATTATATAATTATATAACGTACCTACAATTAGATTATTTTACTTATATATAATATTATTTTGTACAATAATAATTGTACAGAGTGGTGCAAATAACGTTAAGTTCTAATGCACCACACTCTTATGTTTGATTGCAACTCGTAATGTATGCAATATACGGAAGGTTCGTTTACTAGCATAAGGTCCATAGGTATTACCTAACTTTTATATACCTAATATATTACTCATTTTTATAACGTGATATTTGGTTCATTTTCCAGTGGAATATATAATTTATTATTTAATGAAGCGTGCTTTAGAAGATATATTTCGAGGCATAATCCATATATTAAAAGATATTGAAAGTAAGTATTTAAATTAAACCTTTTTAAAATACTCCTAGTTAATTGAGATCATTAGTAACTTAAAAATAATTAAATAATGAACCATATAAATTATGAAATATATCTATGCCAATATTTTTAAAAATATTTCAAGTGTACGCGTTATAATATTCGTAGAAACTATAAAAACCATGTTAAAAAGTTATCAAATCCAGGTATAGGACGTGTAAATATACATGAGTAGATGGGTACAATATAAAATACTGTGTTATACCTAGCTATAAATTAATTAATAAATATTATGTATCCGTATTGTTAGGATACGCTGTCTCACCAGCTAAAAATATAATTTCAAAACATCAACTCATACTCATAGGCGCTATTAGATCACCAACATTAGGGGTGCTAAAATGATGGACACATTAAAGATCTATGAAAGATCCATGTCCTTACAATCCTCTTTACAATAAGTAACTTCATGATTCATTTTCAATTTTTATATTTAAATTTATCATAACTATTTTAACATTATTTTTAATATACACATACTATATTGTCTGAAGGAAATTTGCAATTTGTTCTGCCCATTGAATATAAAATAAACACGAATAAAATATTTAATCGTTACTATGAAAAAACTTATTGGGTATTTTTTAGGGGGAGGCTGCTAAAGACTCCCTAGCACCCCCTCCCATCTTCAGTTACGTCTTTGCATATATCTTATTCCTACTAATATAACTAATACAAAAATTATAAATTCAGGTCACCTGGTAAGAAACGTGGTTAGTCTAACATTAAAAAAGAAGATAATCATAATTTCCTTTTTTGGTTCTGAAACGGTTTCATGGTTTACCTAAAGGTCAACAATTTCGAAAAGGAAAGAATCTAACACTTTCCGCCGTCAGTAATCATCTGTCATCGTTTTCACATTAAGTCAATAGAGCAGTAATTTGTGAAGATACAAGTATTTAAGAAAGGGAACGTGTACATGATAAAATAACATTTAATTAATAATTTTAATAGAATTTAGTTTCTTTTTTCTCTTAATGGGCTATATAGGGCACCGTCACTAATAATAGTTTGAATAATACACGACACTGGATTACTATAGTTACCTGAAATCTAGTTAGCGATTGTTAATAATTTTTATGTCCTTACTAGTGATAGAAAATTTCCAGAAAAATTGAAATCGATAAAACAGGTAGAATTGAAAAAAAAAATTGTGTAACAACATATAATATAATAGTAATTCTAACTATGAACAAACTTACCTGTCTTTTTCAAATTTTAAACAATAATAACACACTTTCTGTTCTTTGATATTTAACATTAATGAAATTGTAGTAAACGTTTGATTATAATACATACATAATATTATTATTATGTTATCACATATCACTATCATCATGGAGGTTTATAACATATCTCGGATCTCTATAGGAGTGTTTTGGAGAATAATCAAATGTAAATAAACCTGATTTTGGTTATTCCTTTGGTTATAGGTTACTAAAATATCATAACCAAACGAAATGATCGTTAATGATGTTTGGTTATTGATAAAGTAATGATTAGATACTATCTAGCCAGTATATTATTATTAATTATTATTATTTAAATATAGTGAATAAACATATAAATAAATTATGATTAGTATATTTATTATATGATCGGTTTCGAATTAAAAATTTATCATCAGGTATAAAACAGTCAAAATGTAAAACGTGACTGAATATAAAAAAGAAAGGTAAGATAATGGGGACGAGTGTAGCCACTAATGTAGGTGGGAAGTTGGGCAGATAAGATATAGACGAGAATTTAATGAATATCTGTAATAAACTCTGTGATAAACCATTGCCTACGAATATAATATTGTCAACAATATATGTCATTTTATAATAAAATAAATAAATAAGCTTTATATATTTTCTTTAATAATATTTGTTTAATGTTGTACTGATTTTCCCGATTTTTCATATTTGCTGGGAAAACTTTTGGGAAAATCAAAAAAATCACTTCTCTAAAGTACTTCGCTAGTAAAATTTCTTTTTAAAAATACTGTTGTAATTTATTATTTGGAGCAAAATCACTGGTAAAAAAGTTGTGCACAGGAAAAAAGAAGGTCGTAATATGTTTTAACTAATACCTAAATTTCTTATATTCTCCCGGTTTTTTTTTCGGTTTTTTAATTTAGATAGGAAAACTTCTGAGAAAACTTAAACCTCGATATCTACGTAGATATCAATAATTTTATAGATGAACTTGCTAGAACATCAAAACGAAAAATGAATAAACATTAAAAATTTAACCCTCCCCCCCCCCACAAAAGAAAAAAAAATTCTGGATACGCTATTGAGCGTAAGTATATATATTTTGTTGAAATTATAAATATGTTATTAATAACATAAAATTCCGATGACCTTTACTGTGGACAGAGAACCCAATAATATTATGTCAATAAGATATACCTATAGTCTGTTCCAGGAGAGAAAGGTCCGCTTCTGCGCATGTTTTCCCCCTCCACATAGCCGATTGTCATTTCTTCCGTCGTCGGTTTATGACTATACACCGCTAGGATATTTTGTAGAAATTCAATTGTTATTATTATCAGACATCGCGCATCGCACGTTTATTTACCTTTGCTGTTTTATAACCTCTTGATAATTTTTCAAATCGTAAACTATCGTATATACAAGCACCTTCTATAATAATCCAGACTTTGTTTTTTTTGTATACATATTTATTTATTTAATATCTTATTGAACACTGTAGGTATAATTCAGTAGGTATGATACAGTAGGTATAATANCAATTTATCATTTTTGTCATATTGGCGATAAACAGTGGACTATCGACAGACAACAGTGCATTATTTGAAACGCAGTGTACAAAACCTGTCGATAGATCCGGGAGGGAATAAATGGATAGTGTTGCGGCGTGGGGATGCGCAGTAGTGCTTCGATTTGGTCGGAGAGCGGACCGTTCTCTCCTGGGACAGACTATAAATACCTATTATTAAAATTAGTTATTCATTAGTAAAATTAATTATAGAGTATATTATAGTTATTTTCTAAAACGTGTTAGGGAAATTTGAATTAAGGGCAGTCTTTATTAATTTTATTTCAATTTGTTCTTTACATATTATTTTAATATTTCGATTTGCCTTACCTATATAAAATTGATTACAGTTACATTTAAGTTTATATATACCTGCATTTTCAAAATAAGAAGGATTTTTTGTAAGGCTTTTAGTTCTATTAAATTATTATTAGTCCTTTAAAGCGATATTTACATTATTTGTAACATTGTTTAGAACTTAAGCGAATTCAGTAGATATATTATTTTGATATTTCATACCACAATAGTTAACATATTTTGGTGTGTTTTGAAAAACAAAAAAAAAATAATACACAACTCTACTATTTTTTTTATGACACGTTTATGAATTTTTTTAATAGTATTTAAATTTAATCATTTCTATGGGCATTGTTATAGATAATATTAAGCTGTTATTGATAATTATGTTTAATTAATGGAATACGTTCAAGCCTATAGAATATTGAATTAAACAATGATATTTTTTGAGAATAAGGGTGATTAGAATCATGTGGTATTATAGCATCGCTCCAGGCGACGCGTTCATTTATTTATTTATTTTTATATATACATTTTTTATTTATATATTTATTTACTATGTCTATTTATGAGTATTAAACATTTTAATAATTTTGTTTTTACTTTATTATTTCAATAGTATTTGGAAAAACCATAAAACATATCATTTTCAAGAATCTATAACCATTAACAAAATTCCAAAAACAAAGAACCATAACTGATAATGAATATAACCAGGTTAGGTTAGGTTAGGTTCGGAAAAACACATTTCATATTTCTTATATTTATGTCTTCTTTATTTATTATCAATAAAATATAACTTTCTTCGGACCTTTTTCTCAATTTTTCCTTTATAAGAAAATATAATCACAAAACGATATATTGTATGTAATAAAATTACATATTTTTTATAATTTTAATATTTTTTTGGATGTTTAATTCCTAATCAATTATAGGTGTACAGAATAAATCATATTAATTGAAATATAGTTTCACCGTATGATATTGCAGAACCTCATGATTTTCAAGGAAAAACAAGAGTTAATGTTGAGCTTTTGGTATTACTGAAGCATTTACATAATAAAGTAATTGATGTCACTCAAGATATGCATCAATTGTTTTTGGAGAAATGTAAGATAATTATTGTACTATTATTATAAATTACTAGTTTCAAATACTACAAGCGTATTATAGAGTTTTCAAAGGGCATCTATGATGCTCCACATATGATTAGTGGAACATCTAATGCACTTGCTGTCCAATTGGTATTACATACTCCATACTTCCTTTAACACTTTCAACTCCTTTCTCCTACGACCATAGGAGTATTCTTATTTCTTCCTACGGAAAGAATAACACTGTCAACTATAAGGTGAATTCCTCTAGCCTACAGAAAAATATACAATTCAACTACTGGAATCAACCCCCTGGGTCAATTAAAATATTAAATTTCATAATATTGTATAATTATATTCTACGATTTTTCAGATCAAAAGCGATTCAGATATCGAGGAATTCGTAAACCATATATGGAAGATTTTATGAGTCTATATAAAAATTACGAAGCATATAAACAATTATTTGAAAATCAATGGATATGGCTTTTCCAATCACGTAATATTACGTTTTGTTTTAAATACGTTATTTTACAACAGGTTTTAGTAAATACATTATAAAAAAAAACTGCGCTCAAAATCGTCTTCTCGTTAGCAATGGATTATCGTAGCTTACAGATGTATATTAAATTACCTATAATAGTAGTTGCACCTGTCTCCGTTATAATAGGATAGCTTTTTTGTGTTTTCTTTCTTTCTATCACAAATTTTGTACATGAAACTATAAAAATTATTCATTATGTTTATAAAAAAAAAAGAGCTAATACTGGAGATGAGAGCGGCCACTGTTTTAAATGAGAAGTTGAGAAGGTAGGGTACATAAGGTTATTTCATTTATATCTGTAAGAAACGATAAACCATTCCTTAATGAAAGATGATTCCAAACGCAGTTCGGTAATACATTATTTGAAGTACCGTATTTATTTTCGTTTAAATTTGATTTCAAAACGCTATATATATATATATATTTTTATATAAAAAAAAAAAAGTCTGATGATTTGGAAAATTTGACCACGTCTATATAAGCCAAATATAAGTATTATTACCATGTTTCAAGTCTCTACGTGTATTTATAACCGAATTACAACAAAAAAACATTCCAAAAAGAAAAATTTCCTTAAAGCTCAAAAGTGACTAAAAAGTTTTGGCGATAATACCGTAAAAAGTAAATCAAAAAGGCAACTAAAAAGATGTTTTGTGTTTTTTCGATTAAATCATTTTTCTGGTAGAAAACGTTGTCCGTGTTTTTATAAAATAATTTTCCTACGTTTTTCCTACTTATGTACTTTTATTTAAAAAAATAGCTTCGAAAATCAAAAAAATGACCTCTCAGCGACTATTTGATCAGCTCCTTGCTTCTTGAAATAACACTCCAACTCCTTCTGTGTGTCTATTAAATTTGCCCCATTATCCGACCAAATGTGCGAGAGTTTACCTTGTCACAACACAAATCGTTTTAACATTTTTGTAAATGCTACCGTGCTTAAAGCAGTTACTAGCTATGGATGCACGGCTTTAGTGAAGAGGCACATGAATACCACCACGTAAGCTTTGGTAGTGATAGATTTTCGTAAACATTGTTTGATCTGTAGAGGATCGGAAAAATCTACTCCTGTTTGAGCGAACGTCCTGCAAGAGGACCCTTCTGCTTGCCTCAGGTAAATACATGTCCTATATGCGCTTTGGGACACATCACTAAACCCGTACAGGTCGACCTCTTTGGACAGACACACTCTTACAGCTCGTGGTAATTGTATCTGATGAACCACCGACAAGTCTTCCCAAAACAGCTTCCATCGCCTGATGGAATGGAGCCATAGGAATGGCCAGATAAGTTATCGTCCTATCCCAACTTCACTTGCGATAACTCTTGCAGGAAAATCTTTCTCCTTATAAGTGTGGGTCCTAAGAAGCCCAATGGATCAAATACACTATTTAAACAGATCCTTTTTCACTTTAGCTTGTGTGTCAGCTCGAAAATGCACCTCCGTTATCAGCCTTTTACTTTCATATCTATCCTTTAAAATGTCCTTGGCTAGAGCATATGTTGCATCATTAATCTCCAACGAGTCCACAATGTCTATTAATACGCCTTTTAGACATGATCTAAGATAGTGGAACTTTTTAATGACTGTCAAGCTCTCGTCCATCTCAACGTGGCAGACAAATGTGCTAAGAAACCAAGGCCATCGTCAAAACATTCCAAAGGCAGTGGGAATAATAGCAAACGAGTGCACGGAATGATCCCCCCACCTCTGGCTATCGTTTGTTCTAGATTATGGACTGAGGAAAATTCTCCGAAACTGTTGGCTATGCTGATTGCTTGTTGTGTTATGAGTCCCTTGAATGATCCTATTAAGCTTGCCCGACACTTTGTAGTAACGTCCTTCAAACTCCTCCTTCGCAGCTAGATGAGCTGTATCGTTGTCTTCATTCAGCTCTTCTATACGTGACTGATTATACTTGAATCGGTTTAATAAAGACGGCACCAAATTCAATCTAGACAGTGCTTCAGCACTAGAATTAGGCGAATCAATACATTTTTCCACGAACGTACTTTATCTGATGAGTGAAGCTTTGACTTATCCTCTCTGTTTAGTAAGGGTTGCAATCAGCTTACCATTTGACTATCTCTCTTCCCTTAGTCTCTTCATGGCATCTTTGATGCGAGATACTTTGTGTAAATTTTAACTAATTAATTAAATTTGTTATATTTTGTTATCATTTAAACGAATATTTTCTTGTTGCACTGACCATTCAAATCCATAATTAATATACAATCCATTTGATTTAGTTAGGTGCCAAGACAAATGAACACATTTTTTGTTCGACCCCGCCCGTACATTTGGTCCTTCGGGTTGGATCTGAACCAACATCCTATAGATACAGGCCTATGGAACTTGTTTAAAACAAGGTCTAAATAAAAAATTGAAAAATTAGATTGGTGCTATTAAATTTTACTCAAACGATTTTCATCAAAATTTAATATTGAAATTCCTTTATGAAAAAAAAAAAAATACTACATTAAGCTTAAATTTTTATTTTTGATCCATAGTACGAGGTTTAATGAACCTGTTAAATTGTCAAGCATTTCTTTTAGATCTAACAATTTTGCAACAGAGTAGTTACCTACTGAATAAAAATTACTTACTAAACTCGCAAAATTAAAATGTCTATAATTAGCTCATAAATAGCTTAATTTTTTTTTTAATTTTACCACGTTTAGAAAAATTAAATATAAGTTTTATGTTCAAATTTTAAGTCCATAAAGTAGATAGGAATATTTTTAACTGAATTTCAACAAAAATATTAAAATGATTATAAAAAGCTTAAAAATGGCTTAAATGTTTTGAAAATATTAACGTGTCTAGAAAAAGTAAGTATACATTTTTTTCTAAATTTCGGGAAGGTTCCTTGCCTCAGGAACTTATTGAAGACTTCCAGTATCACTTCGGGCTTCTGCTAGGTACGCTTTTCATAATTTCGGAGAAGAGGCCCTCTAGTCCGAGAACTTTGTTGCTTTTCATGGTGATTACTGCTTCGGTGAGTTCTTCCTTGTTGAATTCTTCTGTCTTCTACGATTTCCCTGTGTCCTCGGGGTTGTGGTGCAGAAATATTCCCACTACAATGCTCTCTATCATCCCTGGTGTTTTGATTTCCGGTATTCCTGCGTTCTTGAACAGCTTTTCCATGACCAATCTGTAAGACAGGCCTCAAGGGTCTCGCTCTACCTGCTCGCATAGCTCCTTTATCGTTTTTTTGATCTTTTGATCCCTCAAACTAAGTGTCGTTTGGAAACTCTTGCCGCGTTTTTCTCTTTGACGCACTCCTCTAAACCGTGTCTTTTTTTATTATGCTGGTAATTTCTTCTTAGGTGATTTCTAATTTTCCTTAGTTCTGAAATCTCTTTCGTCTACCTGTGTACGGTCTTCCTGCAGTTGCCCGTGCGTTTCTTCATTGATCTGTCGCATATCTTTTTGAGTTCGGTAGCTATTTCTTTTACACAGTCTTTGGCATTTTCTACACTGGGAAGTAGTGTCCTTATACTATCTACCATTTCTACCTTCTCATCCGCACCTTCGACAACATTTCTCTCGGTTATGGACGGCGCACATTTTACATTCGTGCTCAAATGCGAGAAACTTAAAACATATCTCCTTCTTTTCTCTCGGCTGAATCCTACAGCTGACTACGTCGATCTTGACAAAACTCCTCTCCGAGATGATTTCAACTATGTGTTCAATACATATAGTATACTAGTGTACTTTCTGTTTAATAACCTGACCAAACCTAAAAAGACAAATGTTTAACCTAATAATATAAGTTATTTATTAATGTGAAATACCATTTTTCTAATCATTTTTTAAAAAAATAAAATAACTTATCGTAAAATAAACAATTTGAATCAAGTTTTATTTTTTTACATTTCAAAAATGTATAAAACAAAAATATAATAATTTAAATATTTTAAATATTTTTAACTTTTTTTTAAAACTAATTTAATGAACATCAAATATTTTAAATACTCAAAATAAATCAAGTTTTCAATCATTGAAATATAAATATGGAGAGTTAAAATATGACGACAATCTGCCAAAAAAATTGTAATAATTAGGTCTACCTACCGAAAAAATTATAACCAAGAATTTAATTTTCGATTTTTTTGTTTAAAGTCAGGCACGTTTCCGAATTCGACCAATTTTACAATAAATTATTTCAAATGAGTGTAGACGAAAAATTATCATATGAAAATTTAAAGCAAATAATTGTAGGTAAGTATCTACCCTATAGTTATTACCCTACCTATAGTTATTCTTATTTTAAATAATAATATAATTTATAGTCTAGCCATAAAAAGCTGTTTATTTCTATGAATTACACCAAATTGATATTTTTTTAATGATTGAAATTTAATTGCAGTGGTAGATGCTTTCTGATACAAAAGTGGATAAAATCTAATTTTTTTTTTTATTTATAGCAATACTAAACAACAAATTCGTAATAATACTATTGTGTACTATCTATCAACATTTATTTATTTTTTTACTTTATTTTAATATCACAATCTTTTCTTTATTATTGTGATTCCATAATTAATTACTTTTATAAATATTAAAATACTTTCTATTGTATCAATTATAATTATATATTTACACAATAGAGTACACCAAAAAAAAAGTTTTCAGTTTTAGAGCAGTGATTATAAGTAAATAACGAAATTTGTATGTATTTTATTTTTATTTTTTAACGCTTAAAACTATAACTAATTAAAAATGTCATGAAGCAAAATGATCAGAATGTAATGAGGAACAAATATAGTACTATTAGCTGATGAGAATAAAATCAAAATTGTCAAAGTTATTAGCCATGAAATGCAAATGTTACATAATATTGGTAAATCATCAGCTACCCTTGAAAAATGTTTTTGTTTTTCAATAAGATTACAATATAATCTTAATTAAATTTACCAAAAAACTAATAATGCATAAATACAAAAATAAAAGTAAAATAGACAATAGAAAAAGAAAACAGAATTTTTTTATTTTCATTTCTCATTAACCTAAAGATCGAAAAATCTTTGTTTTATTAAACATTTATTCGCTTGCGGTATTTCCCTGCGGTGTATTTTTGAACCTGGAGTAAATATCGTTTTTGTTCTTCTTGTTTAGTCAGATCAGGGTTAAAATCTCAAATCAGTTTTGCCAAATTGCCATTGAATTAGCTTAAAACCAATTTTAATTAGCTATAGTTTAAAGCATTAAAAAAAAAAAAATACATACAAATTGCGTTATTTATCTAAAATCGCTGCTCGTAAACAGGAAAATTATTTATTTTTTTTACCTCAAAATTAGATTCAATAGTATATGTCATACTTGTAGAAATTAAATATAAACATACGTCAGCGAAAAAAAAAATGTTTTTTTTTTTTGGTTCACTTTACTACATATATTTATTTTTGTTGTATATTTGTAAAAAAAATATACTAAAACGTCTAAAACAATATTATATTTTTCAGAACCAACAATGAATTTTGAAAAGTTTTTCGGCGGTAAATATATAACATAATTTCTAATGATTTATTTTACTTTTTATTCAGAATTTACTTTTTGTTTTTATATCTTTAATTCCGATTTCCACGCGATTATTTTGCATAATTTAAATCAGGGACTCACACAGTACCGAAAATAACCGGTTTTGGAATCAGAACCTTTTGAATATCGGGAGCCAGAACCTCACCGAAACCTTAATTCAAATTCATTTAAATCCAGAACCTCACAGGAATCCTTTTTATATTTATTTAAAAACCGGAAATTAACCGCAATCCATACTTTTTTGCAAAGATTTTTTACAATTAATTTCGGTTTTGTTATAATTTCATTAATTTTATTTATATCTGTCATTCGTAAATGATAAGTAATAAGAAATAAACAAATATATAAATCTATTATTATTATTAGGAGGATTAATATTATTCAAAACTAATCATTCAATATATTTTGTACATAACAACTGAATACTGATAATGTAATAGGAACTCCCAAATAAAAATAAAAGTCATTATTTACTGCATTTTATATATCCATGAATCTAAAGTTCTATCTAAGTTGGATCTAGTTACCACAATAAAAAACAGTACAATTATAAAAATATAGTTAATGTTTATAAATAACTAGGCATGTTATGATTGTATGTGTTATAATACTATCGTTATCTAACAATATCTAACGTACTGTATGCAATAGAAAATTAGTATTGACCCACCTAAATTGATGCCAACAAAACGTAATCGAAATTTCTTACATAAGTATAAAACCAAAATAGAAAACAGTTTTCATTTTTTAAAAACCGAAAAGAATTCGACACCGAAATTTTAGTTTTTTCAGAACCGGCATCAAAGCCGGAACCCCCTTTAATTTTTACTAGGAACCGGACTGGAACCAGAACCGCAATATAGATCAAGGTTCCAGTCCCTAGTTTAAATATATTATTTTATAATAGCTTATAATTCAAAAGAATTATAAATTCTCGGTTAGGTTAAGTTAAGGTTAGGTTAACTTAACCTAACCTAACCTTCCATGTTTTACGCTTATACAACTATATGTCGCGTGTCCACGCGTCAGAAAGCTATAATTTTTTGTATGTTTACGCAACGCAAAATAAAACAAATCTATTGTTTATCAGAAAGCTTGACATAAAGAAACTCTATTTTTAAAATAAATTGAATAAACTTGAAGTGAAAGAAAGTTTCAAATTATTTTTTAAAAATCATATAAAATATTATTATTTTAATAAAGTATTATTTATTTCAATGAATTAAAATTCGAAGGTTGATTAAAATTGATTATAGCTAATTAAAAGTTAAAAACAAAAAAAAATTACTCAAATCGGTCAAGCTGTTTTTGAGTTTTAATGGAACTAACGAACGGCAATTCATAGCATTAGCAAAGCGTTGCCGGGTCAGCTAGTAGTATATACGAATAAATAAGTTGTGCATTTTAGTACATTACATTCATTGTTGTATGCAATCGTAATGTTTTTAATGGTTAAAAAATCGTACGCAGTCGTACAAACGTACGCAATAGAACTACTAAAAAGGACAAACGTACGCAATCGTCTATCACCAAGCAATATCAGCTCTTCTTATTGTATTTTAATGTATTACACGCTTTAATATGATATAATATATAATTTTTTTTTTTATTATTATTATAAATAAGACATTTATAAATATTTTTGTAAGCATTAAACGAGTTAAATTTTCAGTAGTATTGCATACAAATAATATTTAACATTGGGATCATACATATAGTATTTTGAAGTTTTGGGTATTAAATATTAATATAATATATCAGCTATTTACAGTGCTCAGAATAAATAATGAATAGTTCATCTAGATTAGATACAGATAGTTGCTTAACAATTTATCTAAATACAGATAAAGATAAATACATTTTAAATTTATCTAGATTAGATAAAGATTATCTTACTTTTATCTAGATAATATGATAGATAAAACTAATGTTTATTATATTTTATAATATTTTTCAATTTATAGCTTACATGAATTATTATTATTGTCAATCATTGATTATAATAAGGTACAAGTATTTATAATCAATGATATCATGAATACAATTATGGTAATATTATAATATTATTCTTTTGGCTACTGATTTTTTGTAACAACTAATAATGTGTGGCAAATGATCACGCGCATCCTTATCTTCATAAATGCGGCGATTAATCGTACAAAATAAAATACATTTAAATTCGGGCTTCGCCGATTAATTACCTGGTATGTAAACTACTTAAATGTTTTTACTATGTGACAATTTCTAGTCAAAACTTAAGACTGGTTTATACCCTTAACTTTGAATAATGAATATAATATCTATACATTTTATATCTATTATCTAGTATATACAAATATTAATGTTGTCAAAAATCTTCAAGTCAAAGAATCATATAATAACGTTTTAAAGAATCAACTTTATAAAATTTGCTATTAGAACATGGGAATTTGGTAATATTATGAATATATTTACTAATTGGTTAGTATTCTGATAGGAAAATTATCGTTAAAAATAATGAATATAATTTAAATACAATTTATCTAGATAAGTGAATGTGTCATCTAAGATATCCAATAGATAAATGGACCAATAGTTATCTAGCTAAGATATTAGATGATTTTTAATCAAAATAAGTCTCAACACTGGCTATTTAGAGTATTAGGCATTAGCTAATATTGCTATTATAATAAATATTTATACTGTAATACAACAATAATAGTAAAACCTTAACAATAGCAGTACAGAGTAGGATGAGTAACAGGGGTGTTTACAAGGGAGGGAAGGGCAATAGGAGTGATCACCCCCTGGGCATTTTTGAATTTATTTCATGTATAGGTACTTACTTCTTTTATTATTAATACAAAATTTAAAAAAAAAGTTAATTTTCTAAAGATCTATTTTTAGTTTGTAATACTACTGTTTATCAAAATATACTTTTATAACTTATAATTGATAATTTTGATTAAATTCACCCCCCTCCCTGTAAGATAAGCTGAATATGCCCCTGATAAGTAAGTACTCTTGACTATAGTCAATTAAAAAAAAAAAAAAACAAATACAAACAGTAACCATGATATCCGCTATAGTTTGATAGTTTAAAATTAAAAAATTGTGCAGATTTACATTAAGTAACTCTATGTTTCCTACGTTTCCAACTTCCCACCTACAACAGTGGCACACCTGTCAGCAAGATTAGGTCTATTTTTAGTGTTATTATGATACAATTAATAAAAAAATATTACATTTTCAAATCTTTCTTTGTTATTTTAATATATATATATATATACGTTTTAGGTGTATTGATTAAGAATAGAAGAGTCCAGCCATCGGTGATTGGATGTAAGTGTTATATTGTTATATTAATGATTAGGACTGGGATTTGTACATAAATACAAATTATTACTAAAGCTAGGACTTGAAATCGATTTTAAATTGATTTTAAATACCGGTTAAAACCGTAAAAATCTGATTTCCAAAAGTGAATTCAAAATCGCCAAAAATAAAACCGATTTCTGGAACTGAAATCAAAATTGAAAAAAAAATAAAACGATTTCCAAAATGAAAAAAAAGGAAGGGAATTGCCTTTCCAGAATAGTACATCAACAAAATAGTCGGTTTGCTAGTCAATGGAAATGTGTTATCAAAATGATGTGGTGTTATCAACATTTAGCCATAACGTTTTTTTCCGTTTTACACTTTTAAATGTTCATTAAATTGAATGCCAATATTATATTTATTTAATATTTACATTATAATCCAATTTAATGTACCTAATATAATAAATTTATATATTATCAAGTTAACATCTATTATCAAATAATTGTTAAGATCACGTGATAGAGCATTTTGCGTTTTAATATAAATCGATTATAAATCGGGTGTTTCATCTGATTGATAATCGAGATTATCGAGTGTATATGTGTATATACTCTATTCACCGTAAGTTGACCCTCGCTCGACGAAAACTCCTCGAAAAAACCCCCTGAAAAAAAACCCCTTCTGTATACACGGTCACGACAGCAGCCTGCTGCCAACTATGATAAGCAACGTCGATCTCCAAACACCGCCAATCAATCATAGACTACGGCGGCTCAATATACATATGCGGAAGCGGATTAACTTACGATAAATAGAGTATAGCACTCAACAAGAAGTGGACTGGTACGTTGATCAGATCCTGTGAGTGCTATCGTGCAGTGGTATGTGTATGTGTGTATACGTGTGTATACGTGTGTATGTGTGTGACTAAAGGTAATAACAAAAATGGTAACAGGGTTGGTAATAAATATTACTGTATTATTGCTGAATGATTATAGCCCCTCTAGCTCAACAGATAATAAATAATATAACATAATTTATCTGTATTGCAAGTAAAAATGTATAAAAATAACAAAAAAAAGCAACGGTATAATTTACACAACACAAAAATATGCAATATAGATAGGTACTCACGAATTATCAAATGATAGTGGAGCATAGCTGGCTAGTCTGGTCCCTATCCTAAAAAAATGATACAAAAATATAATGTAAAACAATATAATAATTAAGTGGTGATTAACGGCCAAGATTGAATACAAACGGTTAAAGGGTAATGATTTGCCCTCACAATTGATTATTAAACCAGCGATTAGTGCAAGTAATATATAATAACAAATTTGCAAAACGATTCACGCCCGCACAATACGACCTTAAAAAATATTGGTAATTCGTGTCTCGACCTACAGTAAGTATACAACAAGAATGATAATAATAAAATTGAACAAAATAAAAATTCACGATAGCAATTATTGAATTAATCTAAATATTATGTGTGTTATGTAATGCGTGAGTGACCGTCCGGAGCCTCTCATTAATTGTTAAACACTATTTTATTAGCTGGCCTAATTAAGCAATTAATTAGCGGGATTAGCGCAAGGAATGTAGATGCGTGGTTATAATATTATGCCTGTAAATTGGCGCCAACATTATTTAATCAATAGTTTATCAAAAGTTTTAAATTAACAATAAAATATATTATATTTTAATTAAAAATAATACATAAATCTATATATGTATAAAAAAGTAATCCCTTTTTCCCTTGGTCATCGCATCACCTAAGAACGGTTCCACCGATTTTAACGAAGTATTTTGCAAAATGTTCCGCATTATCCGGAAAAGGTTTATAGCTATTTAAAGTCACCTCCTATTGAATACTATCCCCTAAACGTCAAGTTATAGGTAATTTTAGTTCAGAAATTTAATTATATTTGTTGAATTATGGGCTTCGATGGTAACATGGATGACAAAAAAATAAAATCCGTGTACTATCTATGGAAAAATTAATTTATTCATTTTTTAGTACACAGTCTATTATTTCTGAACATTTATCCAGTTTTGAGTTTATTGAGTGAATTTTAAAGAACTGTCTGATAACCGCAATTTGGTTTTTCAAAATGCCACCAATTAATTGTACCAACATAGGTCACAGAGGTTACCGTTTGAGAGGAATATATAATGGTGATGAAATAACAGTAGTGCTAAATGATAAAATATTTTTATTTATTGTATAGTTGCTATTGATTACAGGTAAAAATAATAATAGTATATTGGTTACTATTTGTTAATTGGGCGTGTTTGTTGATTTGTATTATTTTTTTTCAATAATATATTTAGTAAAAATTGTCTAAGATTTGAACTCGATACCATTGCACTGATATTATAAACGTTGTCTTTATAAACTCTATGGACAAAAATTTAAAAGGTTAGTCTAAACGTATCTATGGTAATTAATAACACACAAGATTACTAATAAAATCTTTAAAAACTGTTTGCTTGAGTGTATGATTCTTACTAGCTGTGAAGCTGGAAAAATGGTCTTATCAATGATATCAACCAATCTACCATTCCAGTTTAAATAGCGCCAATTTCCCGCGAAACTATATTTTTCAATGACCACCAATAAGGCACAAGGTTAAATGTTGTTGGTTTAGAGTTTAGACCTAATCATCCAATATTTTTCCCATGATAAATGTACGTGGCTCTGTTACGTGTCACATGCAAACAAAGTTTGCTGGCCCCAGAAGGTGAGACGCTTAACGTGGTGTGTACAGAAATATTTAATGCTCAAGGCAAACAGATATTTAAAATGTATAAACATAGGCCACAACAGAATACTTTTAGTCCGCTGAAGGTGGACTACCCACTTTCCACCTACCTATTTGTTTTTATTCGTAACTGATATGGTCAAAACCAAAAAAGAATATGGGTAACACAAATACTAAAAAATTGGCACGAGCAACGACAGGCGGGACAGTTAGTATATAAATAAAAAATAATAAATAAAAGAATGAATGCGTCGCCTGCAGTATTATGATAAGTATGTTATACGACCTGTTCGAATTAAAAATTCATCATCAGGTATATCACAGTCAAAATGTAAAAAGTGACTCATTTAGTCGTATATCATATTACCCACTTATCATAATACTCCAGGCGGCGCAGTCATTCTTTTATTTATTATTTTTAATTTTTATGTATACGTGTTTTATTTATATATTTATTTATGAGTAATAGCCATTTTAATAAATTTGTTTTTACTTTATTATTTTATTATATATTCTAATTGTATTTGTGTTGTAAACAATTTGTTGGCCCTCTACCTCCAGATATTTACTATGGAACTGTGCCTGATCGTGGTAACATCCAATCGTGGTTGCCAATTATTTTAATAGGAAGGTCGTAAGAATGGAAGTGGGAAATTAATGTAACTTGTCGATTATTTGACTATTCGTGTAAATTCGTGAAATATACGACTCACTGGAACTCGACTTAATGAACAGTTAATACCAAAAAACGAAAATAATTAAAATAATTCCCTTAAGCAAAATAAAAAAGCAAACTCTGATACAGGGGACGGGTGCAGACACTAAACTCATCCTAAGTAGCTAAAAGAAAATCAGACCAAATTGTTACGCATATCTCGTTTTGTAAACTCTGTAAATATTTGTTATAATTTTTTGACATTTAATGATTTAACCGATGGTAAAACACGACAAAGAGATCCTGTATGGTGAAACTCTTAATCGAAATCCAGTCAGATACAGGGAAAACGAAAAAAGTCTAAATCAAAATACAGTTATCGAAAGATACCGTATGTGGTTTTATACCAGAAAACCTTTCAAAACTTTTTATCTATGAGTATATCGTTTGCCTTTTATTTTAGCGTTTCAACTTTAAGGACTAAAAACGATTTCCGTAACATATTTTAGACTCGAATACATTTCCAATCAATTTCAATCAATTTTTACTGCGTTTTCTGTTTAAACCATGTAAATTCCGCACACGTTTCCCGAAAAACCATAAGAGACAAAACTTTTCGACAAGGGACGAAATAGGCTTTGAATAAGCCACTAAATGAGTCCTGGAAAACAGCATTTGGAAAAGTGCAATATTCAATGACTTAAGATTTTGAATATTAAATCCTCGGATATTACATTTTTCTGGCCAATAATTGTTAGGACTTGTTCAGTGGCCTATTCTAAGACTTTCTACTCTTGGCGAAAAGAGCTATCTTTTAAGGTTTTTCGGGAAATGAGTACAGAAAATACGCGATTACAGCAGTAAAATTTGTTTGTATTTTCGAGGGGGATGCGTTAATTTGATTTTTTGGACCACAGATATGAATGGATTTTGTAGTAATAAAAGAACGGTCAAAAAATGTTTTTAAATATCAATATTGTTTTATAATATCATGATTGATTGCTAATAATAATAAATAACTCAATTCGTATTGTGTTTATGAAGCAAATATTCGTATTCAAGTTATTATATGCTTCAGTACAAAAAATGATACATAATATAATTAAATAAAAATATATACTTTACATTCTGTTTCATAACAGTTGCTTAGTCGTATATCTACCAAAAATATCTTTGAGGAATTATATTTTATTTATTTATTTTATAGAATTGTAAGAAAACCCTATGAATTTGGGGACCTTATGCTCGTGCATCGCATTTACATATGTAAATCAGGGCTGTCTGAGCACCGCAATCAAAAAATAATAAATGATTATACTATTCGGATATATTTAGAGTAGCTATTTGTATAGTTCTTATATACCATTTTAAAGTCATAAATGATTTTTAAGTTTTTATTTATCGTTTATAGATACTGTGGCATCAAACGATTCGTGGAAGGATCCTGTTCATCATGAAACTAATACAAACCAATGGAAAGTGATGCTACTCGAATTTAATATGTGGTTGTCCATATTAAACGAAAATTGTCATTCCTTCATAGAAGTATTATTATCTTATCGTATGTATTAGTTATCTGTAATATAATCATTTATGTTAGGTATCACATATTGCATTATATATTTCAGCAAAAAAAAAAAAAAAATCAGTTTTTAGAAATAAGTTATTTTAGATTTAAAGAAGAAAGAGCAAAGAAGCTTTTGGATTTACTAAAATTTGTATTTATGTTTTTTTTTATCTATGCGCAACATTTCTAACATAAGACTTGATCAGATTTTTAATTGTAACTTTAAAAGTACTTTCCCTGACAAATTTTTGTTCGGAAAAAGTGTTATCATTTTAAATTGGAGTGAAATTGCTGGTAGAAAAGCTGTAAAAAAAGGCCATATGATTTTTTTACTAATAACTACATTTTGCACATATTCCGTTTTTCCGATATTTTATGTTGGTTTTTCCCAAATATTATGAAAACCCCTTGAAAAACCAAAAAACGACCTCTCTAAATTACCATAGAAATAAAATTTCCTTTCAGAAAATAAGCTACAATTGATACATCGGAGCAAGATTTCTGGTTAGAAAAGTTTGAAAGCTTAAAAATTACCACAATATTATAAAAATTGTATCATACCTAGAAAGTGCCAATATAATTATTTGGTGAAATTTTCAAATCTACGATTATTTCTCCGATTATTATTACCGAAATATATGTAAAGAACCAAATAAAAAAATAAGTATTAAGAAAATAACAGGGAAAAGCAAAATGTTCAAACAAAAATCTCTTCTAAAGTTGACGATTAGAACAAGATTTCTAGTAGAAAAATTATTTACTGATAGAATAAAAAATAGGTACATATACGAGAATATTAAAACTAATAGATACATACTATCTCACTTCATTCAAAATCTTAACTAATACGATTAAACTTAATAGAAATAATATTGATATAATAATATATTATCCGACACAAAATTGATTTTAAAAAGACAGATAAACTTTACACATTGGTGGACCATTATTGTAGGTGATAAATTGGAAAGATAGTAGAGGAGAAATTTAATATATATCTGTATGCTATTACCTTGCTAACGAAAAAGTGATTCTGAGCGGAGTTCGGTTAATAGTGTTTCTTTGTAATATTTACAAATTAGGCCATAATATTTATGAATTTCTTATAATTTGATATTAAAATTCTTATAAAGAAAAAGGTATACTATACTAAGCTAAATTTTAGATTCTGAGTGGAACAAAGAAGCTTATGGTTTTACAAAGATGAATATATATGTATATTTGTAATTAAAATTAATATTAATTACTCAGTAAGTGGGTAATTGATTAAACAACTTTTTAAAATCCATTAAATTTAAAGCACTTAAAAAGAAAATGTAATAAACTTGGTATTTATATTTTTAAGGGTTTTAAATGCAATTTAATATGTTTTTATAGAGAATCTTTCGGTCAATTACTCATTTAAAGAAAACACACGTAATATGTCTAATCTTAGACCACTTAAATGCATAAATCCACAAAATGAAGCATTCATAGCTGATAAAGTAATAATATTATAAATCAATGTTCAATTGCCGTATTTAAAAAATAAATACCTAATATGTTTCTTTAAATTATTTTAGTTGTTTTTGAGAGACAGAAAAGAATTAACGCCCATAAAAAACATTAACATGGATCAACAACAACCGACAAAAAAGCATGACAAAACGGACAGAAAAATATTAACGCCCATAAAAAGCATTAACATGGATCAAAAACAACCGACAAAAAAGGATAGCATGGACAGAAAATTAACGCCCATACAAAACATTAACATGAATCAAAAAGATACAACAAAAGAGGATAAAATGAGGGAGGAATTATTTAGTTATTAGAAAACCTTAATTTATTATTCGATTATTATTTATGTAGGTCCTTATTAAAATAATAGTTTTTTTTTTTTTTTTTTTTTTTAAATAATATTTTGCGAAATCATAATATTTAGCTAAAATAATAAATTATTATCACGCGGCATTAATATACGTATCAAAAATCTGTCATGTGTAATCCATTTGGAATTGATGGGCTCAGTGCAAAAAAGGCTTTTCACGGAAATGCGCTTTTTGCTTAAATATTTTTTTGAACATATACTATATGTGAATACAGTTTTTATTCGAAATTTTAATAATAGAGCACTGTAGAAGCGTTTATGTGATTGTATATAAATGCCTTTCTTCCATAGAACAACATACTATGTACATTATTTATACATAATATCGTTTTATTATTCAATGATTTAAAAATAATATTATGGTAGATAACCTTGTTTTTTTCGTTGTAGATTAATAGGTTTGATAAAAACTGTTTCTAAATAAAACTAAGCATTAAGATAATATTTAAAATTAAAAGTAATAAAACATACAATGTATATTTGTAATTTTATTTGTATTCTTAAAATTATTATTATTTATTTGTTTATTTATTATGTTCACATTGATCCCAAGTTATGAATAAATTAATAAAATTCAAGTTCTTTAATAATTTTAATTTAAATAGAATAGGTAATTACTGTTTGATGTAAGAAGGGCATTTTCATGAACAAATATCTCTTTTGTTTAAAACTTAATAGACACAAAGAAAAACAAAACAAAGATATAATTATTTTTTTGAGATTCGATCTCTTATGTGACACACATTTTATAACCAGATTCAAAAGAGTGTCACCCATTTGAAACTTATAAACTTCGTTTATCTCCAAACACATTTTTCTAAAAAATGCCAATCTTGCACCCAACCCCTCAATTAAACATTGTAAATCATATTTAAAATATGTTTAATTTTAAAATAAAACGACTTTTTCACTTTATGTTCCCTGAAAATCACAATGTGTCTCTTGAATTATAAATGTGTGTCCTAAGTTTTATAACGTATTTTAATTTTATTTGTAAAAATAACAAATAACTTGAAATTGCAATACAAATAAATTTTGATTATCTCAATATAAATTGATAATAACTTTCTCGTTATCAATATTATACAAATATATCATAAACTTTAACCATGGTCAACGATTATAAATATTATACATCAAAAGGATCAAAAAGTTCCTGGAATGTTTGAATTGCGCGCCAACGGAGCTTCCAAGAGTTTTTTTTGGGTGGAAGATATAAGGGAAATTGTTGGAGAAGATTTTTCTTTCATTTTTATGACAACATTATATGATATGGGTAGTTATTATTATTATGATAAATTGTCAAAATATTTTTATTATCACACCATATCACTTTTTGATATAGTTTGATATGATTTCTGATTAACCTAAACTTAGACCTTTCTCCACATTCTCGAGAAAAAAATTCACTGGACACACCTGCAGTTTTTCAGTTGCAATTAATTGACAAAAGTCATATGAAACATTGCATTCTTCTACTAAACAAGCAAGTACACATAAAATAATTCAATATAAAAATAATTACTACGAAATCGTGCGTTTATTTTTAAACAAGTAATTAAGTAAAGAGAAAGGTAATTCACAAGAGCGAACAAACGACACCAAAACCGTGCATTTTTTATAAACAACTAACAAAAAAAAAAGAATTTGCTGTTTCATGAATTACGATCATAACGTTTAAGTCAAATTTTAGTTCATGAAACGGACATATATTTTATCCATTTCATG